CATGGGGGCCTACTTCTGGAAGTTGAGCTGCCCTATGTGCAGGCAAGGGGGAAAAGGTAGACTCACTTCTGGTTTGGTGGACTTCGAATTCTGTTTTCTTTTTCTCCCCAATCTGCCTGCTGCTGCTTATTTTGAGAATCTTCAAACCAGCTCCATGGCCCTGTGGCTGCACTTGGTGACTGAGACACAGTGGAGTGTTTGTGCCTGGAACTGGAACCAACCACAGGTGTTTTTGTAAAAATATGGGTTTTAATTTTTTGTAATTATGTACATGGACCCAAACTTTGGTGTTTCTAGCGTGGGACAAATCCTAAGCATCCTTGTGGTGATATTTATAACTCAGGTCAATTTTGAAGGTAAACCATTGTGCAGTTGGGGGCCTCATGGTGTGGGCTCAGCTGTGGGGTCAGAGTGACCATGGAGGACTCCACATGCTTCTTCCTGGGCACAGCCAGTGGCAGACCATCCCAGACACACAGGGACATGCACACACATACACACACACACTTATACAGGCATGCACATTTAAACACATACATGCTCACACACATGCATGCATAGACACACACATGCACATATACACGCTCAAAACACATACATATACACATGAATAGACATATATACACCCTTGGACACATTTCAACACACATACACACTCACAAACACATATGCACACAAACATACATGCATGCACACTTACATGCACATTTAAACACATACACTCTCACAACACATGCATAGACATACATATACACATGCACATCCATCCATACATACATACCTCCCCACACAGATATACACATAGACATATCCACATATGTAGACACTACACACACAGTGTGATCAGGAATGATTTTGTGACATGCATTTCAAAGAAACACAGTTTCCTTTAAGGTTAGTCTGTGAGGATTCCTATGACGTGAACATCAGAAATAACAGAGACCTGGTGTGACCCTACCTTGAGAATGCCGCTGAGTCTGAGGCCACAAAATGAGTGGCAGGTGCCACACTGTACAGTCTGCAAGGTGTGTGTCCAGCTGGCCGTGGCTGAAGGTGACAGTGGGCTGTGTGGTTAGGTGTTTTCTGCTTTCACATGGTAGTGTTTGTGAGGACTCATCCATTTGCAGAATTCTGGTGATAGCTTCAACAGGTGAAGAAATGATAGAGAGGCCGATTCCAAAAGTAAGGCTGTTGTTGGCTGGGAGGGTAGATGTGGCGGGAGCTCAGGTGGGCATCATATTCACAGGAAGCATGTGGACTCCACTTAACCCATCTGGCCCCCGAAGACATCTTACTGCAGAGATTTTGCCTCTTGGGGTGTCTGGGTCAAACAGAGGTGGTAGTTGAAGGGATGGAGAGGGTGTATGAGTGTATGAAGTGGTGCTCGTGTGGGTGTGGGCTGAGAAACTGTAGACATAGGTGAGTCTTACAAGCTTAGGTGAACACATAGACTGAGGGGCCACCATCTGAGACATGGCAGGTGGACAGGAGCAGATTCGCTGGGAGGAGCAGTGACAAGCTAGCCTGGGATGTCCAGGGGGTGGTTGGCTGTCTGGGCATGGTACTCAATTGATATTAGTCTGAGGAAGGAGATTCAAGATTTGTTGGCGTGTTGGTGGTGGGAGGGACTGGAGGAAGAAGTACCGTGGAAGGAGTGGATGATGATGGGACCTACCCCTGGGATCCTGGGGGAGCTGGAACCATGTAAGGAGAGGCCCGGAGCGTTGGGGGGAGAACCCAGTGACATGGAAGCTGACTGCAGCCCTCGCCAGCCACTGCACAGATTGTTGGATTATCACTGTCTTCCACCAAGCCACCTGCTCCAGGTGAAAGTCAGCCAGCTGATGCTTTATCTTTTTCTCCATGAAAAATACATTTAAGGCATAAAAATAGCACCATCTATACTTTGGCTATGTGCATTTTAAAAAACATTAAAAATCCAATTAAAAATCTTGTAACTCAAGGATATTGCCCATTCTTGGTGATATCACATAAAGAATTCTCCCTGAAATGCAAGCTGGTATAGTCACTCTGGAAAAAAGTTCCTCAAAAAGTTGAAAATAGAGCTTCTCTATGACCCAGAAATTGCACTACTGGGTATTTACCCCAAAGATACAAATGTAGTGATCTGAAGGGGCAACTGCACCCCGATGTTTGTAGCAGCAATGTCCACAACAGCCAAACTATGGAAAGAGTGCAGATGTCCATTGACAGATGACTGGAGTGGAATATTACACAGCCATCAAAAAATGAAATCTTGGGGCACCTGGGTGGCTCAGTCGGTTAAGCGACTGCCTTTGGCTCAGGTCATGATCCTGGAGTCCCGGGATCGAGTCCTGCATCGGGCTCCCTGCTCGGCGGGGAGTCTGCTTCTCCCTCTGACCCTCCCCCCTCTCATGTGCTCTCTCATTCTCTCTCTTTCAAATAAATAAATAAAATCTTTAAAAAAAAATGAAATCTTGCCATTTGCAACGACGTCGATGGAACTAGAGGGTATTATGCTAAGCGAAATAAGTCAATTAGAGAAAAACAACTATCATATGATCTCACTTATATGTGGAATTTAAGAAACAAAACAGAGGATCATAGGGGAAGAGAGGAAAATTTCAAACAAGATGAAATCAGAGAGGGGGACAAGCCATAAGAGACTCCTAATCATAGGAAACAAACTGAGAGTTGCTGGAGGGAAGGTGGGTCGGGGGATGGGGTAACTGGGTAATGGGCATTAAGGAGGGCACTTGACATAATGAGCACTGGGTATTATATAAGACTGGTGAATCACTGACCTCTACCTCAGAAATCAATAATACATTATATGTTAATTAATTGAATTTAAATTAAAAGATGAAGAAAAAATATAAAATTTAAGCAGTATTAAAAAAAGGAGTTCTCCCTGAAAATACCTATGCTTTGATGTGCAGGCCAACAACCAAGATTTCCACTGACTTCTATTAGGAGGAGATTAGAGAGGTGTTCCCAAAGCAGAAAGTCCCTAGTAGATGAAATTGGAAAGGTGGAGTTAAAAGCACCCCATCTGGATTTTGGTTTTCCAGCAGTACCATTGACTTCTATAGTGTGAAAACTCTCCCACTGTGGACATCTGAAAATGTGGGGCAGAATGTAACAAAGTCAGGTTAAGTTAATTTCTGGACTGGAAGGAGAAAAAAGGACATTTCCAGGTGCTAGAAAAGAGGAGGCACTGAGAAGCTAAAGCAGTGGATGATGAGTTGGTGCACAGATGCTATTGTGGGGGGCTTTGGGTCCCAGGGACTTGGGTCTGACTTACACTACCAGCTTGCAAATAGGCATGGGAACAAATAGGAAGTGGAATGGAGACGAACATACAGAGATGGAAACCTTATAAAACACATCATTAAAGAAAAGATGGGCCAGAAAAACAATCTCCTGCAGCTAAGGGAGGTCACAGGGCACTTGTATGTCTGCCTTGGCTCAGGTGGGAAAAGTTCCCCTAAGAAATGGAAACCTATTTCTCACTTGGGATTGAGATTTCAATTTATAATACTAGGGACTCCAGACTGAGAAGTTAACCTACCAGTGGGGCTCCAGGCCAGTGGTACTCCTGGAGTGCCTGGCAACAGTGAGTATCAGGAAGGTTACCCCACCACCAAAGCCACCCTTAATACCACTGCCTGAGGAAGCCATGCTAGATTCACTCACAGTAAAACACGTCTAAGCACCAGAGGAACAATCCTATATAGAAGGGAGTTGGAAGTCACAGAAAAGATCAGGATTAGCCCACCCAGGGACCTCAGATGATGAAACAGCATACTTAGAGTGAGTAATACGAGAGATTTGAAAATGTAAGAAAGAAGTAAAATAGTAAGAAGAAAAAAGGGAGATTCAAAGAAGAAGCAAATGAAGCTTCGTGAATGGGAAACACATGATAAATAGCAAATTAGACATGGCTGAAGACAGAAATCACTGAATTGGGAGATAGATTTGAGGAAATTACTCAGAGTGAAACAGAGATAAAAAAAAAAAAAAAAACAAGAGAGAAGGACAGATGTAGAGAAGAGAAGCAGTAGGCCACATGTGTGTCCAAAAGGGCTTCTAGGAGAGACTGGAGAGAATGAGAAGATAAAATTATGAAGGAAATAACACAGAGAACTTCTAGCAGTGGTTGAAGATGTGATTCCTGAGCTTCAGAACTCCCAAGTGATCATGGGAAATGTAGGAAAACTAAACCCACAGCTAGACACATCATAATGAACCACAGAAAAGTAAAGATTAATGAGAGGACAGTAATCCTTCCACAGATTTGTCAACAGCAATGAAGAGCACAAAGAAGGCATCATCTCCAACTTACTGGAGGAAGATATCTGTCAACTAGAATTCTGTATCCAGCTAAACTATCATTCAAAAGTTTGAGTGAAGTAAAGATGTTTTCAGGAAGTAAATGGAATTTCCTTTTCACAAAATCCTGCTGGAAAAAAATTGCTGATGGATATACGTCAAAACGAAGAAAATTTAGCCTAGAGTGGGTCCTAGAAGTAATGTGATGTGAAGCCAAGAAGGAAGTCAATAAAAACTATGTCTGTCCCCAGGCCCGGGGTTAGGTTACAGGGATGGTGATTGGCTTGCTAGAAGTCACAGGCTGCATTAGGGGTCATTGTGTCTGTGTTCTTGTGACTTGGACGTCACCCACTCTTGGTGACAGTGCACAAGAAAATCTCCCTGAAAATATCTGTGCTTTGATGTGCAGGTATGCCTCCATTTGTTAGGATAATTATGGCATCACAGATGATAAATGCCAAATCCTGAAGCATAACACATACCTACCTGGAGATTATTTGACATGGAGTCTTCAGATTCTGAAAACTAACCTGTTCCTTCCTTAATGTGTCTTCTGAGTGTGGGGTTCTCTGTGTGGACGGAGCCAGGAGCAGCACAAGCATGTGGCCAAGGCATCCTGGTTTTGAGATCTAGAAGGTGGGCCCTAATTCAGTTCTAGATATTTGATTGTCCCTCTCTGTCCCCAGAGCCCTCTGTGGTGTTTGCCAAGGAGCAGCCAGCACGCAGGGAGGTGCAGGCCAAGGCGGGGGCCAGCGCCACCCTGAGCTGTGAGGTGGCCCAGGCCCAGACAGAGGTGACGTGGTACAAGGATGGGAAGAAGCTGAGTGCGAGCTCCAAAGTGCACGTGGAGGCCAAGGGCTGCAGCAGGCGGCTGGTGGTGCAGCAGGTGGGCCAGGCGGACGCTGGGGAGTACAGCTGTGAGGCCGGGGGCCAGAAGGTGTCCTTCCACCTGGATGTCGCAGGTCAGTAATTTGGGTTCAAACTCTAGCCTTGATCGAGGGTGATGATGGGAATAGCATAGAGTTCAGACAGACTCTGGAACACTTTCATTAAACATCTCCCTTCACATGTCCCTCCTCCCGCCTGCTATTCTCATACACGTGGGTGAGGCAAGAGAATTTGGATGGGAACGTGTACATGGGAGGTTTGGATATACTTGTGCTCTGTGACTGGTGTTCCAAGCGATGGTCCCACCTAGGAGAGCTCATGCAGAGCAGTCACATAATGTGTGGTCCCCACCTGGAACAGCCCACGTGGAGCAGTGATAGAATGTCTGGTCCGCACCTGAACAAACCACGTGGAGCAGTGGTAGAATATATTGTCCCACCTTGACTAGCCCATGTGGTGCGGTGATAGGATGAATGGTCCCACCAGGATCCGCCCACATGGAGCAGTAATAGAATGTGTGGTCCCTATGGTAGAGCAGAGATAGAATGTCTCCTCCCCACCTGAACAGCCCACCTGGAGCAGTGGTAGACTATATTGTCCCAATTGGGACAGCCCAGGTGGAGTAAGGATAGAATGTATGGTCCCCACCGGGAACAGTCCAGGTGGAGCACTGGTAGAATGTGTGTCCCCCACCTGGAATAGCCCAGGAGAATCAATGACAGCATGTAAGGTCCCTGCCTGGAGCAGACCAGGTGAGCATTGATAGAACGTATGGTCCCGCCAGGAACAGCCCACGAGGAGCAGTGATAGAATGTGTGGTCTTGTATGGTGACCAACATAACATCATAAAATTAAATTAAAAAAAAAAAAGAGAATGTGTGGTCCCACCTGGAACAGACCTCATGGAGGAGTGATAGAATGTGTGATCCCACCTGGAAGAGCACTCGTGGAGGAGTGGTAGAATGTAGGGTCCTCAATAGGTCAGCCAACGTGGAGCTTGAACGCTCCATGCAGAGCAGTGATAGAATGAGTGGTCCCTATGGTGGAGCAGAGAGAATGTCTCCTCCCCACCTGAACAGCCCACCTGGAGCAGTGGTAGAATATATTGTCCCATTGGGACAGCCCAAGTGGAGTAAGGATAGAATGGGTGATCCCCACCGGGAACAGTCCAGGAGAATCAATGACAGCATGTAAGGTCCCTGCCTGGAGCAGACCAGGTGAGCATTGATAGAATGTATGGTCCCTCCAGGAACAGCCCACGTGGAGCAGTGATAGAATGTATGTTCCCTACCAGGCATGTCCCATGTAGAGCAGAGATAGAATGTCTGGTTCCCAACTGAACAGCCCACCTGGAGCAGTGGTAGAATATATTGTCCCAGCTGGGACAGCCCACGTGGAGTAGGGTTAGAATGTATGGTCCCACCTTGAACAGCCCACATGGAGCAGTGATAGAATGAATGTTCCCACCTGGAACAGCCCACATGGAGCAGTGATAGACTGTATGGTCCCTACCAGGGACAGCACACGTGGAGCAGTGGTATGATGTGTGGTCCCCACCTGGAACAGCCTATGTGGATCAGTGATAGAATGTTATGTCCCCACCAGGCACGGCCCATGTAGAGCAGAGATAGAATGTCTGGTCCCCACCTGGAACAGCCCACGGTTAGCAGTGATAGAATGTGTGGTCTTGTGTGGTGACTAACATAACATCATAAAAGTAAATTAAAAAAAAAAAAAAGAATGTGTGGTCCCACCTGGAACAGACCTCATAGAGGAGTGATAGACTCTATGGTCCATACCAGGGACAGTCCAGTTGGAGCAGTGATAGACTGTATGGTCCCACCTGGAAGAGCACTCGTGGAGGAGCGGTAGAATGTAGGGTCCTCACTAGGTCAGCCAACGTGGAGCTTGAACGCTCCATGCAGAGCAGTGAGAGAATGTATGTTCTCCCACGCACAGTGTTGATCACATGGGTCCATAGATTGTGTTACTCATTGTCAAGAAGCCAGTCGGGTTTCCAGACCACACAGCGGATGCAGAGCCTGAGAAGTTTTAGGTCCCCTGCCTCCCTCTTTGGTCTTTCTTCCCCCAGTGTTACCTTCCTAACGTACATGGTGTCTTTGATCGAGTGCATCCCTCTCTGTCCCCAGAGCCGTCTGTGGTGTTTGCCAAGGAGCAGCCAGCACGCAGGGAGGTGCAGGCCAAGGCAGGGGCCAGCGCCACCCTGAGCTGTGAGGTGGCCCAGGCCCAGACAGAGGTGACGTGGCACAAGGATGGGAAGAAGCTGAGTGCGAGCTCCAAAGTGCACGTGGAGGCCAAGGGCTGCAGCAGGCGGCTGGTGGTGCAGCAGGTGGGCCAGGCGGACGCTGGGGAGTACAGCTGTGAGGCCGGGGGCCAGAAGATGTCCTTCCACCTGGATGTCGCAGGTCAGTAATTTGGGTTCAAACTCTAGCCTTGATCGAGGGGTGATGATGGGAATAGCATAGAGTTCAGACAGACTCTGGAACACTTTCATTGAACATCTCCCTTCACATGTCCCTCCTCCCGCCTGCTATTCTCATACACGTGGCTGAGGCAAGAGAGTTTGGATGGGAACGTGTACATGGGAGGTTTGGGTATACTGGTGCTCTGTGACTGGTGTTCCAAGCGATGGTCCCCACTTAGGAGAGCTCACGCAGAGCAGTCACAGAATGTGTGGTCCCCACCTGGAACAGCCCACGGGGAGCAGTGATAGAATGTGTGATCCCACCTGGAAGAGCACTCGTGGAGGAGTGGTAGAATGTAGGGTCCTCACTAGGTCAGCCAACATGGAGCTTGAACGCTCCATGCAGAGCAGTGAGAGAATGTATGTTCTCCCACGCACAGTGTTGATCACATGGGTCCATAGATTGTGTTACTCATTGTCAAGAAGCCAGTCGGGGTTTCCAGACCACACAGCGGATGCAGAGCCTGAGAAGTTTTAGGTCCCCTGCCTCCCTCTTTGGTCTTTCTTCCCCCAGTGTTACCTTCCTAATGTACATGGTGTCTCTGATCGAGTGCATCCCTCTCTGTCCCCAGAGCCATCTGTGGTGTTTGCCAAGGAGCAGCCAGCACGCAGGGAGGTGCAGGCCAAGGCGGGGGCCAGCGCCACCCTGAGCTGTGAGGTGGCCCAGGCCCAGACAGAGGTGACGTGGCACAAGGATGGGAAGAAGCTGAGTGCGAGCTCCAAAGTGCACGTGGAGGCCAAGGGCTGCAGCAGGCGGCTGGTGGTGCAGCAGGTGGGCCAGGCGGACACTGGGGAGTACAGCTGTGAGGCCGGGGGCCAGAAGGTGTCCTTCCACCTGGACGTGGCAGGTCAGTTCTTTAGGGTACTGAATTAGCCTTGTTTGGGAACATGGGACTGATTTAGAGCCCAGATTATCTCTACTATTCTCACCATCACCTCCCATGTCACATCCTCCTACCTGCCTATTTATCTTCACATGGGAGGCTCAAGAGTGGCTTGATCGAACAGGTGTGTAAGAAGGAAGGGGACCACTTGTGTCCACCTTCAGTGGTGTTTAGCACACTGATGCTTAGTTATATGTTCCTCAAACCTGCCCAGTTTCTTTGTGGCCTGGAATTTGGGTCTGAAGTAGACCAGGTGCTTCTCACCTGGGAATATGTAAATTTCCTCCTATTGGATGGTCTGGCAGCTACCAGGTTCACTCACTCAGAACCACAGGCAGGTTATCACTGGCCAGATGTTTGGATCCCATTGATCAAGGATAAGGGGAAATTTCAACTACCCATCCATACTTGTAAATATCTCAGACTGACTTGATTATCCAAGTTTTAGATGTTCTATGAATCTCTTCCTTCCTTGCCCGTGGATAGAGAAGCCCTCTCTGCTCTTTCTGTAACAGCTAGATCCATTCCATGTTGCGATGTCTGTGTAAAGTATACAAAAGCAGAGATTGGTAGATACATGCCTGTGATACATACCTCTGAGGTATGGAATATTCCTTTTAAAGCAAATCTTTTGTATTCAGTTAAAGCATTCTTGGTCAGAATTCCCATTGGAGTCTGATATATAAATTTAGAAGTGGAGAGGAATAAATAGCTTAGGCTATATCAGCACACTTTGTTAAAGATGAGTTGCTGTAATGGCAGCCTGACTGGTAGACCAGTATTTATTTTGTAGCATTACCTAGTGATTAGTGTGTATTTGTGCTTCCTTGGCTGGTTCATAGAGAAGGCTGAGAAATGTATTCATTTTCTTTTGTTAAGAGAGTCTTAGCATTCAATAAGGATACCACATTTGACTTAGAGGTGCCACCACAAAACAGTGTGGTATCCTATCTGTATTTAGTGGTTTGTGTTGTAAAGATATAAAAAATTATGCTAGTTATCTTTGTGAAACATTATTTGAAGAGAACTTGGCAGATTATTTCATAGTAAAAATTTGGAAAGTTTAAAAATTTAATAGCAAACTACCATATCAAAACTGACATAAGGAGAAATGGAAAATTCAAATAGTCCTATAAATTTTAAAGAAATGGAACCATTAATAAAAAAAAAATATTTGCAAGGCACCTGTCAGTTAAGCATCTGATTCTTGATTTCGGCTCAGGTCATGATCTCAGGGTTGTGAGATTGAGCCCTGCATCGGGCTCTGTGCTGGGTGCGGAGCCTGCTTGAGATTTTCCCTCTCCTTTTAACTCTACCCCTCCCCCCTCTTTAAAAAAATTTTTTAAAAAGAAATATTTTCATAGAGAACAATCTAAGCTAAGTGGATCTACTGGCTAGTTATACCAAATATTCCTGGAAAGACATTATCCCATTTTCGTGAAGATTTTTCTAGAGAATAGAAAAAGGATGTACACTCTCCAACTCATTTTATGTAGATGTAGATAGCATAATATTAATGTTGAAATCTTATGAGGAAAACACGTGGAGTTAAAATTATAGGCCAAAACCTTCTGAATATCAAGGCTAAACTCTTTTTTTTTTAATTTTTATTTTATCATGTTATGTTAGTCACCATACAATACATCATTAGTTTTTGATGTAGTGATCCACAATTCATTGTTTTCTTGTAACACCTAGTGATTCTCAAACTTAACACCCAAAAAACAAATAATCAAGTCAAAAAAATGGGCAGAAGACATGAACAGACACTTCTCTGAAGAAGACATACAAATGGCTAACAAACACATGAAAGCATGTTCATCATCATTAGCCATCAGGAAATTCAAATCAAAACCACATTGAGATACCACCTTACACCAGTTAGAATGGCCAAAATGGACAGGGAAAGAAACAACAAATGTTGGACAGGTTGTGGAGAAAGGGGAACCCTCTTGCACTGTTGGTGGGAATGCAAGTTGGTCCAGCCACTTTGGAAAACAGTGTGGAGGTGCTTCAGAAAATTAAAAATAGAGCTACCCTGTGACCCAGCAATTGCACTCCTGGGTATTTACCTCAAAGACACAGATGTAGTGAAAAGAAGGGCCATATGCACCCCAATGTTCATAGCAGCAATGTCCGCAATAGCCAAACTGTGGAAAGAGCCGAGATGCCCTTCAACATGAATGGATAAAGAAGATGTGGTCCATGTATACCATGGAATATTACTCAAGGCTAAACTCTTAAACAAGATATTAGCCAACCAAGTTGTACAACATATGAGGCAGACAATGCATTATGATGGAAGTTGTAGTACAAGAGTGTCTGGTTGTTTTAACATTAGAAACATTAAAAAGGCAAAAGAATGCATGATATTAATGTATTGAAAGAGAAAAAGGGGTTATCTTAATAAATGCTGAATAAAACTATTTGATAAAATTTAATTAACATCATCCTGTAATACAAAATTATTATCATTTTATTTTATTTTATTTTATTATGTTAGTCACCATACAATACCTCATTAGTTTTTGATGTGGTGATTCCCTATTCATTGTTTGCGTATAACACCCAGTGCTCCGTACAGTACGTGCCCTCCTTAATACCCATTGCCGGGCTAACCCAATCCCCCACCCCCTTCTCCTCTAAAACCCTCAGTTTGTTTCTCAGAGTCGATTGTCTCTCATGGTTCATCTCCCCCTCCGATTTACCCCCCTTCATTTTTCCCTTCCTTCTCCTAATGTCCTCCATGCTATTCCTTATGTTCCACAAATAAGTGAAACCACATGATAATTGACTTTCTCTGCTTGACTTATTTCACTTAGCATAATCTCCTCCAGTCCCATCCATGTTGATGTAAATGTTGGGTATTCATCCTTTCTGATGGCTGAGTAATATGCCATTGTATATTTGGACCACATTTTCTTTTCTTTTCTTTTTTTTAAGATTTTATTTACTTATTTGACAGAGAGAGACACAGTGAGAGAGGGAACACAAGCAGGGGGAGCGGGAGAGGGAGAAGCAGGCTTCCTGTGGAGCAGGAAGCCGGATGCAGCGCTCGATCCCAGGACCCTGGGATCACGACCTGAGCCGAAGGCAGACGCTCAATGACTGAGCCACCCAGGCATCCCTGGACCACATTTTCTTTATCCATTTGTCTTGTAATACAAAATTATTAACTAACTATAAATAAAGGGGCTCTTCTGTAATTTGGAAAACAGTAGTACAGGAAACACCAGCTAACATCACACTTAACAATTAGCCAAGATGTGGAAAGAGCTCAGCTGTCCATCGACAGAGGAATGGATAAAGAAGAGGTGGACATACATACAATGGAATATTACTCAGCAATCAAAAAAAGTGAAATCTTACCATTAGCAACGACATGGATGGAACTAGAGGGTATTATGCTAAGTGAAATAAGTTAGTCAGAGAAAGACAAATATCATATTATTTTTCTCATACGTGGAATTTAAGATACAAAACAGAGGAGTATAGGGGAAGGGAGGGAAAAATAAAATACGACGTAAACCGAGAGGGAGGCAAACCATGAAAGACTCTTAACTCTAGGGAAACAAACTGCTGGTTGCTGGAGGGGATGTGGGTGGGGGAAGGGCGTAACAGGGTGATGGGCATTAAGGAGGGCACATGAGGTGATGAGCCCTGGGTGTTATATGCAACTGATGAATCACTAAATTATATCCCTGAAACTAATGTAAAAAAAAAATGGAAGACCTGACTTTGTGATTGGAAACGAGGTAAGGAGGCTTTCTGTCTAACAATGGGCAGCACAATAAGGAGGAGAATAAGATAAAGGTACAAAATAAAGGAAATAAGTGGAATTTATTTTAATTTTTCTTTCAGTATTTTATTTAAATTCCAGTTAGTTAACATATAGTGCAGTATTGGTTTCAGATGCTAATGGCCAAACACATCAGAAAATGCGCATCACTTTGTCAGTCTTCAGAGCAAAGCCAAAGACAGCCACAGGCACTTACGGCTTCACTCCCACTGGGTTGCCGACAGTTGACAACACAGTGGGCATGAGTGTGGAGTGGAGGAACTCCTCTGCACACTTGTGGAAAGCCTGCGTCACCTGGGAAGGCTGAGGTGTGCATGCGTCGTGACCCCACCGATCGTCTCCTAGAGGAGTGTGTGTGTGGTGAGGTCTTACGGCATCCCCATCTGGAGCAGCACGGAGCTGTGGTGGGTGGTGTAGATGGATTGTGGCTACCCATTGCTGAGGGAGCTTCTCCAGGCCACACAGCTGGTGCAGAACCTGGGGAAGTTTCTGTCCCCCTGCCTCTCCATTTGGGCTCCTTTCACCAGTGCTGCCTTCCTGACTTACAAGGTGACTCTGACCCTGTGTGTCCTTCCCTGTTCCCAGAACCTGCAATGGTGTTTGCCAAGGAGCAGCCAGCACGCAGGGAGGTGCAGGCCAAGGCGGGGGCCAGCGCCACCCTGAGCTGTGAGGTGGCCCAGGCCCAGACAGAGGTGACGTGGCACAAGGATGGGAAGAAGCTGAGTGCGAGCTCCAAAGTGCACGTGGAGGCCAAGGGCTGCAGCAGGCGGCTGGTGGTGCAGCAGGTGGGCCAGGCGGACGCTGGGGAGTACAGCTGTGAGGCCGGGGGCCAGAAGGTGTCCTTCCGCCTGGACGTGGCAGGTCAGTTCCTTCTGGTACTAACTTAGTCTTGTTTGGAGGTAATGAAGCAATTGCATTCCAGACCCCACAGGCTCTGAGTCTCCTTCCATTCGTCTTCACCCTTTCACCTCTGCCATCCTGGCCTTCTAATTTCATAGGCAGGGCTAGACCAGTGGACGTTTAATGAGAAGGGTGTGTAGAGCGATAGGGGCCATTTTTGGGGCCCTGAGTGGTGCTTTCACGTCATAATGCTTACTTATGCATCTGAACACCTGCACAGAGCACTCCCAGAGTTCCTTGGTGCCCAGGACTATGGCTGTGCATCACGCTCGGGTGCTGAAGTAGACTAAGCATCTCACACCTTGGTTATCTGACTGTGCTTTTTTGATTGCCCCAGATGCCCTGTTCAGGAGTGTATCGGGTTCTTGCTAGTGAAGAACCTGATTTCTTTAAATCAGGATAGGGGAAGTTTTGACCATATAATCATACTTGGAAATATTTCAACTAAACTTTGAATTATGATGTTTTAGTTGTTTTTAGGACACTTTTGCACATGGATATATGCTCTCTGTGCACCTCAATGCAGGGATAGTTACCAGATCAAGGGAACAAAATAAAACAGAAACAGATTCTTACATAAATGGAGTCCTGCCAACCCCCAGGTGTTTTTTGTTTTGTTTTGTTTTGTTTTTACTGCAGGGTCTATGCAAGGAGTAGAGAAAGGTTGTTGTTTTCATAAATAGTGCTTGTGTCACTTAACCATATGGAAAAAAATAAATTGTACTGGGAATTCACACAACATAAAAAAATCAACTCCTGGTGTGTTGGAGACCTCAGCATAAAAGCTAAAATCGTAAAACCCTCCAATGACAGCACAGTTTTTTAAAGAGTTAGTAAAGAAAGATTTCTTCAACAGAACACAAATACCCTAAATGCAAGGGGACAAGATAGACCTATGTGACTACATTAAAGCCAAAATTTCATTCATCAGAAGAGGCCATGAGAGAGTGAAAGGCAAGTCACAGAGTTGGGAAAGGAACTTTAAAACACATAGTTGTCATTTTTTAACATTTAAATATGTGAAGAGTGTCTTAAAATGAATAGAGAGAAGACAGTACCATTGGTGTATGAGCAAACACACGAAGAGTGTCACCACCGACGAGCAAACAGTTATGGCCAGCCTAGTAATATTGGGGAAGGTGCGCAGCCTCATGAATCAGCAGACAGTGGCAATCGGGGGAAGAACAATGACTCCCACCAGACAGCCACCAGTTGACAATACTAAGATAGGAAACGGCTTGGCGTCTCAGGAGCTTTGTAGACTAGAGGTAGAAAAATTACCTTCAAACCATACAGAAAAGATCTGATGTCCTCTAGAAAAGGAGAGAAATACATGTATCATGACCCCACAGAGTCCACATACATGGGAAGTTTCTCAGACTCCCCACCTGGAACAGCCCACGTGGAGCAGTGATAGAGTGTGTAGATAAATTGTGTTAGTTGTTGCTGAGAAAGTGGTAGGACTTCTTCAGACCACACAGCTGGTAGAGAGCCTGGAAAGAGTTCCAGTCCCCCCTCCTCCCTGTTTAGGCCTATTTTCCCAGGGCTGTATTCTTTTTTAAAATTTAAATTCAACTAATTAACATATAACGTATTATTAGTTTCAGAGGTAGAGTTCAGTGATTCGTCAGTTGTATATAACACCCAGTACTCATTACAGCCTGTGCCCTCCTTAATGCCCATCATCCAGTTATCCCATCTCCCCTCCCACCTCCCCTCCAGCAACTAGCAGTTTGTTTCCCTAAAGTTAAGAGTCGCTTATGGTTTGTCTCCTTCTCTGATATTGTCTTGCTTTATTTTTCCCTCCCTTCCTGTATGCTCCTTGGTTTTTGTTTCTTAAACTCCACATATGAGTGAAATCATATGATAATTGTATTTCTCTGATTGAGTTATTTCACTTATCATAATACCCTGTAGTTCCATCCACGTTGTTGCAAATGCAAGATTTCATTTTTTTGATGGCTGAGTAATATTTCATTGTATATATATACCACATCTTTATCCATTCATCTGTCAATCCCAGGGCTGTATTTTTGACCTACATGGTATCTTTGACCCCATGCATCCTTCCCTGTCCCCAGAGCCTGCAGCTGTGTTTGCCAAGGAGCAGCCAGCACGCAGTGAGCTGCAGGCCAAGGCGGGGGCCAGCGCCACCCTGAGCTGTGAGGTGGCCCAGGACAAGACGGAGGTGACATGGTACAAGGATGGGAAGAAGCTGAGTGCGAGCTCCAAAGTGCACGTGGAGGCCGAGGGCTGCAGCAGGCGGCTGGTGGTGCAGCAGGTGGGCCAGGCGGACGCTGGGGAGTACAGCTGTGAGGCTGGAGGCCAGAAGGTGTCCTTCCACCTGGATGTCACAGGTCAGCGCTTTGGAGGTAACAGTTAGGTGGAACAGGTTTATACCCAAGCCAGACTGTGTTGCTCTTTCAATTAGACTTTGTCCCTTGACATCACCCACCCACCCAGCCACCTCCCCTTTCCGCATCCAAGGTGGGACCAAGGGAGCATGGCTAGAGGGAGTGTACAGGAGGGAGAGACTCTTCTTATACACCTCGAGGTATGTTTCCACGTAGCAGTGCTGGTCACATTTTCCCAGCACCTGCTCAAAACCCACTGATGGATCTGGGTATCTGGGAGTCGAGATCTCCCTGATACGTGGGCTTAGGTAGACCAGACGTCTCTCCCCTGGGGTTGTTGGGGAAGGTCACCTGTCTCTTCCCCAAGTGCACCTGAGAGTTCCTGCTAGCAAGATATGTTTGTCTTCACTGAACCAGGGAGAGGGGACATCTGGGCCACATGATCACACCTGGAGTTTTCTTAGGACTGTGCTTTGAGTTCTCACAGTTTTAGGTGTTTGGGACACTCTTCGACATTTTCACAGGGTTATAAAAGCTCTCTCTGCACCCATATGTGGACAAGTCTAGATCCGTATTTTGTTGCAGCACCCTGTGCAGATAACACAGAGAGCAGAGGACTGGTGTGTATGTGCCCCTGACACACACCTGTGATGTTGGAATCCTCGTTTCAAAGCACATCTTATTTTCACTTTGTCATAAGTTAGTGTCTTGCCTCTGAATTCTGCTTGCAGTTAGACTTACACATTTACAGATGGGATGTACTCAGTAGCATATTGCATAGCAACATTAACTCCATTAAAGGAGTTGTGAAGACGCAGCCACTGACAAGTAAGTCAGATTTTATTTCCGGCATTTTCTGCTGATTAGCGTGCATCTGTTCTGCCCTAGCTAATCACTAAAGAACCTGAGAACCAGCTTTATATTCCTTTTGTGCAATTCAGACAGGTTACACGTTCGATTCCTAGTTGCCAGCCCATAACATGTTGGTATTACATCGGGAATTAATGGTTTTTGAGTGTATATAGATGTTACAAACTCTATGTGTATTTGTGATGTGATTATCTGAGAATATGACATACTATTATGTAAGTCAATTTGGAGAGTTATGACAAATTGATCAAGAAAACTACATCACAACTCATAGGAGGACAAACAGAAAATTTAAATAGTCCTATAACCTTATAAGGGAGAGGAAACTAATAAATAATCTTGTCACAGAATACTATTCAAGACCAGTGGCTCTACTCTTAAATATTTTGGGGTAGAAACCCTCCTGCACTGAGGGACAACATTCCCTAAGCTATCATATGGTAAACTCTGAATCATTTAGAAATGTTGAGGTATGTACGCATCATGACCACACCGATCATAAGTACAAAAGTCTTTCACAGATTCCCCACTGGAACATCCCACATGGAGCAGTGATAGACTGTATGGTCCGACCTGGAACAGCCCATGTGGAGCAGAGATAGAATGTCTGGTCCCCACCTGGGTCAGCCCATGAGAAGCAGTGATATAATGTCTGATCCCGACCTGGAACAGCACTTGAAGAGCATTGGTAGAATGTCTCGTCCCCAGCAAAACAGCCCAGGTGGAGCAGTGGTAGAATATATTATCCCACCTGGAACAGCACAGGTGGAGTGAGGTTAAAATGGATGGTCCCACGTGGAACAGCCTCTGTGGTGCAGTGATTAGATATGTGGTCCCCACCTAGAACAGCCCAAGTGTAGCAGTCATAGAATGAATTGTCCCACCTGGAACAGCCCAGGTAGAGCAGTGATATAATGTCTGGTCCCCACCTGAACAGCCCACCTGGATCAGTGGTAGAATATATTGTCCCAGCTGAGAGAGCCCACATGGAGTAAGGATAGCATGTATGGTCCCTACCACGTACAGCCCACCTTGAGCAGTGATAGACTGTATGGTCCCACCTGGAACAGCCCACATGGAGCAGCGATAGAATGTGTGGTCCTATATGATGACTAACATAACATAATAAAATAAAATTAAAAAAAAAGTGTGGTCCCATCTGGAACAGCCACATGGAGCAATGGTATGATGTGTGGCCCCCACCTGGGACAGCCCAGGTGGAGCAGTGAGTGTATGTATGGTCCCACCTTGAAGAGCCCACGTGGAGGAGTGATAGAAGGTGTGGTCCTGTATGGAGACTAATGTAACATAATAATAATAATAAAAAAAAGAATGTGTGGTCCCACCTGGAACAGACCTCATGGAGGAGCAGTAGAATGTAGGGTCCTCACTAGGTCAGCCAACATGGAACTTGAACACTCCATGCAGAGCAGTGAGAGAATGTATGTTCTCCCACGCACAGTGTTGATCACATGGGTCCATAGATTGTGTTACTCATTGTCAAGAAGCCAGTCGGGGTTTCCAGACCACACAGCGGATGCAGAGCCTGAGAAGTTTTAGGTCCCCTGCCTCCCTCTTTGGTCTTTCTTCCCCCAGTGTTACCTTCCTAATGTACATGGTGTCTTTGATCGAGTGCATCCCTCTCTGTCCCCAGAGCCATCTGTGGTGTTTGCCAAGGAGCAGCCAGCACGCAGGGAGGTGCAGGCCAAGGTGGGGGCCAGCGCCACCCTGAGCTGTGAGGTGGCCCAGGCCCAGACAGAGGTGACGTGGCACAAGGATGGGAAGAAGCTGAGCGCGAGCTCCAAAGTGCACGTGGAGGCCAAGGGCTGCAGCAGGCGGCTGGTGGTGCAGCAGGTGGGCCAGGCGGACGCTGGGGAGTACAGCTGTGAGGCCGGGGGCCAGAAGGTGTCCTTCCGCCTGGACGTGGCAGGTCAGTAATTTGGGTTCAAACTCTAGCCTTGATCGAGGGGTGATGATGGGAATAGCATAGAGTTCAGACAGACTCTGGAACACTTTCATTAAACATCTCCCTTCACATGTCCCTCCTCCCGCCTGCTATTCTCATACACGTGGCTGAGGCAAGAGAGTTTGGATGGGAATGTGTACATGGGAGGTTTGGGTATACTTGTGCTCTGTGACTGGTGTTCCAAGCGATGGTCCCACCTAGGAGAGCTCACGCAGAGCAGTCACATAATGTGTGGTCCCCTCCTGGAACAGCTCACGTGGAGCAATGATAGAATTTGTGGTCCCCACCTGGAACAGCTTACGTAGATCAGTGATAGAATGTATGGTCCCCACCTGAACAGCCCACCTGGAGCAGTGGTAGATGGTATGGTCCCACCTGGAACAGCCCACGGGGAGCAGTGATAGAATATATTGTCCCAACTGGGACAGCCCACGTGGAGTAAGGATAGAACGTATGGTCCCACCTGGAACAGCCACAAGGAGCAGTGATAGAATGTGTGGTCTCCACCTTAAACAGCCCACCTGGAACAGTGGTAGAATATATGGTCCCAGTTGGGATAGCCCACGTGGAGTAAGGATAGAATGTGTGATCCCCACCAGGGACAGCTCAGGTGGAGCAGTGATAGACTGTATGGTCCCACCTGGAAGAGCACTCGTGGAGGAGTGGTAGAATGTAGGGTCCTCACTAGGTCAGCCAACGTGGAGCTTGAACGCTCCATGCAGAGCAGTGAGAGAATGTATGTTCTCCCACGCACGGTGTTGATCACATGGGTCCATAGATTGTGTTACTCATTGTCAAGAAGCCAGTCGGGGTTTCCAGACCACACAGCGGATGCAGAGCCTGAGAAGTTTTAGGTCCCCTGCCGCCCTCTTTAGTCTTTCTTCCCCCAGTGTTACCTTCCTAACGTACATGGTGTCTTTGATCGAGTGCATCCCTCTCTGTCCCCAGAGCCGTCTGTGGTGTTTGCCAAGGAGCAGCCAGCACGCAGGGAGGTGCAGACCAAGGCGGGGGCCAGCGCCACCCTGAGCTGTGAGGTGGCCCAGGCCCAGACAGAGGTGACGTGGCACAAGGATGGGAAGAAGCTGAGTGCGAGCTCCAAAGTGCACGTGGAGGCCAAGGGCTGCAGCAGGCGGCTGGTGGTGCAGCAGGTGGGCCAGGCGGATGCTGGGGAGTACAGCTGTGAGGCCGGGGGCCAGAAGGTGTCCTTCCACCTGGACGTGGCAGGTCAGTAATTTGGGTTCAAACTCTAGCCTTGATCGAGGGGTGATGATGGGAATAGCATAGAGTTCAGACAGACTCTGGAACACTTTCATTAAACATCTCCCTTCACATGTCCCTCCTCCCGCCTGCTATTCTCATACACGTGGCTGAGGCAAGAGAGTTTGGATGGGAACGTGTACATGGGAGGTTTGGGTATACTTGTGCTCTGTGACTGGTGTTCCAAGCGATGGTCCCACCTAGGAGAGCTCACGCAGAGCAGTCACAGAATGTGTGGTCCCCACCTGGCACAGCCCACGGGGAGCAGTGATAGAATATATTGTCCCAATTGGGACAGCCCACATGGAGCACTGATGGAATGTGTGATCCCACCTGGAAGAGCACTCCTGGAGGAGCGGTAGAATGTAGGGTCCTCACTAGGTCAGCCAACGTGGAGCTTGAACGCTCCATGCAGAGCAGTGATAGAATGAGTGGTCCCTATGGTGGAGCAGAGAGAATGTCTCCTCCCCACCTGAACAGCCCACCTGGAGCAGTGGTAGAATATATTGTCCCATTGGGACAGCCCAAGTGGAGTAAGGATAGAATGGGTGATCCCCACCGGGAACAGTCCAGGAGAATCAATGACAGCATGTAAGGTCCCTGCCTGGAGCAGACCAGGTGAGCATTGATAGAATGTATGGTCCCTCCAGGAACAGCCCACGTGGAGCAGTGATAGAATGTATGTTCCCTACCAGGCATGTCCCATGTAGAGCAGAGATAGAATGTCTGGTTCCCAAGTGAACAGCCCACCTGGAGCAGTGGTAGAATATATTGTCCCAATTGGGACAGCCCACATGGAGCACTGATGGAATGTGTGGTCCCCACCTGGAACAGCTGATGTAGATCAGTGATAGAATGAATGGTCCCACCTAAACAGCCCACCTGGAGCTGTGGTAAAATATTTCGTCTCAGCTGGGACAGCCCATGTTGAGCAGTGATAGAATGTATGGTCCCTACCAGGGACAGCACACGTGGAGCAGTGGTTCGATGTGCGGTCGCCACCTGGAAGGGGCCAGGTGGAGCAGAGATAGAATGTCTCCCCACCAGAAGAGCCCATCTGGAGCAGTGGTAGAGTATATTGTCCCAATTGGGACAGCCCACGTGGAGTAAGGATAGAACGTATGGTCCCACCTGGAACAGCCCACGAGGAGCAGTGATAGTGTGTGTGGTCTCCACCTTAAACAGCCCACCTGGAGCAGTGGTAGAATATATTTCCTAATTGAGACAGCCCACGTGGAGTAAGGATAGAATATATGGTCCCACCTGAACAGCCCAGGTGGAGCAGTGATAGAATGAATAGTCCCTCCTGGAACAGCCCACGAGGAGCAGTGGTATGATGTGTGGTCGCCACCTGGAGCAGGCCAGGTGGAGCAGAGATAGAATGTCTCCCCACCAGAAGAGCCCACCTGGAGCAGTGGTAGAATATATTGTCCCAACTGGGACAGCCCACATGGAGTAAGGATAGAATGTATGGTCCCACCTGGAACAGCCCACGTGGAGCAATGATAGAATTTGTGGTCCCCACCTGGAACAGCTTACATAGATCAGTGATAGAATGTATGGTCCCTACCAGGGACAGCACACGTGGAGCAGTGGTTCGATGTGCGGTCGCCACCTGGAAGGGGCCAGGTGGAGCAGAGATAGAATGTCTCCCCACCAGAAGAGCCCATCTGGAGCAGTGGTAGAGTATATTGTCCCAATTGGGACAGCCCACGTGGAGTAAGGATAGAACGTATGGTCCCACCTGGAACAGCCACAAGGAGCAGTGATAGAATGTGTGGTCTCCACCTTAAACAGCCCACCTGGAACAGTGGTAGAATATATGGTCCCAGTTGGGATAGCCCACGTGGAGTAAGGATAGAATGTGTGATCCCCACCAGGGACAGCTCAGGTGGAGCAGTGATAGACTGTATGGTCCCACCTGGAAGAGCACTCGTGGAGGAGTGGTAGAATGTAGGGTCCTCACTAGGTCAGCCAACGTGGAGCTTGAACGCTCCATGCAGAGCAGTGAGAGAATGTATGTTCTCCCACGCACGGTGTTGATCACATGGGTCCATAGATTGTGTTACTCATTGTCAAGAAGCCAGTCGGGGTTTCCAGACCACACAGCGGATGCAGAGCCTGAGAAGTTTTAGGTCCCCTGCCTCCCTCTTTGGTCTTTCTTCCCCCAGTGTTACCTTCCTAACGTACATGGTGTCTTTGATCATGTGCATCCCTCTCTGTCCCCAGAGCCGTCTGTGGTGTTTGCCAAGGAGCAGCCAGCACACAGGGAGGTGCAGGCCAAGGCGGGGGCCAGCGCCACCCTGAGCTGTGAGGTGGCCCAGGCCCAGACAGAGGTGACGTGGCACAAGGATGGGAAGAAGCTGAGTGCGAGCTCCAAAGTGCACGTGGAGGCCAAGGGCTGCAGCAGGCGGCTGGTGGTGCAGCAGGTGGGCCAGGCGGACGCTGGGGAGTACAGCTGTGAGGCCGGGGGCCAGAAGGTGTCCTTCCACCTGGACGTGGCAGGTGCGTGTCAGCTTGGGCAGAGGGGATAAGCTCCTGAGAAATCAGGAAATGAGCCCTCTTGGACAGGGTGGGGGACAGGTGTGTGTTATACCCGTGTTGGGTTCTCTGTTGATCTGCCCAGCCCAGGGCTCTGTCCTCTGCCCAGGTCCTTGGATTGGAGAACACTCACCGCAGCCCTTCTTGTGGGTTGTTCTGGGCATCTGTGTCCCCAGGCTTCTCCCTTATATGCCACATCCCCACTTCAACTAGCATGGAACCTGCCACTGAGGCTTTCTTGGGTACCTGCAGGCTGCTAGGGCCTGTGGTTTGTGGCAACGACTGTTCTTTGTCTAGGGTTGGTGAGCAGATACGTTTCCCATTTTAAATCCCCCTTGGGCCACTGTGGAGCCTCACTTGAGGGGCTTTGGCCTTGGGATCCTGACCGTCCAGCTGTCCTTTTGTCAGCCCTGTGGCCTTGCCCTTGCTCGGATGCCCATCCTGGCCTGGGCCTGGGCCAGGCTGTCCTCTCCTGCCTCCCCTCCTGGGCCTGCTCCCTGATGCCCTTCTGTAATGTGGACCCAGGCCCCAGGCTGTGGCAGGGTCCCTTAAGTGCCTGCTTCCCACTCTCTGCAGTATCTGCTCATGGGGCCATCTTCGCTGGCGGGCAGGGGTCTTGGGCTCTCAGCTCTTGGCCCCCAGGCTGTGGTCCCAGGGGGCTCCTCCTGGCTGCCCTTTCTGGCCTCTGGATGCCTGGATGGTGGCTGCCAGGTGGCATGGTTTGCTCAACAGAGAGACGGAAGTGGGGCAGTTGTAGGGCAATGGGAGTTTGGGGTGGCCCCATTTCGGGTCTTCTCCCACAGTGTGGCTCCTCGGTGGGATGGGGCCCAGGCCAGGAATGCAAGGGCTCTGCTCTTATGCCCACTGACCTCCCCCCAGAGCCGGAGCCTGAACCCCCCGCCCTGGAGAGACCTGGCCGCAGGGAGCCTCTGGTGGTCAGGGAGCATGAGGACATTGTCCTGACTGCCACGCGGGTTACACCCTCTGTGGCCGCGGTGACGTGGCTCAAGGACGGTGTTGAGATTCGCCGAAGCAAGCGGCACCAAACGGCCAGTCTGGGGGACACCCACACCCTGACCATCCACAACGCGCAAACCCTGGACAGCGCGGTCTACAGCTGCCGTGTGGACGCAGAGGTGCAGGATTTCCCCGTGCAGGTGGAAGGTCAGCAGGGCTGGGGGCGGTCCTCTGGGAACCCCGTGTGTGCGCGGGGGGGGGGGGGGGGGGGCGGGGCGCAGGAGGCGGCTGTCCCCCGTGAGGTCCTGCAGGCAGCATCCCTGCCCGGAGCCAGAGGGGGACTCAGGGCGCACGGCTGCTGGGCACAGAGCTTGTCCCCGGGCCGAGCCCTGCAGCTGATGCCCCTCCCGTCCTGCAGAGGTGGCCGCCAAGTTCTGCCGGCCCCTGGAGCCCGTGAGCGGGGAGCTGGGCGGCGCAGCGACGCTGGTTTGCGAGCTGAGCCCGCCCCAGGCCGAGGTCGTGTGGCGCTGCGGGAGCACGCAGCTCCGGGCTGGCAAACGCTTCCAGATTGAAGCGGCGGGGCCCCGGCGCTCGCTCACGGTGTCAGGCCTGCGGCTGGAGGATGCGGGGGAGTACGCGTGTGAGACACGTGACGCCTGCACCAGCGCTCAGCTGACCGTCAGCAGTAAGCCGCGGAGGGGCGCGCGGGTGGGCGGGCAGTCGGGCGGGGCGCACCCGGGCGGCTGCCTGGAGGAGGTGTCCTTCTCCACGCCTGCGGGGCGGGGCCTCTGCCTCTCCCACCTGCCTCTCAAGCGAAACCCCTGTCCGCAGCCCCCCGCACGGTCAAGTTCACGGCTGCGTTGAGCGCCGTGGTGGCGGAGGAAGGCCGCGAGGCCACCTTCCAGTGCGTGGTGTCCCCCGGCGATGCGGCAGTCACGTGGTTCCGGGACGGCGCCTTGCTGCAGCCCAGTGAGAAGTTTCTCATAGCGCAGAGGGGCGCCGGCCACAGCCTGACTATCTCCGGCCTGACCCTGGAGGATGCTGGCGAGATCACTGCAGAGGCTGAGGGTGTCAAGTCCTCGGCTGCTCTTCGGGTGCGAGGTGCGTGGATGGGGCCGCGGGGAGGGCCTCCCCGTGGGCTGGTTCCCTGGCGGCCTTCTGATGCCGGCCTGGGTCCAGCTGGTCTGGGTGACCTGGAGGCTGCACAAAGGAGACTCGGGTGGGGCCCAGGGGCTGGGTAGCTACTCGGAAGGGGACAAAGTAAACTCCCCCAAGGGGCATCTGGTCGGGGAGTGGGCAGAGGTTGAGGCTGTCCAGTGAGGCTTCCTGGAGGAGGCATCCCAAGCCAAGCCCCATGGATGGAAGTGGAGTTGGCAGCCAGTGCAAGCACCTTCTGGGGAGAACATGGCAGAGCCTGGGGCGGGGAGGCCCACTTTTCATTCCTTGATGTGGAGTGTCCAGGGTCTCCTTAAGGCTGGTGCGGCAGGTCTGGGGGCTCAGTCTGTTGCACCAGCTCCCGGGACCCGCTGTTGGCGGTCATGGGCCACACTTAGGAGTGCCAGGCCCTTTGCCTGGTTGGGTTGTTGGGAGCAGGGGAGCAGGAGATGAGAGGCGTGCTGAGGAGGGAGCAGCCTCCCAGGGCCTCAGCTTCCTCCTGTGTGACTGGACCTGTGCAGGTGCAGGGCTGGGCCCAGCTTGGAGGCGGAATGTGAGGTTGAGGTGGGGAGCAGCTTTGCCCGGTGGGGGGAGGGAGGGCCCTCGGGCTCTGGCTCTTTCAAGAGTGGCAGTGACTGCGGTGACCTCCCTTGCTTGCGGCCCCAGAGGCTCCGGTGCTGTTCAGAAAGAAGCTGGAACCCCAGACGGTGGAAGAGCGGAGCTCAGTGACCATGGAAGTGGAGCTGACGCGGCCGTGGCCTGAGGTCAAGTGGACACGGAATGCAATAGCCCTGGCGCCAGGCAAGAACGTGGAGGTTCACGCGGAAGGCACCAGTCACCGCTTGGTTCTGCACTGCGTGGGTTTCTCGGACCGTGGCTTCTATGGGTGCGAGACTCCGGACGACAAGACACAGGCCAAGCTCACCGTGGAAAGTGAGCAGCAGCTGGACCTGGGGGTCGGGCATCTAGGCAGGAGGGGGGGAGGGCGGTGGATGTCCCCCTGGAGGGGCAGGCCCCGGGGGTAAGGAAGGGGTGTGCCTTTCCCCCTGGACAGCTGGCCTGCGGGCTAAGGTGTCCATGCACGGCTCACCCCTGCCCCTGCGTGTGTGCCCAGTGCGCCAGGTCCGGCTGGTCCGGGGCCTGCAGGCCGCGGAGGCTTGGGAGCAGGGTGCCGTCAGCATGGAGGTGAAGCTGTCACATGACCACGTGGAGGGCAGCTGGACGCGTGATGGCCTGCGGCTGCAGCCAGGGCCCACCTGCCAGCTAGCAGTGCATGGCCCCATTCACACCCTCACGCTGCTGGAGCTGCGGCCGCAGGACAGCGGCCTCATCGCCTTCAAAGCCGAGGGGGTGCACACGTCTGCGCAGCTCATGGTCACCGGTGCGTGGGCGTGGGTGGGACCCGCCGCAGAGCGCACCCGCCTCTGTCCCCAAGGTGGCCTGGGGAGGCAGGCGGGGTCGTGGTCGTGGAATCCTGGGGGCAGGGCACTGGGTCTCGCCCCTCGAACCAGCTGTGTGATACCGCCCTGCTCTCACCTCCCCCCTCCTGCCCACCTAGAGCTGCCTGTGAGGTTCAGCCGCCCCCTGCAGGACATGGTGGCCACCGAGAAGGACAAGGTGACCCTGGAATGTGAGCTGTCGCGCCCCAACGTGGATGTGCGCTGGCTGAAGGTGCCTCCCTCCCCCCGGAGTCCTCTGGCTGCCCTTACCTCTCACGGGTGCCTGGCAGGCGAGGCGCTGCTCTGCGGGGCAGTCCCAGCACCTGACCCGACCTCATCCCTCCTCAGGACGGTGTGGAGCTGCGCGTGGGCAAGACAGTGGGCATGGTGGCCCAGGGTGCGTGTCGGAGTCTCATCATTTACCGGTGTGAGCTCGGGGACCAGGGCGTGTACGTGTGTGATGCCCACGATGCTCAGAGCTCAGCCTCCCTGAAGGTGCAAGGTGGGCAGATTAGGGGTCAGAACCTCCTGGCCTCCCCACATTCCCAGCCAGGTGCTTAGCCCCCTGGCTGCCCTGCCCTGTACCCTTCAGCAGTCTGGGCGGGAGGGGGGGAGGGGCAGCTCCGTGTGTCCAGGTGCGACAAGGCCCTGCTTGTTACCCCAGGTCGCAAGGTTCAGATCGTGAGGCCCCTGGAAGATGTGGAGGTGATGGAGAAGGAGGGTGCCACATTCTCCTGTGAGGTCTCTCTGGACGAGGTGCCGGCCCAGTGGTTTTGGGAGGGCAGTAAGCTTCGGCCCAGTGACAACGTGCGCATCCGCCAGGAAGGTGCGATATTGGGCAGGCTGCGGGAGGGCACGTCCTCCTCCTGTCCCCAGGCCCTCCTCCCCCCAGTACTGAGTGACCTGTGTTCCCAGGAAGGAAATACACTCTCATCTACCGGAGGGTCCTGGCAGAAGATGCAGGGGAGATCAGATTTGTTGCCGAAAGTGCAGAATCGCGAGCGGAGCTCCGAGTGAAAGGTGAGGGAGCCCAGAGGGGGGTCTGTGCTGGGCAGTGTGTGGGTGAACACACACGTTTTGGGCCTTCCAAGGGCTGACAGTCCGCTGTCCCAGGAAAGACCCCAGGCCCTTCTTGGGAGGAGGACAGCAATGACCCAGAAGGAGGAGAGGGAGGTGTTGCCTCCTCAGCAGGAGGACAGGGGTCTGGGAGAGGCAGCTCCGGGTATGAGGGCTCAGGGTCTCCTTGTTGAAAATGGAGGCAGCAGTAAACCGTTCCTCTTCCTGGGACCGTGGCAAGTGCTGGAGAGGTGGCGAGGGCAGGTGGCACCCCGGCAGGTGGCGAGCGTCAGCCCTTACCTGGTGGCCTTGGTGACAGTGAGGGCATCGAGGAGGGAGGATCTGCCTCAAGGGGGGACGGGCTAAGGCATACGGGGCTTGGATTTGCTTGATGCAGGGGTGTGCCAGGCGGGCGCAGGGTGTGGTGTGGGGAAAAGTGGCAAGGCGGGCATGTGTGGGGGTCAGGGGTATGCCGAAGGAGCTTGAGAAGGGCCAGGGGCATGCATGTGGCTGCGCTCAGCTTTCTCCCGGCCAGCGGTGTGCAGTGGGTCCCAGAGAAGCCCGAGGGGGACACTCGGGGTAGCCGTCTGCTGGACAGGGACGGGGCCAGCGCGGGCTGTTCTGCCCGAGGGCGGTGGCCCAGCCTGCTGGTGGAAGGCTGCAGAGGCAGAGCGCCCAGACCGAGGTGGGGGTGGGGTTTCGAAGCCCAGAGCACCCCCAACCGCCCCCGCCACACCCACAGAGCTGCCGGTGGCCATCCTGCGCCCGCTGCGGGACAAGATAGCCATGGAGAAGCACCGGGGCGTGCTGGAGTGCCAGATGTCTCGCGCCAGCGCGCAGGTGCAGTGGTTCAAGGGCCCCGTGGAGCTGCGGCCCGGGCCCAAGTATGAGATGGTCAGTGACGGCCTCTACCGGAAGCTAATCATCAAGGATGTGCAGCCCGAGGACGAGGACACCTACACCTGCGATGCTGGGGACGCGAAGACCAGCGCCCAGTTCTTCGTGGAAGGTGCGGGCAGCGCGGTGCGGGCGCCTCCCCCGAGTCCCGGTGGCGGTGCGCCGTCCTCCCAGCGGGACCGCGCCGGTGACCAGCCCCTCCCCCACAGAGCAATCCATCACCATCGTGCGCGGCCTGCAGGACGTCACGGTGATGGAGCCCGCCCCCGCCTGGTTCGAGTGTGAGACGTCCATTGCGTCGGTGCGGCCGCCCAAGTGGCTCCTGGGAAAGACGGTGCTGCGGGCCGGGGCCGACGTGGCCATGGAGCAGGAAGGCACCGTGCACCGCCTGACGCTGCGGCGCACCTGCTCCACCATGACGGGGCCCGTGCACTTCACCATCGGCAAGTCGCGCTCCACCGCGCGCCTGGCAGTTTCGGGTGAGCGCTCGGTCCGCGGCTGGCTGCGGCTGGAGCTGGCACAGGGCGCGGGGTGGACGCCGGGGTCCCTCCGTCGCCGCAGCGCCGCCCTCTCCCCTTCCGCCGCAGACATCCCCATGGTGCTCACGCGGCCGCTGGAGCCCAAGGCGGGGCGCGAGCAGCAGTCGGTGGTCCTGTCCTGCGACTTCAGGCCATCCCCCAAGGCCGTGCAGTGGTACAAGGAGGACACGCCGTTGGCGCCCTCTGAGAAGTTCAGGATGAGGCTGGAGGGCCACATGGCGGAGCTGCGCATCCTCCGCCTCACGCCCGCCGACGCGGGCCTCTACCGCTGCCAGGCCGGCAGCGCCCAGAGCAGCGCTGCGGTCACCGTGGAAGGTACGGAGGGCGCACGGGCCCTGGGAGGGCCTCCGGGGGAGGCGCCAGCGCGGGTGCTGAGCGGCGCGCTCTGCTCCGGGCAGCGCGCGAGGTCACAGTGACGCAGCCGATGCAGGACGCAGAAGTCACGGAGGAGGGCCGGGCCTGTTTCTCGTGCGAGCTGTCCCAGGAGGACGAGGAGGTGGAGTGGTCGCTCAACGGCGCGCCTCTGTACGGCGACAGCTTCCATGAGATCGCCCACGAGGGCCGGCGCCACACGCTGGTGCTGAAGCGGGTTCGGCGGGCGGACGCGGGCACCGTGCGCGCCCGCTCCCCCAAGGTGTCGGCCACTGCCCGCCTGGAGGTCAAAGGTGAGGCGTCCCTGCGGGGCCCTCGGGGTTCCCCAGGGAGGGGCGCGGGGCTCTCGGCAGGCCGGACGGAGCGGCGCTCGCTCACCTGCCCACACTCGCCCCAGCCAAGCCGGTGGTGTTCCTGAAGGCTCTGGACGATGTGTCCGCGGAGGAGCGGGGCACGCTGGCCCTGCAGTGTGAGGTCTCGGACCCCCAGGCCCGCGTGGTGTGGCGAAAGGACAGCGTGGAGCTGGGCCCCAGCGACAAGTACGACTTCCTGCACACGGCGGGCACGCGCGGGCTCGTGGTGCATGACCTGAGCCGGGACGACGCCGGCCTCTACACTTGCAGCGTGGGCTCCGAGGAGACCCGCGCCAGAGTCAGTGTGCACGGTGCGTGGCGCTGGGAGAGCTCAGGGGGCGTGGCGGGCCCGGGGGCGTGGCCTGTTCCAGGGGCGGGGCCGGCTCTAGGGGGCGGAGCCGGTCTTAGGGGCGGGGCCGGGGGCGGCCGGGCCCAGGGGGTGGGGTCAGTCCCAGGGGGTGGAGCCGTTTCCCGGGATGGGGGCGGCTCTGGGGGACGGGGGCATGAACGGGTCTCGGTCCAGGGGTGGAGCCGCGCCCAGGGGGCGGGGGTGGGGGTGGGCCCGGGGGGGGGGGGCAGGGTCAGTTCCAGGGGGCGGGGCCTGTTCCAGGGGTGGGGGCGGGGTCAGTCCCGGGGGCGGAGCCGTGGGCGGTTCTGGGCTCAGGGGGCGGGGCCGGGTCCAGGGGCGGGTCTGGGTCCAGAAGGCGGGGGCGGATGCAGGGGCGGAGCCGGCTTCTGGGGGCGGGGCGGGGGGCGGGGCGGGTCTGGGTCCAGGGCGCGGGCGCGCCTCCAGGGGCGGAACCGGTTTCAGGATGCGGGGCTGCTTCCAGGTTTCGGGGGCTGCCCCTGCTCGGGGCCCAGCCCTTCTCCAAGGCCGGAGGCTGCCCTGCAGAGCTCTTGAGGTCAGGGCTGGCTCCTGGAGGAGCGGGTTTGATGGGATCCTGGGAGGCCCAGGTGCAGGCAGAGGGGTGAGGGACGGTAAGCAATGGTAGGACTGGGGACACTGAACTGGCCATGCTTGATGGAGTCTCAGGGGGCCAGGGATTGAACAGAGGCTGGAGACAGTCCCCCTGTGCCAGGGGCTGTGTGTGGGCAGTTGCGGGGGCCACAGAGAGGTACAGTCAGGATCACGCTTGGGGGTGGCCGGTGGCAGAGGCCCAGATGTCGGGCATAGGGTGCCCTGGAGGGACCCCCAGGCTCCAGGCAAAGCCTGGTGAAGGTGGTTGTTGGCAGGCCACGTTCTTGTTGGGTTGCCACATGGAACCACACCGTGGACCCCATAGGCCACCCAGCTATCAGGGCAGCATGGGCCCCCTCACCCCTGGGACACCAGGGTCCCTTTGGATGTCCCTCTCAGCCTGGGCCTGGCCTCCTGTGTGCACTGCTGTCCTGGCCCAGCTGCTCTGGTCCGGTTCTCCTTCGCATGCACGCATGGCAGGCTTGCTGCCCAGTCACCCTGTGCGGGTTCCTGCTGGTCTGGTTGGGGTTTGAGGTGAGACAGGAAAGGGGGCAGGGCAGTGTGGTGAGTTCGTTCTAGAGCTGGATGGCCCCTTCATCTGGGGCTCCCATTCTTGCCCTGCTGGAGCATTCGAGCTGGTGACCGCTGTGGACAGGGCTTGTTCTCTAGCAGACAGGAAGTGACCACACTGGTTGGAACAGCTCTCCATGATGCGAACACCAGGGTTCAGCCAGCTGGAGGCATTTGCTGAGGGGGCAGCAGGCCCCCCATGCCTGGGGCAGGTCCGGGCTCGACAGTGCCAGCCTTGGGGGCGGGGGGGGGGGGGAGACTGGTGTCCAAGAGCCCGGCCTGGTACGACCACCATCTCCTGTGGCCCACAGACCTGCACGTGGGCATCACCAAGAGGCTGAAGACGGTGGAGGTACTGGAGGGCCAGAGCTGCAGCTTTGAGTGTGTCCTGTCCCACGAGAACACCGGCGATGTGGCCACATGGACAGTGGGTGGGAAGACGGCGGGTGGCTCGGGCCGCTTCCGGGCCACACGCCAGGGCCGCAAGTACACCCTGGCTGTCCAGGATGCTGCTCCTAGTGATGCTGGGGAGGTGGTGTTCTCCGTGCGGGACCTCACCTCCAAGGCCTCCCTCATTGTCCGAGGTGGGCACCGTGGGCAGGACGGGATGGGGGTGGCGTGGGGCCTCGGCCGGGCCCTGGAGAGCTCCCTGGTTGGAGACCCAGAGACACCTGTTGGGGTGCTGGGGGGTTTAGTCATCTGAGGGAGCTCCCTCTGTAGGGTGAGACTGTCCAGACTCTGGGCAGAAGCAGGGTTTCTGGTCTCTGGTGTGTGGTCTGACCACTGTGGGATCTTCCAGGCTCGCGGCTCACTGAGCTGGCAAAATTGCCACGCTTTGCGTCCTGGGGCTCTGAACATGCTGCGGTGTGAGAGTCTGTGGTCTCGTGTCTCCTCTCCCCAGCCCCTCCCTCGTGACCACGGGGACTCCTGATTCCCAGGGCCCTGTGCCCACCTGCCCTTTCCTCACCCTGAGCACGGCTGGGGCCTGGCCGGGGCTCACGGGGGACTGCTCTGCTCTCTTCAGAGAGGCCAGCGCATATCACGAAGCCGCTGGAAGGCCAGCGGGCTGCTGCGGGCGAGGATGTGGTGCTGAGCTGCGAGCTGTCTCGGGCCGGCGCCCCGGTGCGCTGGCTGAGGGCTGGGAAGGCCATTCGCGAGAGTCAGAAGTATGACCTGGTCACAGAAGGCACTCGGGCCATGCTGGTGGTCCGTGCGGTCTCACCCAAGGACTCAGGCGAATACACGTGTGAGACAGAGGCTTCCAAGAGCACAGCGAGCCTCCTTGTGGAAGGTGACCCCACAAGAGACCCGGGGATGGGTCCCCATGGCCTCGGCAGGGGAGCTGCCCATGGTGGGGGCCGGTCCCTGTCCCGAGGGGCCGGCATGGGGTCTGAGCAGCCCTCAACCCCCCTCCTTCCCACCCCCTTCCCAGAAAAGGCAAACCGATTCACAGAGGAGCTGGCCGATCTGCAGGCAGAGGAGAAGGGCACGGCCGTGTTCGTGTGTAAGACAGAGCTTCCCGCAGCCACGGTGACCTGGCGCAAGGGCCTCGCGGACCTGCGTGCCTCAAGGAAGTACACCCCCAGCCAGGAGGGCCTGACCTTGAAGCTCACCATCAGTGCCCTGGACAAGGCAGACGCTGACATCTACAGCTGTGACATTGGCCAGGCCTGTTCACAGGCCCGGCTCCTGGTGCAAGGTGAGGCCTGGCGCCGTGCTGGCCTGCGCCGTGGTTAGCTGTGAGCTTTGTTTAAGGGGGCTTGGAGGCCCTCGGAGACCAGCCTCAGTTTCCCTATCCGCGGGGGGTTGGGCCTGGGTGGTCTCGTCTCTGAGACCCTGCTGGGGGCACCTGGTGTGAATTCGTGCAGTCATGTGCTGAGAGCTCTTTCTGTGTGCTGGCGTGAGCCTGGCCCCCCACATGGGGGCTCCGCGGGGATTGCGCACGGGGTGCGTGGGCCCGGCCCCCACACGGGGCCTCCGCGGGGATTGCGCACGGGGTGCGTGGGCCCGGCCCCCACACGGGGCCTCCGCGGGGATTGCGCACGGGGTGCGTGGCGCGGCCCCCACACGGGGGCTCCGAGGGGATTGCGCATGGGGTGCGTGGCCCGACCCCCACACGGGGGCTCCGCGGGGATTGCGCACGGGGTGCGTGGCCTGCAGGCCTCCCGGGGTGAGGAGCAGTTGCACCTGCCGGGCACCCACCTCACAGATCGGGAGATGGGGCCTGACGCAGGGTCCGTGGCCGGCCCAGGGTCCACAGGGCACGCTGGTGTCCCCGCAGAGCGGTGCACCGCCCTCCCAACGCCAGCGCCAGCAACCAGGGTCGGAGAAGTCCCTCCTGGGGGGGAGGGGTCTGTGCACAGGAAACAAGGAAAGAACAGCAAAGAAGACTTGCTGTGTTTTTTCCTCTGCTTTTCTGTGAAAACCAGCAGATCCAGTGACCTCACCCCAAACCACTCTGTGACTGCAACAGAAACCATGCTCTGTAAGAAATTGGTACTCAGGCTTAATCCAAAAGATGTCAGTTAAAGTGAGCGTCACACAGTAGCAAAGCATTGTCCTTGAAAACGAGACACCGACGCGCCTGCCCGGCGGTACGGCCGGAGCCCTGGGTTTGGGTGCCGGTCTGCGACTGTTTCCTAGTCCTCTCTGCAGGCGCTGCCCACCACGCGTTCCTTCCGTGGTCCCACAGCTCTAAGACCCCTGCAGGTGCAGGAGGAACCCGCAGGCAGAGTCCTTTGTAGTCGTTCGGACTTCTCTCTGAGCTGTCCCCACATCTATATCGGCAACAGAAGTGGGGTTTTCCCCTAACAAGTCAAGTTGCTCATTCTCCAAAGCGTTTGATTTAAATTTTAACACAGACACAACTGCGTTGTCACACTCCTGTTCCTTGTGTTCCTCCACGACTAGATGGCTTTCTGTGGCCTTGAGGGTGGATGTCGGCAGGTGAGGGGGCAGTTTGGTGACAGAGGACCTGCTGTGGCCCTCGCGGTGTGCTCTGCAGAAGGACCCCAGATGCGGGTTTGGGGCTCATCAGTGAAGCGGAAACAAACACGGTGCCCCTCGCTGGTTCCTGGGTTTGTTGTCCTGAGCCCGTGAAAGCCACGTGCTTGCTCTGACCGTGACCCATTTAGGTCTTGGGGAGTGCTGGTCTCCCTTAGCAGCTGGCTGCAGGGGACCCTGACTCGCCAGTCTGTGCCCTGCAGGCCAGAGAGTGCTCATCACAGAGGATCTGGAGGACATGGAGGTGCGCGAGGGCTCCTCAGCCACCTTCTCCTGCCGCGTCTCCCCTGCCGACTACGGGCCGGTGCACTGGTTCTTGGACAAGACGCCCCTGCACCCCAACGAGCTCAATGAGATTGAGGTTCAGCCAGGTGGTTACCACGTGCTCACCCTGCGGCAGCTTGCTCTCAAGGACTCAGGCACCGTCCATTTCGAGGCAGGGGACCAGCGGGCCTCGGCCACCCTGCGGGTCACAGGTGGGCGGTGTGCTCAGCGCGATGGTGGGGCCTGGTCCGTGGGGCTGAGGGTGCAGCCTGTGGAGGGCAGATGCTGGCCATGCGCAGAGCATGGTCCTGGGGCTCATGGGGATGGTGCCCAGCCCGTGGATCCCAGGGAGGTGGGGCTGTTGGAAGGTGATCATTGCACGTGGGGTGCAGAGGTGATCCCGCTGTCCCCAGTGTGGGCTGCGCCATGCCAGGCCTGCCCCGTTCCCCCGCAGCCCCTGTGCAGCCCCACCCGAGGGTCTGCAGCAGTCCCCAAGCGTCCCGCGCCTCTCTCTGTACCTCCAGAAAAGCCAAGCGTCTTCTCCCGCGAGCTCACAGATGCTACAGTCACAGAGGGGGAGGATCTGACCCTGGTCTGTGAGACCACCGCCCTGGACAGCCCCGTGTGCTGGACCAAGGACGGGAAAGCCCTGCGGCCATCAGCCCGTTGCCAGCTGAGCCAGGAGGGCCACCAGGCCCAGCTGGTCATTACCGGCGCCACCCTGCAGGACGGCGGGCGCTACAGGTGTGAGTCCGGGGGCTCCTGGAGCAGCTCCATTGTCAGGGTCCATGGTAAGTCCCCGGGCTCACACCCATGTCTCAGGGTGGGAGGGCCCCCTCTGTCCATCTCCAGGGCTCTGCTGCTTTGCTAGAATCACCCCTCTTCTGTCACCTCATCAGATGCGTGTTTCTTGCTTTGTTCCTGCGTCTTGTTTTCTGTGTTCCCCTCCTTCTGACTTGGCTCGTCTCCACCTGTCCCAGCACGGGCCACGTAACAAATACCTCACACTGGGCAGTCAAGCAACAGACATTGATGGTCTCCTCGCCCTGGAGCTGGGGAGCCCCAGGTCCAGGCGTGGGCGTGTCTGGATGCACTTCTCCCCGTGTCCCTGCATTGTTGTCTGTCTGTGTCCGTCTCTTCTCACAAGATTACATAACTCACAGGATTAGGCCTCATTTTACCTTAATTACCTCTGGAAAGACCCTCTCCAAAAACAGTCGTTCTGAGGTTCTGGGGGCTGGGGTATGAATTTGGGGGTACAGTTCATGCTACTCTGCCCTTCTCTGCTCGCACCTGTTCGGCTCCCCCTCCTGGAGGATGGAGTTTGGGGGCTCGCTCTCCATAGCCCCCAGTGCATAAAGGGCGAGGCGGGCCTGCCTGCGCCCTCTGGCTGCCGCGTCCCCAGTTGTCGTCAGCCATGGGGGCCCGCAGCTGGGATGCAGGACGTGGGTGCCGAGCCGAGCCTGTGCCTGCCCACAGCACGGCCGGCACGCTTCCAGGAGGGGCTGAAGGACCTGGAGGTGCTGGAGGGCGGGGCTGCCACTCTGCGCTGCATGCTGTCCTCTGTGGTCACGCCCGTGGAGTGGCGCCGTGGAGACGAGGCTCTGCGGCCCGGAGGCAAGTACAGCTTGCGTCAGGAGGGCACTGTGCTGGAGCTGGTGGTCAGGGACCTGCGGCCCCAGGACAGCGGGCAGTATTCCTGCTGCTTCAGGGACCAGATGACCTTGGCCACACTCACTGTGAAGGGTAAGCATCCCTGCCCGCACTGCCCACAGGCCTCTTTCGTCCCTGTGGGAGGATGAAAATGACATTCTCTGTTGGGCCCTGTTGCAGCCCTGCCTGCTGAGTTCATAGGGAGACTGAGAAGCAAGGAGGCCACGGAAGGGGCCACGGCCACGCTGCACTGTGAGCTGAGCAAGGAGGCCCCTGTGGAGTGGAGGAAGGGCTCTGAGACCCTCAGAGCTGGGGACAGAGTCAGCCTGAAGCAGGACGGGGCCGTGTGTGAGCTGGAGATCCGTGGCCTGGCCGTGGCAGATGCCGGGGAGTACTCGTGCGTGTGCGGGCAGGAGAGGACGTCGGCCACACTGACTGTCAGGGGTAAAGACCGTGTGTGGCCATGTGGAGCAATGTCTCCATGTCCCAAAGCTGTGTCATGTCCTGTTGCTCTGCCCTAGTCACTGCATGGTCCTTGTGCTTTTCTGTGTGTCTCCTGCATCCTGCAGCATGAATCTCTAGGACCTCCTTGAGTGATGCTCATATTGGATAAACTGTGGAGAACAAGGCCCTTCCTGCCCTCAAGGGGCATCCCTCAGTAGAAACACAATTACAGCCTTCTTGAGGCCTCTGAAGTGAGTGTGCCAGAGGAGGAACTAGGAAGTAGATTGAAGCTTGGCATTCGAGACAGGGTTACCAGGAGGCTGATTAAGGAGGAGAGCCAGGACACACATGCAGGGCCATGGGAGAGCTTTAGGGGGTGAAGTGTGGGTGGAAGTAAAGTCTAGGTATGGAGATGAAGTAGAGGCTTGTTGGATCTGGAGACAAGGTTGTTGAGGTATGTACGAAGGTTGAGGTGAGGTGAGTTGGGTGTGGAGCTGAGGTGAGGTGGGTGAGGAAGGTGAGGTGAGGTGGGTGTGGAGGTGAGGTGAGGTGAGGTGGGTGAGGAAGGTAAGGTGAGGTGAGGTGGGTGTGGAGGTGAGGTGAGGTGGGTGAGGATGGTGAGGAGAAGTGAGGTGGTTGAGGAGCTGAGGCAAGGTGAGATGGGTAAGGAAGGTGAGGTGAGGTGGGTGAGGATGGTGAGGAGAAGTGAGGTGGGTGAGGAACTGAGGTGAGGTGGGTAAGGAAGGTGAGGTGAGGTGGGTGTGGAAGGTAAGGTGAGGCGAGGTGGATGTGGAGGTGAGGGGAGGTGGATGTGGAGGTGAGATGAGGTGGATGAGGAAGGTAAGGTGAGGTGAGGTGGGTGTGGAGGTGAGGTGAGGTGGGTGAGGATGGTGAGGAGAAGTGAGGTGGTTGAGGAGCTGAGGCAAGGTGAGATGGGTAAGGAAGGTGAGGTGAGGTGGGTGAGGATGGTGAGGAGAAGTGAGGTGGGTGAGGAACTGAGGTGAGGTGGGTAAGGAAGGTGAGGTGAGGTGGGTGTGGAAGGTAAGGTGAGGCGAGGTGGATGTGGAGGTGAGGGGAGGTGGATGTGGAGGTGAGATGAGGTGGATGAGGAAGGTAAGGTGAGGTGAGGTGGGTGTGGAGGTGAGGTGAGGTGGGTGAGGATGGTGAGGAGAAGTGAGGTGGTTGAGGAGCTGAGGCGAGGTGGGTGTGGAGTGAGGTGGGTGAGGAGGTGAGGTGAGGTGGGTGAAGAGCTGAGGCAAGGTGAGATGGGTGAGGAGGTGAGGTGAGGTGGGTATGGTGGTGACTCGATGTTGGGGTTATGTGACAAGCTGAGGTGGGAGGTGAGGTTTGGGTGTAGAAGGAGGGGAAGGTCAGGAGTGCCTGACCCAGGAAGGCAGGTGAGTCTCCATGTTGGGTGGGGGTCCACGTGGGGTGACTGGCAGGTGGGTTGGCTGTGCTCACAGCAGCCGTAGGAGGGTCCAGTGGGGTATGTCAGGCTGGGGTGGAACAGGATGCACAGGGAAGGGCAGGGTTGTGTCAGCTGGAGGAGGAGGGCTGGTCCGGGGATCAGGGATGACAGGGCCATGTCCTGTGGGGGCGGGGCTGGAGGAGGCAGGTGGGGGGGTCCCTGTGCAGTGGAGCTGCCTCCTAGGGGGTGTCCTGTCCGCCATCCCCAGGGACCTTGCCTCCGATAGGCAGCCATGTTGCCAACTTTGTGTCTGTGGTTGTTCGTTCTCTTCTGGCTTGAGCTCATGGTCTGTGTCTGTTTGACCCTCCCAGGCCTGACCACCCCCATTCACAAAGGTCCTGAGGCCTGGGCAGGCGAAGGGAGAGGGGCCTTGTGCAGTGTTGTGAGGGTCCCAAGACCCTTGGGGATGCACAGGCCCTGGCCATGGTGTGGCTGGTGGCTCCCTGGGCTGGGGCTGGGGTCCTCAGGGGTCCTTTTGGGGGCCTGGTCACTTCCTGCAGGGAAGCAGATGGGACAGGGCAGGATGAGGCCGCCCACTGCATCCTGGAGTGGTCCCAGGAGCAAGGCCAGGCCCCTTGCCACTCGAGCCGTGTGAACAGGCACCACATCTTTGCCAAGGAGGTACTGGGTGACCTCATGGGGCGTGGGCAGGGGGCCCAAGAGAGCCGGTTCTAGAAGTGTGGGTCTCAAGGACACTTGCTGAAGGTGACAGGCCAGGAGGAGGGCAGCTCCTGTTTCCCTCAGCTGGGTGGTCCTTGCTCCTGTGGAGAGTTCAGGGGGCCTGTTTCATGTCTCCTTCCTCAGCTGTATCTGCCAGGATCACAAAAGCACCACAATATAGGGAGCCACTGAGGGGCCCATGACCATGGTGTGATCTGAGTGGGGCAACTTGGGGTGTGTGGAATAGAGGAAGGACCGGGGCCCTTGAATCTGGTATCAGGCTAGTCTGAGGCAGGACGGGCCATGGGAGATGCTGGAAGGTGTCCCCTGTGGGCGCTGTGGCCGTTTCTGCATGTGTGTCCATGTCCTGAGGTCCGCTGAGGATGCCAACTCCTCTGTCTACTTGCTGGCCTGCATGCAGATGAGTTTAGGTCAGTCTGTCCTCTGCTCCTACACACTGATTCTCCCACCTGTCTGAGTGTCCAGGCTTTGATTCCTAATTTGCTCCAGAATGTGTTTCTTTGTTGAATGCCCACATCTGGACTCCTCATATTCCCCAGTCTGAGGTGCTCTGTCTCACCTTGACCCTCCCCAGCCCTGCCCCCCAAGTTCACCAAGGGCCTGAGGAAGGAAGAGGCCACGGAAGGGGCCACAGCCACGCTGCTCTGTGAGCTGAGCAAGGCGGCCCGTGTGGAGTGGAGGAAGGGGTCTGAGACACTCAGAGCTGGGGACAGAGTCAGCCTGAGGCAGGATGGGACCGTGTGTGAGCTGGAGATCCGTGGCCTGGCCGTGGCAGATGTTGGGGAGTATTCGTGTGTGTGCGGGCAGGAGAGGACATCGGCCACACTGACCATCAGGGGTAAAGACCACGTGTGGCCGTGTGGACCTGTGGCTTGGTGTCTGCCCATCATAACTGTGTGACCACCTTCCCTCTGTTAGACTGCATGGACATGTGTGTCTCTCCAGCTGGGTCCCCCTGGGATCTCTCAGTCTCCATCTCTGTGTCCAGTATTTGTCTTGATGTTCATGTCCAGGCTCGTGTCTCCTCCTGGACCATTTGCCTCCTACCCCACCTGCGCTTCTTTCACTCATTCATGTCCTGGTCCTCTGCAGTTTGTGTGGTACTTGTGGGTGTCTGGTCCTGGACACAGAGTCCCCAAGACAGTCTGATGTCTCTCTGATCCTTGGCTCTCCCCAGCCCTGCCTGCCAAGTTCACAAAAAGTCTGAAGACTGAGGAGGCCACAGAAGGGGACACGGCCACGCTGAGGTGTGAGCTGAGCAAGTCAGCCCCTGTGCAGTGGAAGAAGGGGCCCGAGACCCTCAGAGCTGGGGACAGAGTCAGCCTGAGGCAGGATGGGACCGTGTGTGAGCTGGAGATCCGTGGCCTGGCCGTGGCAGATGCTGGGGAGTATTCGTGTGTGTGCGGGCAGGAGAGGACATCGGCCACGCTGACCGTCAGGGGTAAAGACTCTCTGTGGCCACATGGGCCTCTGGCTTGGTGTCTGCCCATCATCTCCCTGTCACCGCTTATTCTTTGTAGGATTTCGTGGGCATCTGTGTCTTCCCAACTGTGGTTTCCGTGTCTGTCCTGGATCGGGTGTCCTCATTCAGCAGCCGTCCTGATGTTAGTGTCCGGTCCTTTGTGCCCCTTGTTTCTGCAAGGCCATTGCCTCCATCACTGTCTCTCTATGTGGGTCTCATTGATGCCATGGCCCTTTGTAGTTGGTTTGATCCTTGCGTGTGTGCCTGTCCTGGACACAAGCCCCCCAGCAGCCTACTGTTCTCTCTACTTTTTGGCTCTCCCCAGCCCTGGTGGCTGGAGTCATGCAACGTATGAGGCCTGAGGAGCCACTGAAGAGGCCATGGCCACACTGGGCACAGGCCAGGTTGAGGGAAGCCACAGCCACAGTGTGTGCTCAGCTCACCGAGCACGTGGCCCATGTCCACGTGGGTTTGTGTCTTCTTTGTGATGTTCGTGTGCTGTCCCTGTGGTCAGAGACCGTGATTGTGTCTCTGTCACTCTGACCCTCCCCAGCCCTGCCTGCTAAGTTCACCAAGGGCCTGAGAAAGGAAGAGGCCACGGAAGGGGCCACAGCCTCGCTGCACTGTGAGCTGAGCAAGGCGGCCCCTGTGGAGTGGAGGAAGGGGTCTGAGACACTCAGAGCTGGGGACAGAGTCAGCCTGAGGCAGGATGGGACCGTGTGTGAGCTGGAGATCCGTGGCCTGGCTGTGGCAGATGCTGGGGAGTACTCGTGTGTGTGCGGGCAGGAGAGGACATCGGCCACGCTGACCGTCAGGGGTAAAGACCACGTGTGGCCGTGTGGACCTGTGGCTTGGTGTCTGCCCATCGTCACTATGTGACCACCTTCCCTCTGTTAGACTGCGTGGACATGTGTGTCTCTCCAGCTGGGTCCCCCTGGGATCACTCAGTCTCCATCTCTGTGTCCAGTATTTGTCCTGATGTTCATGTGCAGGCTCGTGTCTCCTCCTGGACCATTTGCCTCCTACCCCACCTGCGCTTCTTTCACTCATTCATGTCCTGGTCCTCTGCAGTTTGTGTGGTACTTGTGGGTGTCTGGTCCTGGACACAGAGTCCCCAAGACAGTCTGATGTCTCCCTGATCCTTGGCTCTCCCCAGCCCTACCTGCCAAGATCACAAAAAGTCTGAAGACTGAGGAGGCCACAGAAGGGGACACGGCCACGCTGAGGTGTGAGCTGAGCAAGTCAGCCCCTGTGCAGTGGAAGAAGGGGCCCGAGACCCTCAGAGCTGGGGACAGAGTCAGCCTGAGGCAGGATGGGACCGTGTGTGAGCTGGAGATCCGTGGCCTGGCCGTGGCAGATGCTGGGGAGTATTCGTGTGTGTGCGGGCAGGAGAGGACATCGGCCACGCTGACCGTCAGGGGTAAAGACCACGTGTGGCCGTGTGGACCTGTGGCTTGGTGTCTGCCCATCGTCACTATGTGACCACCTTCCCTCTGTTAGACTGCGTGGACATCTGTGTCTCTCGAGCTGGGTCCCCCTGGGCTCTCTCAGTCTCCATCTCTGTGTCCAGTATTTGTCCTGATGTTCATGTCCAGGCTCGTGTCTCCTCCTGGACCATTTGCCTCCTACCCCACCTGCGCTTCTTTCACTCATTCATGTCCTGCAGTTTGTGTGGTACTTGTGGGTGTCTGGTCCTGGACACAGAGTCCCCAAGACAGTCTGATGTCTCCTTGATCCTTGGCTCTCCCCAGCCCTGCCTGCCAAGTTCACAAAAAGTCTGAAGACTGAGGAGGCCACAGAAGGGGACACGGCCACGCTGAGGTGTGAGCTGAGCAAGTCAGCCCCTGTGCAGTGGAAGAAGGGGCCCGAGACCCTCAGAGCTGGGGACAGAGTCAGCCTGAGGCAGGATGGGACCGTGTGTGAGCTGGAGATCCGTGGCCTGGCTGTGGCAGATGCTGGGGAGTACTCGTGTGTGTGCGGGCAGGAGAGGACATCGGCCACGCTGACCGTCAGGGGTAAAGACCACGTGTGGCCGTGTGGACCTGTGGCTTGGTGTCTGCCCATCATCACTATGTGACCACCTTCCCTCTGTTAGACTGCGTGGACATGTGTGTCTCTCCAGCTGGGTCCCCCTGGGATCACTCAGTCTCCATCTCTGTGTCCAGTATTTGTCCTGATGTTCATGTGCAGGCTCGTGTCTCCTCCTGGACCATTTGCCTCCTACCCCACCTGCGCTTCTTTCACTCATTCATGTCCTGGTCCTCTGCAGTTTGTGTGGTACTTGTGGGTGTCTGGTCCTGGACACAGAGTCCCCAAGACAGTCTGATGTCTCTCTGATCCTTGGCTCTCCCCAGCCCTGCCTGCCAAGTTCACAAAAAGTCTGAAGACTGAGGAGGCCACAGAAGGGGACACGGCCACGCTGAGGTGTGAGCTGAGCAAGTCAGCCCCTGTGCAGTGGAAGAAGGGGCCCGAGACCCTCAGAGCTGGGGACAGAGTCAGCCTGAGGCAGGATGGGACCGTGTGTGAGCTGGAGATCCATGGCCTGGCCGTGGCAGATGCTGGGGAGTACTCGTGTGTGTGCGGGCAGGAGAGGACATCGGCCACGCTGACCGTCAGGGGTAAAGACCACGTGTGGCCGTGTGGACCTGTGGCTTGGTGTCTGCCCATCGTCACTATGTGACCACCTTCCCTCTGTTAGACTGCGTGGACATGTGTGTCTCTCCAGCTGGGTCCCCCTGGGATCACTCAGTCTCCATCTCTGTGTCCAGTATTTTTCCTGATGTTCATGTGCAGGCTCGTGTCTCCTCCTGGACCATTTGCCTCCTACCCCACCTGCGCTTCTTTCACTCATTCATGTCCTGGTCCTCTGCAGTTTGTGTGGTACTTGTGGGTGTCTGGTCCTGGACACAGAGTCCCCAAGACAGTCTGATGTCTCCCTGATCCTTGGCTCTCCCCAGCCCTGCCTGCCAAGTTCACAAAAAGTCTGAAGACTGAGGAGGCCACAGAAGGGGACACGGCCACGCTGAGGTGTGAGCTGAGCAAGTCAGCCCCTGTGCAGTGGAAGAAGGGGCCCGAGACCCTCAGAGCTGGAGACAGAGTCAGCCTGAGGCAGGATGGGACCGTGTGTGAGCTGGAGATCCGTGGCCTGGCCGTGGCAGATGCTGGGGAGTATTCGTGTGTGTGCGGGCAGGAGAGGACATCGGCCACGCTGACCGTCAGGGGTAAAGACTCTCTGTGGCCACGTGGGCCTCTGGCTTGGTGTCTGCCCGTCATCTCCCTGTCACCGCTTATTCTTTGTAGGATTTCGTGGGCATCTGTGTCTTCCCAACTGTGGTTTCCGTGTCTGTCCTGGATCGGGTGTCCTCATTCAGCAGCCGTCCTGATGTTAGTGTCCGGTCCTTTGTGCTCCTTGTTTCTGCAAGGCCATTTGCCTCCATCACTGTCTCTCTATGTGGGTCTCATTGATGCCATGGCCCTTTGTAGTTGGTTTGATCCTTGCGTGTGTGCCTGTCCTGGACACAAGCCCCCCAGCAGCCTACTGTTCTCTCTACTTTTTGGCTCTCCCCAGCCCTGGTGGCTGGAGTCATGCAAAGTATGAGGCCTGAGGAGCCACTGAAGAGGCCATGGCCACACTGGGCACAGGCCAGGCTGAGGGAAGCCACAGCCACAGTGTGTGCTCAGCTCACCGAGCACGTGGCCCATGTCCACCTGGTTTTGTGTCTTCTCTGTGATGTTCATGTCCTGTCCCTGTGGTCAGAGACCGTGATTGTGTCTCTGTCTCTCTAACCCTCCCCAGCCCTGCCTGCTAAGTTCACCAAGGGCCTGAGGAAGGAAGAGGCCATGGAAGGGGCCACAGCCATGCTGCACTGTGAGCTGAGCAAGGCGGCCCCTGTGGAGTGGAGGAAGGGGTCTGAGACCCTCAGAGCTGGGGACAGAGTCAGCCTGAGGCAGGATGGGACCGTGTGTGAGCTGGAGATCCGTGGCCTGGCCGTGGCAGATGCTGGGGAGTATTCGTGTGTGTGCGGGCAGGAGAGGACATCGGCCACGCTGACCGTCAGGGGTAAAGACCACGTGTGGCCGTGTGGACCTGTGGCTTGGTGTCTGCCCATCGTCACTATGTGACCACCTTCCCTCTGTTAGACTGCGTGGACATGTGTGTCTCTCGAGCTGGGTCCCCCTGGGCTCTCTCAGTCTCCATCTCTGTGTCCAGTATTTGTCCTGATGTTCATGTGCAGGCTCGTGTCTCCTCCTGGACCATTTGCCTCCTACCCCACCTGCGCTTCTTTCACTCATTCATGTCCTGCAGTTTGTGTGGTACTTGTGGGTGTCTGGTCCTGGACACAGAGTCCCCAAGACAGTCTGATGTCTCCTTGATCCTTGGCTCTCCCCAGCCCTGCCTGCCAAGTTCACAAAAAGTCTGAAGACTGAGGAGGCCACAGAAGGGGACACGGCCACGCTGAGGTGTGAGCTGAGCAAGTCAGCCCCTGTGCAGTGGAAGAAGGGGCCCGAGACCCTCAGAGCTGGGGACAGAGTCAGCCTGAGGCAGGATGGGACCGTGTGTGAGCTGGAGATCCGTGGCCTGGCCGTGGCAGATGCTGGGGAGTACTCGTGTGTGTGCGGGCAGGAGAGGACATCGGCCACGCTGACCGTCAGGGGTAAAGACCACGTGTGGCCGTGTGGACCTGTGGCTTGGTGTCTGCCCATCGTCACTATGTGACCACCTTCCCTCTGTTAGACTGCGTGGACATGTGTGTCTCTCCAGCTGGGTCCCCCTGGGATCACTCAGTCTCCATCTCTGTGTCCAGTATTTGTCCTGATGTTCATGTGCAGGCTCGTGTCTCCTCCTGGACCATTTGCCTCCTACCCCACCTGCGCTTCTTTCACTCATTCATGTCCTGGTCCTCTGCAGTTTGTGTGGTACTTGTGGGTGTCTGGTCCTGGACACAGAGTCCCCAGGACAGTCTGATGTCTCCCTGATCCTTGGCTCTCCCCAGCCCTGCCTGCCAAGTTCACAAAAAGTCTGAAGACTGAGGAGGCCACAGAAGGGGACACGGCCACGCTGAGGTGTGAGCTGAGCAAGTCAGCCCCTGTGCAGTGGAAGAAGGGGCCCGAGACCCTCAGAGCTGGGGACAGAGTCAGCCTGAGGCAGGATGGGACCGTGTGTGAGCTGGAGATCCGTGGCCTGGCCGTGGCAGATGCTGGGGAGTATTCGTGTGTGTGCGGGCAGGAGAGGACATCGGCCACGCTGACCGTCAGGGGTAAAGACTCTCTGTGGCCACGTGGGCCTCTGGCTTGGTGTCTGCCCGTCATCTCCCTGTCACCGCTTATTCTTTGTAGGATTTCGTGGGCATCTGTGTCTTCCCAACTGTGGTTTCCGTGTCTGTCCTGGATCGGGTGTCCTCATTCAGCAGCCGTCCTGATGTTAGTGTCCGGTCCTTTGTGCTCCTTGTTTCTGCAAGGCCATTTGCCTCCATCACTGTCTCTCTATGTGGGTCTCATTGATGCCATGGCCCTTTGTAGTTGGTTTGATCCTTGTGTGTGTGCCTGTCCTGGACACAAGCCCCCCAGCAGCCTACTGTTCTCTCTACTTTTTGGCTCTCCCCAGCCCTGGTGGCTGGAGTCATGCAAAGTATGAGGCCTGAGGAGCCACTGAAGAGGCCATGGCCACACTGGGCACAGGCCAGGCTGAGGGAAGCCACAGCCACAGCGTGTGCTCAGCTCACCGAGCACGTGGCCCATGTCCACGTGGGTTTGTGTCTTCTCTGTGATGTTCATGTCCTGTCCCTGTGGTCAGAGACCGTGATTGTGTCTCTGTCTCTCTGACCCTCCCCAGCCCTGCCTGCTAAGTTCACCAAGGGCCTGAGGCAGGAAGAGGCCATGGAAGGGGCCACAGCCATGCTGCACTGTGAGCTGAGCAAGGCGGCCCCTGTGGAGTGGAGGAAGGGGTCTGAGACCCTCAGAGCTGGGGACAGAGTCAGCCTGAGGCAGGATGGGACCGTGTGTGAGCTGGAGATCCGTGGCCTGGCCGTGGCAGATGCTGGGGAGTATTCGTGTGTGTGCGGGCAGGAGAGGACATCGGCCACGCTGACCGTCAGGGGTAAAGACCACGTGTGGCCGTGTGGACCTGTGGCTTGGTGTCTGCCCATCGTCACTATGTGACCACCTTCCCTCTGTTAGACTGCGTGGACATGTGTGTCTCTCGAGCTGGGTCCCCCTGGGATCTCTCAGTCTCCATCTCTGTGTCCAGTATTTGTCCTGATGTTCATGTCCAGGCTCGTGTCTCCTCCTGGACCATTTGCCTCCTACCCCATCTGTGCTTCTTTCACTCATTCATGTCCTGGTCCTCTGCAGTTTGTGTGGTACTTGTGGGTGTCTGGTCCTGGACACAGAGTCCCCAAGACAGTCTGATGTCTCCCTGATCCTTGGCTCTCCCCAGCCCTGCCTGCCAAGTTCACAAAAAGTCTGAAGACTGAGGAGGCCACAGAAGGGGACACGGCCACGCTGAGGTGTGAGCTGAGCAAGTCAGCCCCTGTGCAGTGGAAGAAGGGGCCCGAGACCCTCAGAGCTGGGGACAGAGTCAGCCTGAGGCAGGATGGGACCGTGTGTGAGCTGGAGATCCGTGGCCTGGCTGTGGCAGATGCTGGGGAGTATTCGTGTGTGTGCGGGCAGGAGAGGACATCGGCCACGCTGACTGTCAGGGGTAAAGACCATGTGTGGCCACATGGAGTGCATGGGTTTCTGTCCTTGTCTCTGTGTCTTGCATCTTCACTGGCTCTCAGAGGCCCTCCCCTACTCTGTCCTGTCTGCTCGCCTGTCCAGTGTCTTTGGTTAATGACCTCTATCCTCATGACCTCACGGGGCCCATCCTGGTGGTAGGGACAATTCCTACCTCATGTCCCTCTCCCACCTCACCCCAATCTGCCCAGCTTTTCCATCTTCAGTGTGTCCCGCTGTCTGTTGGGATGCCCATTGGGAGGCTGATCCTGTGCCTACCCTTCAGCTCCACAGGTGGTATTCAGGGAGCCGCTCCAGAGCCTGCAGGCTGAGGAGGGCACCTCAGTCACGCTGCGGTGCGAGCTGTCTCAGCCCAATGCCGCCGTGGTCTGGAGCAAGGGCGGCCTGGAGTTGCAGGCTGATGGGCGCAGGGAGCCTCGGCAGCGGGGCCCCACGGTGGAGCTTGTCCTGCGGGACCTGCGCCGGGAGGACTCGGGAGAATACACATGTGCCTGTGGACCCCAGTCCACCAGTGTAACCCTCACCGTTACAGGTGGGCCCCAAGGCAAGACCTGTCGCATGTGCGGGTCTCCTGTGCTTTGGGCGCAGCGCACACTGGGCATCCCAAGGGGGACCTGGGCTCTGTGGGCATGTCAGGCCTGGCAGGAGGCTCAGTTCTCACTATCCCAGCCTGGTAGCTGAGACCCTGAGGTGACCCCCAGCGCTCACAGCCACACCCCTGTGTTTCCCTCCACTGTCATGCCCCTGTGGTTCACCCCTACACCACATGGCCACACCCCTGCAGTTCCCCTCCTGCACTCCGTAGCTTTGTTCCTGTGGTTCCCCTCTGTACCCGTAGTCGCTCCCCTGCAGGACTGACCCCAGTCCTGTAGCTGTGCCCCTGAAGGTCCCACTTGAAACCCCTGCAGTTCTCGTCTGCACCGTGTAGCCACACCCCTGAGGTTCCTCACTGCACCCAGTAACCACGCCCTGCACCTGTAGCCACGCCCCTGCGGTTTCCCTCTGCACCCAGTAGCCACGCCCCTGCATCCACAGCCATGCCCCTGCAGTTTCCCTCCGTACCCCAGTAGCCACGCCCCTGAGGTGCCCCATTGCACCGTGTAGACACGCCCCTGAGGTTCCTCAGTGCACCCAGTAGACACGCCCCTGCACCCATAGCCACGCCCCTGAGGTTCTGCACTGCAACCAGTAACCACGCCCCTGCACCCGTAGCCACGCCCCTGGACCCATAGCCACGCCCCTGAGGGGGCCCACTGCACCCAGTAACCACGCCCCTGCACCCGTCGCCACGCCCCTGAGGTGCTCCACTGCACCCAGTAGTCACGCCCCTGCACCCAGTATTCACGCCCCCGGATCCATAGCCATGCCCCTGCAGTTCCCCTCTGCACCCAGTAGCCACGCCCCTGCGGTTTCCCCTCTGCACCCAATAGCCACGCCCCTGCGGTTTGCCCTCTGCACCCAGTAGCCACGCCCCTGCATCCACAGCCATGCCCCTGCAGCTTCCCTCTGTACCCCAGTAGCCACGCCCTTGAGGTGCCCCATTGCACCGTGTAGACACGCCCCTGAGGTTCTGCACTGCAACCAGTAACCACGGCCCTGCACCCGTAGCCACGCCCCTGAGGCGCCCCACTGCACCCAGTAGTCACGCCCCTGCACCCATAGCCACGCCCCTGAGGTTCTGCACTGCAACCAGTAACCACGCCCCTGCACCCGTAGCCACGCCCCTGCACCCGTAGCCACGCCCCTGAGGCGCCCCACTGCACCCAGTAGTCACGCCCCTGCACCCAGTATTCACGCCCCCGGATCCATAGCCATGCCCCTGCAGTTCCCCTCTGCACCCAGTAGCCACGCCCCTGCGGTTTCCCCTCTGCACCCAGTAGCCACGCCCCTGCGGTTTCCCCTCTGCACCCAGTAGCCACGCCCCTGCAGTTCCCCTCTGCACCCAGTAGCCGCGCCCCTGCATGCCCATAGCCACGCCCCGGTGGTTCCCACCCGCAGACGCTTAGCAGCTCGCCCCTCCCACTCTGTAGCTGTGCCCCAGCTCTTAGTCCCATCGCCCCCAAACCCTCAGCTGAGTGCCTGCCCTGCCTCCCCTATTTTATAGCTGCTGTCTGGCGGTTCTCCCCTGCACCCCTCTAGGCACCCCGGGTCCAGCCCCCACTGTCTCCCCGACCCACATGGTTGCACCCTCTGGTGTCCCTGCCCCAATAGCTGCGCCCCTGTTGTCGCCCCCTGTGCCCCCTAACTGTTCCCGCCCCTGCCCTCACGCTCTCCCGCTTCTCCATAGCTGCACCTGCGCGGTTCCTCAGGGAGCTGCAGGCCCAGGAGGTGGACGAGGGAGCCACGGCGCGCCTGCACTGCGAGTTGAGCCGGGAGGGCGCCAGCGTGGAGTGGCGCAAGGGTTCCCTGCAGCTCTTCCCCTGCGCCAAGTACCAGATGGTGCAGGAGGGGAGGACCGCCGAGCTGCTGGTGCGTGGCGCAGAGCAGGAGGACGCCGGCCACTACACCTGTGACGCTGGCCACACGCAGAGCACTGCCAGCCTCTCTGTCCGAGGTGAGCGGCCCAGCAGCCCCGTGCCCTCCATGGGGCCCTCCGTCCCCCAGCGGCCGGCGCCCTGCTCGTCGGCCCTAAGCGCCCCTCCCTGGCCCCCCAGCCCCCAGGCCCACATTCCAGGAGGAGCTGCAGAGCACGGAGCAGGAGGCGGGCGGTGTGGCCCAGCTTCGCTGCCAGCTGAGCGAGGCAGAGACCGGAGTCCCAGTGCAGTGGCTCAAGGAGGGGGTGGAGCTGCACAGGAGCCCCAAATACGAGATAAGGCGCCTGGGGACCACATGCGAGCTGCTGATCCACGGGCTGGAGGCCAAGGACACGGGCGAGTATGTCTGCGTGGCCGGTGGTCAGAAAACCGTGGCCTCTGTCATGGTCAAAGGTGAGCCCTTCCTGCCACACCCTCTGTCCCGGTGGCTGCCCTGGGGGTGCACCTGGCCTGGCCCAGCTCCCATTAAGGCCGAGCCCTTGTCTGGGCGTCGTTCTGAGGGCCCTGGGGTCATAGGCTCTGTCTTCTCCTTTCTGCTCCACTCCGGTGCAGGTGCTCTTAGAGAGGAGTGTTCACAGTGGGAAACACGCTGCACCCCCCAGCACTGCCCTGCGTCCCACCCCCGGCCTTCAGGAGCCCTGGGCTGCCTTAAAGGGCTTGCCTCCCGGCTGTCCTGGCCAGGGCAGGGCTGGCCGCAGGGTGGGGATGGACAGAGGCAGCCCAGCACCCCCCCAAGTGCTCACGTTTCTTCCAAACAGAGGTGCCCCCAGCCCAGTCTCTGCCCCTAGGAGTCGGGTGTCGTGGTGGCAAATGTGTAGGGCACATAGAGGCTGGGGCAAGAGAAGACTGTGAGGGTGTTCAGGAAGGCTTCCTGGAGGAGGAAGAGTGGGAGGTTGGCTTGGGTGCTCTGACCCGGCTGGTAAAGGGATCTCTCACCTACACCCCAGAGCCAGAGGTGACCATTGTGCGGGGTCTGGTGGATGCTGAGGCGCAGGTCGACGGGGACGTGGAGTTCACCTGCGAGGTGTCACGGGATGGGGTCGCGGAGGTGGAGTGGCGCCTCCAGGGCCTGCCCTTGCAGAGCAACGAGGTGACGGAGGTGTCCGTGCGGGGTGGCCGCACCCACACGCTCCGGCTGAAGGGCGTGACACCCGAGGATGCAGGCACCGTCTCCTTCCACGTGGGCGTCCACACGTCCTCTGCGCAGCTCACTGTCCAAGGTAGTGGGGCTGGGCAGGCTCACTGCACTCGGCTGGAAGGTCCGGGTCCTCTGTGGGCCAGACACAGATCTCTGGATCCCTGCCTTCGGGGGTGGGGAACTGGTGGGGAGGTGGCCCTGTGAGTGGGTGATTCTGGGATGGCCAAGATATGCTGGAGTGGGGCCTCCCGTGCTTGTCCTCAGGAATTGGGGTGGGGTGCTGGGGCAGACCCTGGGATCTGGGACGCACTCCTGAGCTGGAGACCGACGCTGCATCTCCCTCTGTGCAGTCCCTGAGGTGACCATTATGGAGCCCCTGCAGGACCTGCAGCTCAGCGAGGGCCAGGACGCCCACTTCCGGTGCCAGCTGTCCAGGGCCTCCGGCCAGGGGGCCCGCTGGGCCCTGGGAGGGGTGCCCCTGCAGGCCAATGAGATGAACGACATCACTGTGGAGCACGGCACGCTCCACCTCCTCACCCTGCACAAGGTGGGCTCCCTGGGACCTGTCCCCAGCCACAGTGTTTTCGGGGGTGCGGGTGAGGGAAGGCCCCAACTCCAGCCGGACTGGGCTGGGGGCCTGCAGAGATGGTGGGAGCAGGGCTGCCAGGCTGAGACCCCCTCTCTCCTTCAGGTGACCCTGGAGGATGCTGGAACCATCAGTTTCCAAGTGGGCTCGTGTAGCTCGGAGGCCCAGTTAAAGGTCACAGGTGGGAGCCCCCTCCCCTAACCAGCACCTTGCCTGGGGGTGTCTGTATTTCCCTCCTCAGGGAGGTATTTGGGTGTGGTGTGACCAGAAACCCAAGCCTTCCAGAGGCGATCTTGCCTTGGGTTGGCGAAGTTCCACTGCTTGGTGGCTAAAGCCACAGACCAGAAAGCCCAATGAGATGGACCAGTGCAGGTCAGCTTGGGACGTTCTGGTGTGTGTGGGATCCCAGGATGGGATGAGTGCTGTTCACAGGAGGGAGGTGGGGAGGCTGGCTGCTGTGGGCCTGGGCCCTGCGGTGGAGGCAGGGCCTTCTCCACCCTGCAAATGACTACTCTTGTGACGCCAGTCCCTGTGCTCACGTCTACACTGACACACGGCTGTGCATGCAGCAGATTCAGCCGCACAACTACGATGCATGTAGGTTTAGACAAGAGCATACGAGTCTCCAGGCCTGTAGGCAGGATCTGAAGACTTTCAACTTGGTTTACACTTTGTCTCCAGAGCTGGTCATCTCTGAGCCTTACCCTGGGAGCATCTCCTGTTCTGTCCTACTCCTGGTTTTCAAGCTGATCCCATGCATCTCACCACCCATCCACATCCATCATTCTGTATACATCCATCCACTCATCCATCCACCACCCATCTTTCTGTGTATCTACTTATTATCTGTTCATCCCTTTATCCACCACGTACCCATCTACCGTTCATCCACCCATCATCCATCTATCCATTTGTTCATTTACCGTCCATCTATCTATCTATCATCCATCCACTCATCCATCCATCCATCCATCCATCCATCCATCCACTTGCCATCCATCTGTCCACCCCCATCCATCCATGTGTCCATCTATCCACCCACCATCTATCCATCCATCATTCATTCATCCACCCACCATCCATCCATCCATCTGTTCACTTGCCATACATCTGTCCACCCACCATCCATCCATGTGTCCATCCATCCACCCACCATCTATCTTACCATCTACTTAGGGGACAGATGCAGCTTTGCCCTCAGGGAGTCCCCAGTCTGCTGTTGGAGTTGGACATAGAGACATAGAAACAGAGTGTGTCCCGATGGAGTTGGACATAGAGACATAGAGATAGAGTGTGTCCTGAATCTCAGGTCCCCTCTCCTCCTCCACCAAATTTTCAGAAGGTGGACAAACAGAGTCAGCTCTGGGAACTGTGGGGCTGGGTAAGGCTCTAGAGTGCAGTGCCCTCAAGTTGAGTGATGGGAGAGGGGTAGGATCCTGGTTGTCCTGAGCAAAATGGGTCCAGTAAGGGCCGTGTGTTTATCAGGGTGGGCATCTGTGAGGGGGCAGCATGGGACTGGGTTGGGCCTTGTAGGCTATACTGAGGGCTGTGTGTCTTGGCCCCTCTTGGCCTGGTGTCCCCAGTTGGAGTGTGCTGTCTCATGTACAGATACCTGGCCATGGCTTTGTGGGGAGGGCTGTGAGCATGGGGGTGTGCAAATGGGTGTCCTGTTAGGTGGCATATGGATGAACTTGGGAACTCTGCTGGAGATGGGAATGCAGAGCTAATGGGGTAGGGTGGGGATGCAGTCAAGTGTGCACTTTTGGGAGAGGGTGGACAGGCAGGTGGGGCTAGGGCGTCAATGGTGCACCCCCGGGAAGGGCATGGAGGGCCTTCTGGGGGAAGGGCCAGCCATAGTGGGTACAGGGGTACAGAGCAGTGGGAAGGGCCTGGGTTCAGGCCCCACTGTGTGACATGTGGCGTTAGGGCCCGGGAATCTTAGGGCTGGAGGGACCTGAGGGCACATCTGCACAAATGGAATTCTGGGGATGGGAGAGACACCTGCTTCCACACCTCCAGGAATGGAGGGCTTACCTCCCAAGGGAGATCCCACACCGTATCAGAGCATTGGGCCCCATGGCTTCTCCTCCTCACCCCACACCCACCCCACAAAGATCACAGTTTTGGGGCTTGGAGACTGTGTGTTGTGCCTTCTGAAAAGGGCATGGAGGCAGGTCATCAGTCTCCTTTGGTGCAAGTGGACATATTGCAATGGGGGTGTTGGGCGCAGGGGGGCTGAGCTGGCCCTCCACGGGCTTGCCATGGGTGGTCTCTGTATCACATTCTGCAAGCAAGGCGGGCCAGCTGGCCTGGGTGGATCTGTAGACTCAGACCCCAGGTTGGCCCCACAGACCCAGGGTGCCCAGCGCCCTTCCTTTTGCCCTCTTGTGCAGAGGCGGCACCATGCCTGGTACGTGGCTTGCAGAACGTGGACGTCTTTGCGGGGGAGGTGGCCACGTTCTCCTGTGAGGTGTCCCGCGCGGGTGGGCCGGAGGCCCGCTGGTGGCTGGATGGCACCCTGCTGCAGGATGGCCCCCAGAGCGCCATCTCCGTGCGCGGCGGGACCCTCCACTCCCTCACACTCTCGGGCCTGGGGGTTGCTGACTCAGGCACCATCACCTACCGCGCAGGGCCCCTGGTCTCCACGGCCAAGTTGTTGGTCAAAGGTATTGGCCGACGGGACCTGCCCCGGGCTGGGGCTTCTGCACCTGCTGACTTGGCATGCTTGCTGCGGGCTCCCTGGGCGGCGGGTCTGGGGCTGGCCCCAGGACACGGATGGGGCAGGCACCGTGGGAGGTCTGCTATCCTGATTTGTGGAAGAGAGTGGTGAAGCTGCAAGCCCACCGCCTCCACCCACCTGTAGGGCCACGCCCTGCTTCCTGCCTGGGCCACCACGCTGTGGAGCACCTGAGGGCAGCCAGGAGGCGAGAGCCCCCTTCCTGGAGCTGGCCGAGGCGGCACTGTCCCTGCCCGCAGCTGCTTCCCTTGCTGCGGGCTCAGCTGAGGTCTTGTGCCCTTCTGGGAGAGAGCTAGCCTTTGGGGAGGGACACCGGTGGGGGTGTCAGGCACTTCTGGGACGGCTGGCCAGCAAGGCTTTGCCTGGCACCCTGGTCCTCCTCTGTGCTTCTGCAGAATTAACGTGGCCATTCACCCGCATCCCAGGGGCAACCCATTTGTTGAGTAGGATGTCAGCAGGCCAAGATGGGGTGGGGACCCCAAGGAGGCCGGCGAGCAGGCCAAGATGGGGTGGGGACCCCAAGGAGGCTGGCGAGGCCCCTGGAGAAGGGACAAGGTGGGCTGGGGGTGCCACATGCCCAGCAGAGGCCTGGGGGCTTTGAGGACAGGTGTCATGTCCCTGCTGAGGCAAAGTATGCCCTGGGCCAGGGGGTGGGGAGGGAGGCAGGGGCTTAGGGGACAAGACGGGTGAGGAAGGGCCTAGCCCCGACGAGGCCGAGCCGACAGTGCCGTCCTCGCGGGTGGTGGTGTGGGGGGCAAGGCTTGCCCTGCGAAGAGGGCCCCGGGCCGCCGGGGCAGGTGCCCCTCCCGCCACAGCCCCGCGCTTGCTTGCTGCTGAGCCGCTGAGACCAGAGGGCGGGTGGGGTGCAGCCACGCGGCCCCAGCTGACGCGTGACCGGGGTGTCGGCCGACAGATCCCACGGTGGAAGTGGTCAGTGCCATGCAGGACCTGGTGGTGGAGGAGGGCGGCCGGGCCGAGCTCCTCTGCCAGTACTCGCGGCCGGTGCAGGCCACGTGGAAGATGGACGATCAGGAGGTGCGGGCCGACGGGCGCCGTGTCATCATAGAGCAGGACTGGACCGTGGCCAGGCTGTCCTTCCAGCCGGCCTTGCCTTACGACAGTGGCATCTATTCTTGCGAGGCTGCAGGCACCCGGGTGGTGGCCCTGCTGCATGTGCAAGGTGAGGCCTGCCCGGCCCTGGCCTGGCTGGGACCGTCCTTCGTGGTACAGAGGCAGGTGGGGACGGCCAACGCCCTGTGACCATGTGGCCCTGCCACAAAGACAGGGTCCGGCGGGCAGACCCCCTCTGCTCCCAGAGCAGCCTGGCAGGACAGGACGGGGTGCTGGGCTGAGCTCCTCGAGTCCCAGGATCTTAGCCACGCTCCTGTCCGGGTCGGCCACCCAGCAGGCTCTCGAGCTCTGTGTCCCTGTCCACGGCATGGCAAGGACACTCTCTGGGAACCAGGGGTGGGGGGCGGTGGACGGCAGCCCCTGTTGCATCTCTTGGCTGCTGCCACGTTCTATTTAGGAAAATCTGAACCCCTCCCCTTGGTGAGTGAGCTGGAGGCTGCAGGCAGTGGTCAGGGGGCCACCTGCCGCGTGGTGCGCCCACTGCTTCACTCTTGAAAGATCTGAGTTGTTAAAACGCTGTGTTTTTGGTTCCCAGAGGCACAGCTCCGAACAGACAGCAAGCCCTCTGTGCAGGGACCATCGCTGTGGGGGCTGAAGGCAGGGGTGAGAGCTGATAGCTGGAGATGGAGATGCACTTCTAAGCCCCCTCTAGTGCCACTGATTCTGATGTGGGGAGGAAAGGGGCCGGGCTGTGGGGATGTCTGGTCTGTGGGGCGAGCAGCCCAGGGCCGGGAAGGTGACCAGAAGAAGGACATGGACAGGTTCTCTGGGTACTCTGCTCTGCCCCTTTCCCTCCCTGGGACTCCTTGTCCATAGCGGGCACCCTTGCCCGCAGGGCACATGGACTCTGTGGACAAGCTGGGATTGACCACGAGGGCTGTGAACAGGTTTCATTTGGGTGTGTACCCCAGAGAGCAGTTGGGGCCGTGCGCCTGGCTGCCCCCACCCCCCATCCCTCAGGTCGGCGTCTGAAGTCATGTGAGTCAAGGTCACACCCTTCCCAGCATCCAGGCCAGCCCTGGCTCACCTGGCGCTCCTTTCCGGCCTGACATGCACCCCCCTCCCAGGACCCCACCTGGTGCCTTGCATCCCTTACTCTGCTGGCCAAGTCCCCGCTGGCCCTCATGAACCCCTCCTTCCTTCCCATCCTGGTGTCCCTTCTTGTCGCTGCTCCTGCCCAGCTCAGTCATGCCCATTCTGAGGTTCCTCCTCCTCCTGGAAGCCCACTCAGACTGTTCCTATGGGCATCACCTGCCCAACAGGTGGTGTGTCGTGGGAATGGGCCGTGGCAGGGGGCAAGCAGTGCGGCCAGGCATGCCCAGTCCTGAGCTCGTGGCTCACACACACACAAACTCGTGTGCACTTATTAAGACTGGTGTTGTGTGTGCATGAGAGAACGAGAGGGGTGGGGATTTAGGGCAGAGGTCTGTCTGGTCTGGGGAGTGAGCGGAGCAGCTCAGCAGGGCTGACAGCTCTGGCCGGGGGCATTTCCAGAGCCCCATGCGCAGCCTAGGGTGGGGGAGGGCGGGGGTTTGAGCCTGGCTGTGCGTCAGGCAGCTCCCGGACCACCTGTCTGGTGGTGGAGCACCCCCTCCCTGGCCACGAGCGAAGGCCACCAGAGCAGTGAAGATGTGGGAGTGGGCAGGGCGTCAGGAGGCCCCCCGGGCGCCCCACGTGGACACTGGCGCTGCCCTCCACTGGGCCGCGTTCTGTTTAGCCCTCGGGCCCTGTGCAATGACGGGGAGGCTCTCCCACGCGGAGCGCAGGGATCCCTGAGCGGCCTCCTTCCCCGCAGCCAAGAACAGCGTGGTGCGCGGCCTGGAGAACGTGGACGCCCTGGAAGGCGGCGAGGCGCTGTTCGAGTGCCGGCTGTCGCGCCCCGAGGTGGCCGCCCACACCTGGCTGCGGGACGACGAGCCCGTGCAGACCTCCGAGAACGCGGAGGTGGTCTACTTGGAGAACGGCCTGCGGCACCTACTGCTACTTAAGAACCTGCGGGTGCAGGACACCTGCCGGGTGACCTTCCTGGCTGGGGGCGTGGTGACGTCCGCGTTCCTCACAGTCAGAGGTTAGGGCTGGGGGGGAAGGGGCATGTGTCTGAGAGCCCTCCCACCGCTGCCGCGCCACAGCTGTGTGGAGGGGGCGGGCTGGGGCCGCAGGGTGGGGCCAGGTCTCTGAGACAACCCCCCCCAGGACCCCGCGCCGTGGAGGTGCAGGGCCGCGGTCTGCTCTCCTCCGCCGGGGGCGGGGGCGGGGCTGGAGGGACCTGGAGGCGCAGAGGTCTCCCAGCCGTGCCTCCAGGCCGGCCCTGCGCCCGCGCGCTCACCGCACCGCCCCCGCCCGCAGGCTGGCGCCTGGACGTGCTGGAGCCGCCGCGGGACGCCGCGGTGCGAGCCGGCGGGCGGGCCAGCTTTGGCTGCACGCTCAGCGAGGCGGTGTCGGTGGGCGAGGCGACCTGGTACATCAACGGGGCCGCCGTGCAGCCGGACGACCCCGACTGGATGGTCACCGCGGACGGCAGCCACCACACCTTGCTGCTGCGCGCTGCCCAGCCGCACCACGCTGGCGAGGTCACCTTCGCCGCCCGCGACGCCGTGGCCTCCGCGCGGCTCACCGTGTTGGGTGGGTGGCTCGGCCGCCTGGGGCAGGTCGGGGCTAGGGCTCTGCTGTTCCCGTCCCAGAGGCTGCGGGAGCCTCTCCGTGGCCCCCGTCCAGGTGGGCTCGGGGCACACAGTCTCCCTTTGCTCTCTCAGACGGGCTGGGCCCAGAGCGCAGGGGCTCACCGGCCTTGGGGGCGGATGGCCTGGCGCCCACTCCGCACCCCAGGATCAGACCCCAAGCAAGCAGGCTGGGCACGCGCGGGCGCCGACGGGGAGCCTCCACTGACCAGCCCCTCTCCCCGCAGGCGTCCCGGACCCCCCAGAGGACGCTGAGGTGGTGGCGCGAAGCGGCCGCTCGGTGACGCTGTCATGGGTGGCCCCTGCAAGCGACGGCGGCGGCGGTCTCTGTGGCTATCGGGTGGAGCTGAAGGCGGCCTCCACGGGCGAGTGGCGGCTGTGCCACGAACTGGTGCCCGGGCCCGAGTGCGTGGTGGACGGCCTGGCCCCTGGGGAGACGTACCGCTTCCGCGTGGCGGCTGTGGGCCCGGCGGGGGCTGGGGAGCCGGTGTACCTGCCACAGACAGTGAGGCTCGGTGAGGCGCTGCGCTCCCCACGGTTGGTGAGGGTGAGGTCTGCCCGGAGTGCTCCCCGGGCTGGAGGGCCCCGGGCACGCCTTGCTGAAGTGGCGTTGTTCCCCGCAGAGCCCCAGGAGCCTGAGCCTGGGCCCCCGGCTCCCGCGCCCCCCGCTCCTACGCCCCCGGCTCCCGCACGCCCCGCTCCCGCGCCCCCGGCTCCCGCGCCCCCAGCTCCCGAGAGCCGGCAGGTGGCTGCTGGCGAGGACGTGTGTCTGGAGTGCGAGGTGGCCGAGGCGGGTGAGGTCGTCTGGCTGAAGGGGACGGAGCTCATCCAACCGAGCGGGCGCTTCCAGGTTCTCTGCCAGGCTCAGCGGCAGATGCTGGTCATCCGGGGCTTCTCCGCGGAGGACCAGGGCGAGTACCGCTGCCGCCTCGCCCAGGACCCCAACTCCTCTGCAGCTGCCTCCTTCCAGGGTGCGTTCTGGGGACCCAGCGAAGGCGGGAGAGCCCTGGGGTGTGGGAGTGAGCCGGCCCCTCCTCTTCATCAGCTCCAGCGCAGACAGGCAGGGGTCCTCTTGGGGAGCCCGCCTCAAGACTGAGGCCTGGTGGGGCCCTGTGGCTCGGCTTCTTTGGACGGCTGGCAGCTCACATCACACTGGTCCCCGAGCAGGACGCTGACCAACATATCTCTTGGTCCCACTGCTGGTCCCTTGAGTTCTCTGGTCCCTGCCCTCGTAGCCTCCTCCCCCGTGCCTTCTGAGTCCCCCACTCTGTGCTCGGACCCCACCCTGCGAGCCCCCACTCTGAATCACTCCCCCCTGAACTCATGCCCCCACACTATAAGGTGCCCCATGCTCTGTGCTCTGAGCCCCACATTATGAGCATCCCGTTCTGACCCTCTCCCCTCTGTGCTCGAGCCCCCCACATTATGAATCCCTCCCACTACCAGTCTCCCCACTCTGACCCCCTCCTCCCTGCACTCTGAGCCCCCCCAGCTCTGACCCCCTTCACCCTGTGCTCTGAACCCCCTCACACTATGAGCCTGCACTTGCACTGACTCTGGCCATATCCTTGGGCTCACTCCTCCTCTGCAGGTGCTCGATGTAGGTTGAGGTCTGGCTTCATCAGGGGAAGCTGAGGCTGACAAGGCAGTTCAGAACCTCTAAAATCTCGTTTTGGGGGGGCCTTCAGAGCTCTCTGGTCTACTGAGGGGAACCACAGTCAGAGCCTAGGCCAGCCTGGGGTCAAGGGTTTGTCAACCCCCACCCACCTGCTGACCAGTCTCCTGTCCTTCTCAGTGGTGCTGACCCCAGGATCTGGGGATGAGGCCCCTGCGCAGCCCAGCCTCCCCCCTGAGGCAGCCCAGGAGGGTGACCTGCACCTGCTGTGGGAGGCCCTGGCCCGGAAGCGCCGCATGAGCCGTGAGCCCACACTGGACTCCATCAGTGAGCTGCCCGAGGAGGATGGTCGGTCGCGGTGCCTGCGGCATGAGCCAGAAGAAGCAGCCCGTGACCTCTCTGAGGACTACTCCACAGCTGATGAGCTGGCACGTTCCAGCGAGGCCGACCTCTCACACACCAGCTCTGATGACGAGTCCCGGACAGGCACTCCTTCCCTGGTTACCTACCTCAAGAAGGCTGGGCGGCCCAGCACCTCACCACTAGTCAGCAAGGTGAGTGTCCAGTGTGGCCTGCAAGGAGAGGCCTGGATGTCTCAGATCTTCACCACCCATCCACCATCCACCCACTCATTGCTCCATCGTCTGTCCGTTTGCTACCCACTGATACAGCTACCCATCCATTTGCTATCCATCTGCCATCCGTTGTCCGTCCACGCATCATCCACCACTCACCCATCCATCCACCCATTCACCATTCACCCACCCACCACCCACTCATCCACCATCCATCCATCTACTACTCACCTATCAACCCACCCATCCACCACCATTCACTCACCGATCCATCCACCATCCAGCTGCCCACCTACCCATCCATCCATCCACCACCCACTCATCTACCATCCATCCACCACCCACCTATCAACCCACCTATCCACCACCATTCACTTACCCATCTACCATCTATTCATCTACCACCTGCCCACCCATCCACCCATCCACCACTCACCCATCCATCCACCCATCCACCACCCACTCATCCACCATCCATCCATCTACCACCCATCGACCCACCCATCCACCACCATTCACTTACCCGTCTACCATCTACTCATCTACCACCCGCCCACCCATCCACCCATCCATCCACCTATCCACCACTCACCCATCCACCATCCATCCATCTACTACCCACCTATCAATCCACCCATCCACCACCATTCACTCACCGATCCATCCACCATCCAGCCGCCCACCCACCCATCCACCCATCCACCACCCGCCCACCCATCCACCCATCCACCACTCACCCATCCATCCACCACCCACTCATCTACCATCCATCCACCACCCATCTATCAACCCACCTATCCATCACCATTCACTTACCCGTCTACCATCTACTCATCTACTACCTGCCCACCCATCCACCCATCCACCACTCACCCATCCATCCACCCATCCACCACTCACCCATCCATCCACCACCCACTCATCTACCATCCATCCACCACCCACCTATCAACCCACCTATCCATCACCATTCACTTACCCGTCTACCATCTACTCATCTACTACCTGCCCACCCATCCACCCATCCACCACTCACCCATCCATCCACCCATCCACCACTCACTCATCCACCATCCACCCACCTATCAACTCACCCATCCACCACCAGTCACTCACCCATCTACCATCTACTTGTCCACCACCTGCCCACCCACCCACCCATCCACCACTCACTCATCCATCCACTATCTAGCCACCCACCCATCCACCATCCACCATTCACCCACCCATCCACCACTTACCCACCATTCACTCGCCCATCCATCCACCCATCCACCATTCACCCACCCATTTACCACTCATCCATCCGTCCACCCATCCACCATTCACCCACCCATCCACCACTTACCCACCATTCACTCACCCATCCATCCACCCATCTACCATTCACCCACCCATTTACCACCGATCCATCCATCCATCCACCCATCTATCCATCCATCCACCATTCACCCATCCATTCACCCACCCACCACTAACCCATCCATCCATCACCTGCCCACCCATCTACCACTCGCCCACCCATTCATCTTCCACCCACTCACCATCTATCCATCTACCACCCACTCATCCACCATCCACCCATCTACTACCCACCTATCAATCCACCCATTCACCATTCACTCACCTATTTACCAACTACTCATCCACCACTCACTCATCCATCCATCCATCTACCATTCACCCACCCATCCATCCACTCATCCACCACCCACTCATCCACCATTCACCCATCTACCACCCACCTATCAACCCACTCATCCACCATTCACTCACCTGTCCACCATCTACTCATCCACCACCCACCCACCCATCCACTACTCACCCATCCACCACCCAACATCCATCCACCTACCCACCCACCCACCCACCACTCACCCACCCACCCATCCACCACTCACCTACCCATCCATCACTCACCCACCCACCTACCCATTCATTCTATTACTCACCCATCCACCACCCAACATCCACCACTCACCCATCCACCATTCACCCAACCACCCACCATCTACTCACCTACCCATCCACCTTCCACCACCCACCTACCCACCTGTCCACCACCCATCCATCCACCATCCACCCATCACCATTCACCCACCCACCCACCATCTACTCACCCACCCATCCACCTTCCATCACCCACCACTCACCCCACCCATCTACCATCCACCCACCATCTACTCACCCACCCATCCACCTTCCACCACCCACCACTCACCCACCCACCTACCCACACATCCACTACTCACCCATCCACCACCTATCCATCCACCATCCGCCCATTCACCCATCCACCCGGCTGTTAAGAGCCAGAACTGGTCTCTGTGTCTCACAACCTGCCAGTCTCTGTCTGGGTGACCACTTAGAGTGATTTCAGGGAGCGGGCTTGCCTCTTGGCAGCACCAGGAGCCATCAGGCACGCAAAGGCTGAGCAGCTACAGGTGGGCAGGAAGCAGAGGGGCATGATGACCTGGAGCTGGGACGGGAGACCTGTGCTTTGCTTCCAGCCCTGCCCCAGCTGTCCCTGCACTGTGCTTTTTCTGTCATGGGCCTCAGTTTCCCTACCTTCCCTGTGTGCACAGGTTGGGGGCCCCACGGTCCCACCTGGGAAGCCACAGGAGCATCAAGAGCAGCCAGCTGCCGTTTGCCCACCACCAGGAGACCTGAGTGACCCCTCCATGGACAAGGCAGCTGTGAAGATCCAGGCTGCCTTCAAGGGTTACAAGGTCCGCAAGGAGATGAAGCAGCAGGAGGGACCTGTGTTCTCCCGCACATTTGGGGATACCGAGGCACAGGTGGGGGATGTCCTGCGTCTGGAGTGTGTGGTGTCCAGCAAGGTGGATGTGCGTGCTCGCTGGCTGAAGGATGGCATGGAGCTGACGGACGGCCGGCACCACCACATCGACCAGCTCGCGGACGGCACCTGCTCCCTGCTGGTCACGGGCCTGGGCCGGGCTGATGCTGGCCGCTACACCTGTCAGGTGAGCAGCAAGTTTGGCCATGTGGCCCACAGCGCTTGTGTGGTGGTCAGCGGGACCGAGAGCGAGGCAGAGAGCTCCTCAGGGGGTGAGCTGGACGAAGCCTTTCGCCGGGCGGCCCGGCGGCTGCACCGTCTCTTCCACACCAAGAGCCCGGCTGAGGTTTCAGACGAAGAGATCTTCCTCAGTGCAGATGAGGGCTCAGCACAGCCCGAGGAGCCTGGGGACTGGCAGACGTACCACGAAGATGAGCACTTCATCTGCATCCGCTTCGAGTCGCTTGCCGAGTCCCACCGTGCGGCCACCTGCTTCCGGGAGGTGTTTGGCACCATGGGCATCGGGGTGGACATCAGCCTGTTGGAGCAGGGGCCCCGGGGGGTGGAGATGCGCATCAGCAAGGTGGGTCCTGCCCCTGCCGCGCCTCAGGAGATGGTGCCCCGCCCGCTGACTGCAGAGGCCGGTGAGTCTGCCCTCTGCCCGCGGGGGAGGGGGGCGGGCAAGGAGGAGGAGTAGGGCCAGCCAAGGTGAACTGCGGCAGCTGAAGACTCAGCGAGCTGGCTGGGCTCAAGCCTCTGGCCCCTGCAAATGCAGCCCACTGAGCTGGAAGAGCCCCAAATTTGGTGATAGACAGAGCTCGATGTCAATCCCAGCTGCCTGTTGTGAGCTAGCCTCTCTGGGCCTCAGTGTCCTCCTCTGTGAAGTGGGTATAAGATACTGACTTTCCAGAGTTTGTGTGTTTTGCTCCGTAAGGGTTTGGGATACTACCCCTATGAAAGGTGGGGTTCCACGGCCCCCATCACCTGCTCCAGCAACTAATATTAATTTTAGAGCCATTCCACTGTTGGCTTGCATCTCCCTAGGGACAACAAGGGGTCTAATGAATAACCCATGGCATCACGTCTGGGAACCTCCCTGTGCAATGTTGGGCCATTCTCATGCTTGCAACCCTTGGACCCTCAGCCCACACAGCATTTGTCTCCCCTTACCTCCCCCTGCTCCCTGTTTCCTGTCCATGATCCCTCTGGCCTCTCGGTGGTTTGGACCTAGGCGGGCAGAGACAGAACTGTGTTTGGCCCAGGCGCCTGCGAGCGCCCCCCCACCTGAGTGGGAACAGATGATGCACACTGAGCTGCTGGGGTGGCTGGGGGAGAGGCCTGGGGCCCACTCACTGCACACCCCGCCTGTCCCTCCCAGCCCCAGTGTTCCTGACTGGGCTGCAGGATCAGGAGGTGCAGGACGGCTACCCCGTGAGCTTTGACTGCGTGGTGACAGGCCAGCCCGTGCCCACCGTGTGCTGGTTCAAGGATGGAAGGATGCTGGAGGAGGATGACCACTATATGATCAGTGAGGACCAGCAGGGCGGCCACCAGCTCATCATCACAGCCGTGGTGCCGACAGACATGGGCGTCTACCGCTGCATGGCTGAGAACAGCGTGGGCGTGTCCTCCACGAAGGCGGAGCTCCGCGTGGACCGTGAGTATGGCGGTCCGGGTTTGATGGCCCCAGGGCCAGAGCTGGGCGGGGGTGGTGCTGGGTTGCAGGAGGACCCAGACAACACTGGAGGATTGGGGTCAGGTTGGGGGTGGGGGTCTCATCTCCTTGGGTGGTGTCTAGGCTGGGGCGGGGCCTGGGAAAGGTCACAGGTGCCCCAGGCACACGTGGAGGTTAGCTGTGTGCAATAGAAATACGGATTTGGTCGTCCTTCGTTCCCAGCACACAGTTCCCGAATCACTGGAAGTTTCCCCGAGTGATAAGGGGACAGGAGGTGTGTTTTATTCTAATGCAGTGAGTCCTGGTAGGCCTCAGGACGAGTAGGTCCATCTGATCTTTGAGAAAAGTGTGAGAGCGTTTACGTGCAGGAAGGGTAGAACTTCAGATTCAAGGATAGAATCTCAAGTTGTGCTGGAGTAATTGGGATATTTACAGGCAAATAATTAGACCTTGACCTCAGACAAAAATGAGCTCAAAATGGATTACATACGTAAACAGAAAATACAAAACTATGAACCTTTCAGAAAAAAAGATGGAAGGAAATTTTTAGGAGCTATGGCCAGGAAAAGACTTCTTAGATTTGACAACTAAAGCAACACCCATAAAAGGGAAAATTGGTAAAAGTTAGGAACTTCTGCTCTGAGAAAGACCCCATGTGGAGAGACTACATGGCAGGAGAAGGTATCTGCAAGCCAGGTATCTAAGAAAATAACTTTATCTTAAAACAACGTAAAGAATGCTCAACAGTAAACAGATTTAAAAAAAATCAAAACTCCACTTGGAACCAGAGCAATAGACGTGTCCAGACGCTTCACAGGAGGAGGACTCGCAGAAGGCTGAGAGGCACCTGGAGGATGTTAGCCATGGGGGCAACGCTAATGGAGCCCCAGCGAGATGTCGCGTGCACTCAGCAGGATGGTAACTTCATCACTAGGGATCACACGTCGTGCTGGCGAGGATCAGAGACACGGGAACGCAACGTGGGACACCGTCTCTGGAAAAGCGGGTGTCAGAGCGGAGACCGAAGCGTGGGTGGGGTCTGGGAAGGACTGTTCTCTCGAACGGATTCATGGGCGGCCAGCCCCACGAGAGGTCGTTGAGCGGACATGAGCAAGATGCAGGGCCACGGCCACGGCTGTGTCCACAGCACAGCTGTACGCAAGTCAGCGTGACCGAGGCAGAACTGTGTACATTCACCAAAGCAGGAGCTAGTCCACCCTGCCGTGGAGATCTAGATTTCTGGCATCGCTGTCCTTCTGCCTGAGGGACATCTTTCCACATTTTCCCCATCATCTGGGAATGCTAGAATTCTCTTAGCTTTTGCACGTCTGAGAAAAAGTCTGTATTTCTCCCGTGGCTCTGAAAGATATTTTTACTAGGATGATTCCTTTTTCTTCTCATACCTTGAAGGTGCTGCTCCCCTATTTACTAGCTTGGATGGTTTCCACTGAGAAATAGGGTGCCATTCTTATCTTTGTTTCTCTGTGCAAAACTAGCCCTTTCCCCTGGGATTTAAAATTGGGACTGCTGAGCCGCGCTCCGTCCCCACCCCGCCTCCCCCAGCCCCTGGACACCACTGAGCTACTCTCCATCTCTGTGGCTTTGCCTTTTCTGGACATTTCACATAAATGGAATCCTAAGATATGTGGTCTCTCGTGTCCGGTTTCTGCGGCCTGGCGTGTTTTGGAGGTCCATCCACGTTGTGAACCTCACCAGTTTCTCAGGTTGAAAATCACTCCGTGTATGTGGACTATTCAGCCACTCATCGGCTGGTGTTTCCGGTGAAAACGGTGGTGGTTTTGGGTCCTTTCAGTAATGCTGCTGTGCCCATCTGTGTACAAGTTTTAGTGTTTGGGGACCTGTGTGTTCAGCTCTCGGGCACATAGGTAGGAGTGGAATTGCTTGGTCATATGGTAATTCTGTGGCTTCCTGGTGCAGGAACTGGCAAACTCTGTTGTACATGCCGCCCACTATGGGGTTCCCGTCCCCCTCTCCACCCCCAGCCCCTGCCATTGATCCTCTGTTCAGCCATACTGCCCTGAGCACTGTGGTTTCAACCTGCATTTCCCAGCTTGCTGACGATGCTGTCTTTTCATGTGCTTATTGGATACCTGTGTATGTTCTTTGGAGAAATGTCTACTCAGATCTCGTGCCCATTTTCAAGTTGGGTTTTTGAGTTGTCAGAGTTCTTTATGTGTTCTGGGTACTATGCCCTTGTCAGATATATGATTTTCGAGTATTTTCTCCCATTCTTACGATTTTCCTTCCACTTTCTTGATGGTGTTCTTGGATGCACAAGAATTTTTTTTTAAAGATTTTATTTATTTATTTGAGAGAGAGAATGAGATAGAGAGCATGAGAGGGGGGAGGGTCAGAGGGAGAAGCAGACCCCCCGCTGAGCAGGGAGCCCGATGCGGGACTCGATCCCGGGACTCCAGGATCATGACCTGAGCCGAAGGCAGTCGCTTAACCAACTGAGCCACCCAGGAGCCCTGCACAAGAATTTGTAATTGTGATGAAATCCAGTACTTTTCCTTTGGTTGCTTGTCTACAAGACCATCGCCTAATCTGACGTTATAAAGATGTACAACCTTGTTTTCTTCTAAGAGTTTTATAGTTCAGCTCTTACGTGTAGGTTTTTGGTATATGGTGTGAGGTAAGGACCCAAATTCATTCTTGTCTTGTGAAAGTGTAGTTATTCCAGCACCATTCACAGAAAAGACTATCTTCCTCTGTAAAATTGCTGTGGAACTCTCGTCAAAAACTGACTTCCATGACACGTATGGGTTCATTTCTGGGCTTCTAACTGTCCCGTTGATCCGTACGTCTGTCATCCTGGCAACACCACACTGTCTTGATTACTGTAGTTTCGTAGTCAGTTTTGAAATCTGGACATGTTAGTCCTGCAGGTTCACTCTTGTTCAGAGCATCTGGATCCCTTGTGTTTTATGACTTTGAGGATCAGTTTGTCATTTTCCTCAAAAATGGTCTCTGGGTATTTTTTAGGATTTCCTTCTTTTCACTGGTTTTGAGGCATCTGACTGTGCTGTTCTTGGGTGCACTTTTCTTTATGTTCCCTTGTGCTTGCTGTTCACGGAGGTTCTCGGGATTTGGGGTTTCTAGTTTTAATGAAGTTTGGAAGTGTTTTTGGCTGTGATTTCCTCAAGTGTCTTTCCTTCCCCACTCATCTGGGGGCTGCAGTCACAGGCACAAGAAGCGTGCAGGGGCGCAACCACGCACTGACTCTCTTCATGTGCAGCTCTTGGGTCTGCATTCCATTTCACATTGTCCCACTATCTCTGACCTTCGCTGTCCTTCTGAAGTCGCTACCCTGCCGTCAGGCCTGTCAGTGTACCGTCTGTCTCTACAGTGCCACTGGAGTCTCTTTTCATGTGTGCTGGGTCTTGGTCGTACAGTTCTAATACCTGCTTTGATGATCTTGTCTGCCAGTTCCACGTGCGTCCATCCTGACTTGGTTTTGACCCACTGGGGGGTGTTTTCCTGCCTCCGTGTGAGTCTGGAGGTCCTTGACGGGATGCCTGCCCACGTGGCAGCTGGAGACGTTGTGTTTCTGCAGATCTTCTTGAGGTCTTCCTCTGAGGTGGAGGGCCGGCACAGTTCCATCCAGGGCTGATCCCCCTTCCTGAGGACCAGATGCCACAGATTGGGGAAGTTCCCAGTCCGACTGGAAACACAGCATCCTCCCCACTGTTTCGATGGCCCCCTCAGATGGCTCATCCCCACCCTGTGCACATGCTAGTCAGTGCTCTGCCCTCTCTCTTCTCTGGCTTCCGTCCTGTGGGCACCAGCAGTCTTCATCTCCCAGGATGCCAGCTCCTCCACTCAGGGTCTACCTGGCTCGGCCTCAGTTTCCCCTCCTGGAGCTGGAAACTCAAGGCAGGAAGTTGGGGCAATCACAGGGCTTATCATCGTTTCCAATCTGTAAGCATTCAACAAGAAATTCTCTGATGCCAGCTGGGGTTTCTACAATGAACTCAGCTCTGAACCTGTCCACATGGAGTCAGCATCAGACCCACATGGACTCAGCATCAGATCCACATGGAGTCAGCATCAGACCCATGTGGAGTGAGCATCAGACCCACATGGAGTCAGCATCAGGTTCGGGGTTCAGGCCCACAGACCACCTCACTGCAGATGCCAGTCACAAGTCCAGGGGTCCCCGTGCTCTGACCTGCTGGCTACAGATCCGAGGTTCCCACGGCCCCCTCCTCGGGTTCCATTAACTTGCTGGAGCGGCTCACAGAGCTCAGAGAAACATTCTCCTTCCTACATTACCAGTTTATCATAAAAAGATATAACTCAGAAGTAGCCAGATGGAAGAGACACACGGGGCAAGGCACTGGGGGAGGGGCTTGGAGTTTCTCCCCACATGTCTATGTGGTCACCAGCCCAGAAGCTCTCCAAGCCTGACCTTGTGGGGTTTTATGGGGGCCTTAATACATGGACATGATTGATGGAGTCACCGGCCATTGGTGATTGGTGATTGATTCCTTCTCCCCTCCCCAAGGTCAGGGGGTGGAACTGAAAGTTCCAACCCTCTGGTCCCAGGGTTGAGTCCCCTGGTCACCAGCCCCCACCCTGAGGGGCTTTCCAGAGTAACCTCGTTACATAACAAAAGACACCGTCATTGCCGTCCTCACGTGGGAAACTCCAAGGGCTTTGGAGCTCAGTGCTAGGAGCAGTGACAAAGACCAAGAACATGCTTCTTGCAGAAATTACACTCTCACAACTGTTGTACTTCGTTTGGGGCGTGGTGAGGGTGGGGGAGGGTGTCTGGGTCCAGGCTGCACTAACAGGTGCCACGGAGCAGGTGGCTGAAACAACAGAAGGTTACTGCTCGGGGTTCTGGAGGCTTCACTGGAGGCTTGCGTCTGAGCTCAGGGCGCCCCGGCTTGGGTTCCAGCAAGGCCCTCTTCTGAGCTGCAGACATGGTATTCTCATGGTGTCCTCACGGGGGTCGCTCCTTGTTAGGGCACTCCTCTAGCCCTGATTACCTCCCAAAGGCCCCACTCCTGACACCCACACATTGGGGTTGGGATTTCCACATATGAATTTGGGGGGAGGACAGGAACATCCTGCCCCTGGTAGAGAGTAGGTCCAGTCCCTGTTCCTCTTTCGTGGCTGGATGTGGAAGCCCCCAGCTGCTGGTTTTGAGGCCTGCATGCATCACCCCCTTGTCCCCTAGTGGGTAAAACTGGATGACGCAGCCCCGTCATGAGGCCCAGAATCACCAGAGCTGACCAGTGGTTGAGGTTGCAGTTACTTCCAAGCCTAGAAGCATGGGCTGGTGGGTGACAGCCTGGGGTGTGGAGGGCCAGTGGACAGCCAGGTCCCCCGAGGCTTCTGGCCCAGGAGTGTGCATGGTTCCCAGGGATGGTCTTGCAGTGAGAGCCAGGTGGCTGGCCCCCGGTGTGAGGCCGTGTTCGGGCAGGTGGGGCACAAACCTCATGGAGGCCACTCTTCCTTTCCCAGTGACCAGCACAGACTATGAAACTGCAGCTGATGCCACGGAGACCTCCTCTTACTTCAGCGCCCAAGGCTACCTGTCCAGGTAGAGGGCCATGCACAGGCAGGCAGCGCCCAGCGGGCTGGTGGTGCCAGCCCCAGTGGGTGGCAGTGCTGGCTGGGACCAACAGAATCTGAATCCTGGAGCTCTCCACCAGGTCCCACAGTGTCTGTCCAGCTCACGGGGGCCCTCCAAAGCCATCCACGCCTGACCTGGTCCCCCGCCCAGGCACTGGATTCCTCCCCCATCCACCTCACTGCCCCTGACCCCACCCCAGGCGCTGGCCCCCTCCCCGGTCCACCTCACTGCCCCTGACACCCCCCAGGCGCTGGACCCTTCTCTGGTCCACCTCACTGCCCCTGACCCCCCCAGGCACTGGAACCCTCCCTGGTCCACCTCACTGCCCCTGACCCCCCCTCAGGCGCTGGACCCCTCCCTGGTCCACCTCACTGTCTCTGACCCCCCCCAGGCGCTGGTACCCTCCCTGGTCCACCTCACTGCCCCTGACACCCCCCAGGCGCTGAGCCCCTCCCTGGTCCACCTCATTGTCCGTGACACCCCCCCCTCCCAGGCGCTGGACCCCTCGCTGTTCCACCTCACTGCCTCTGACCCCCCCGAGGCGCTGGACCCCTCCCTGGTCCACCTCACTGTCCCTGACCCCCCCCAGGCGCTGGACCCCTCCCCGGTCCACCTCACTGCCCCTGACCCCCCCAGGCACTGGAACCCTCCCTGGTCCACCTCACTGCCCCTGAACCCCCAGGCACTGGCCCCCTCCCCAGTCCACCTCACTGCCCCTGACACCCCCCCCCCAGGCGCTGGACCCCTTCCCGGTCCACCTCACTGTCTCTGACCCCCCCCCAGGCGCTGGACCCCTCCCTGGTCCACCTCACTGCCCCTGACCCCCCCAGGCACTGGACCCCTCCCCGGTCCACCTCACTGCCCCTGACACCCCCCCCCAGGCGCTGGACCCCTTCCCAGTCCACCTCACTGTCCCTGACCCCCCCCAGGCACTGGACCCCTCCCTGGTCCACCTCACTGCCCCTGACACCTCCCCCAGGCACTGGACCCCTCCCCGGTCCACCTCACTGCCCCTGACACCTCCCCCAGGCACTGGACCCCTCCCCGGTCCACCTCACTGTCCCTGACCCCCCAGGCGCTGGACCCCTCCCTGGTCCACCTCACTGCCCCTGACACCCCCCCTCCCAGGCGCTGGACCCCTCCCCGGTCCACCTCACTGCCCCTTCTCTGTTCTCCCCACCAGCCGGGAGCAAGAGGGCATGGAATCTACCTCAGAGGAGGGTCAGCTGCCCCAGGTGGTGGAGGAACTGAAGGACCTCCAGGTGGCCCCCGGCACACGCCTAGCCAAGTTCCAGCTCAAGGTGAAAGGTGAGGAAGAGAGACAGCCGGCCAGGTGGAGGTTGGGCTGTCCCTGGTGCCCCCACGGGACGGAGGCTCGGTGCTGACCACTCCCCTGTGGCCGCAGGCTACCCAGCACCCCGACTGTACTGGTTCAAAGACGGGCAGCCCCTGACGGCTTCTGAGCACATCCGCATGGCTGACAGGAAGACGCTTCACACCCTGGAGGTCCTGTCGGTCACCAGTGAGGACGCCGGCCAGTACTCAGCCTACATTGGCAACAGCGTGGGCGCCGCCTACTCGTCTGCCCGGCTGCTGGTCCGGGGTGGGTGCTGGGGACGGAGCGTCTACACCTGGGCTGCTCTCTGCCACACCCCGCGCCTCCATACACGTGCTCCGGGATGGGTGGGGGGCACGGGTTAGTCAGCGGACTGTGCAGAGGAAGAGGTCAGTGGTTACTGTGGGAGGAGAGGTCTGCACTTACTTGTTCTCCGAAGTTCTGAGCACCACCACCTGAGCCGGCGGTGGCTGGGGGACCCAGCGCTCCCCAGGCTTCCCTCTGACCTTCAGCGACCTTGCATCGGCTCCAGAGTGACCCCCACACTCCTCGGGCGGTGGGGTGGGGGGGCATCACACTGGGACTGAGCAGCCTCAGTGTGAGCTCCGTGCATGGCCTGAGTCTCAGGGAAGGTGTGGATAGGAGTGGGTACCCCGACCCTCGGCAGGTGCACGGGCTCTGGGGAGACAGGCCCCTCGGTGCTGCAGGCCTGATTTCCACTTCTTGCTCTTTCAGGCCCCAAAGATCCTGAAGAGAAGCCAGCCTCAGGTGAGCCAACTCGGATGGGCAGAGGGTGGGTGGGTGGCTCAGCCAAAGTGACCGAGGGACACCACCTTGCAGACCGAGGAGGGTTGGGTGCAGGCTGTAGAGACCCAGCCTCCAGGCGGATGAGGCTGGGACCTGGGGGCTGGGGCTGCAGCCGGTGCCCCTGGAGGCCTCGGTGCCCCAACAGGGAGCAGGGGTTCGACATGTGTTCATCGCCAGTGTCTGCTGCTTGTCCAGATGCACACCAACAGCTGGTGCCGCCCCGATTCCTGGAAAGATTCGCCTCCAAGAAAGTGAAGAAAGGCTCCAGCATCACTTTCTCAGTAAAGGTGGAAGGTAAGGCTCTCCTACCTCCCCGCCCCCCAGCAAGGACCCTCCCCCAGGCGGGCTCAGAGCAGGCCCCTCCCCGCCCCGCAGCAAGGACCCCTCCCCCAGGCGGGCTCAGAGCAGGCCCCTCCCCGCCCCGCAGCAAGGACCCCTCCCCCAGGGGGGGCTCAGCAGGCCCCTCCCCGCCCCGCAGCAAGGACCCCTCCCCCAGGGGGGCTCAGAACAGGCCCCTCCCCGCCCCCCAGCAAAGACCCTCCCCCAGGCGGGCTCAGAGCAGGCCCCTCCCCGCCCCGCAGCAAGGACCCCTCCCCCAGGCGGGCTCAGAGCAGGCCCCTCCCCGCCCGCAGCAAGGACCCCTCCCTCAGGGGGGCTCAGAGCAGGCCCCTCCCCGCCCCCCAGCAAGGACCCTCCCCGCCCCGCAGCAAGGACCCTCCCCCAGGGTGGCTCAGAACAGGCCCCTCCCCTCCCCCCAGCAAGGACCCTCCCCCACGAGGACTCAGAGCAGGCCCCTCCCTGCCCCCAACAAGGACCCTCCCCCAGGGGGGCTCAGAACACGCCCCTCCCCACCCTGCAGCAAGGACTCCTCCCCCAGGGGGGGCTCAGGGCAGGCCCCTCCCTGCCCCCCAGCAAGGACCCCTCCCCCAGGGGGGCTCAGAGCAGGCCCCTCCCCGCCCCGCAGCAAGGACCCCTCCCCCAGGGGGGGCTCAGAACAGGCCCCTCCCCGCCCCACAGCAAGGGCTCCTCCCCCAGGGTGGCTCAGAACAGGCCCCTCCCCGCCCCGCAGCAAGGAGTCCTCCCCCAGGGGGGCTCAGAGCAGGCCCCTCCCCGCCCCAGCAAGGACCCTCCCCCAGGGGGGCTCAGAGCAGGCCCCTCCCTGCCCCCCAGCAAAGACCCTCCCCCAGGCGGGCTCAGAGCAGGCCCCTCCCTGTGTCCACTCACAGCCCCGCAGGGGGCTCAGAGGCCACCCCAGTTCCCGGAGCCCCCTTCCCCATGGACCCTCGACTGTCCCGCAGGCTGCCCCGCCCCAGCCGTGCACTGGCTGCAGGAGGAAGCCGAGCGGGGCGTGCTGTGGATCAGCCGTGACACGCCGGGCTACACGGTGGCCAGCTCTGCCCAGCAACACAGTCTGGTCCTGCTGGACGTGGGCCGGCAGCATCGGGGCACCTACACCTGCATTGCTACCAACGCGGCCGGCCAGGCCCTCTGCTCCGCCAGCCTGCACGTCTCTGGCTGTGAGTCGGAGCCCCGCCAGAGCTGGGGGGACCCCAAACACAGCCCCCGCCAGCTGCCATCCCCTGTCCTGCAGGCTGGCTCAGCCGGCTGAGACCCTCCTAGAGGCCCCCTGCCACCCCGAGTGTGTCCTTCCTGGGCCCCGCTCCATCGGGAGGCTCCCGAGGGCCAGGGTCAAGGTCCCTTGGGGGCCGGGACATCCTGGACCAGGTCCCAAGCAGAAGTGGCTCAGGGCTGTGGGCTGTCACCCTGACTCACCCCGTTCTCCTAACAGTGCCCAAGGAGGCGGGGGCGGCGGATGAGCATGCTGGGGGGAAGGAGGTCCTCATCTCCAGCTTCCTGCAGGGGTGAGTGCGGGGGAGCCGGCTCTCCGTGCCTCAGTGTCCCCACTGTGAAATGAGGGCCCTGGCTGAGGCACTCTCTTGGGACACCGCTCCCCTTTAGGACCCAAGCTGTGTCTACACAGATGTCAGAGCCTGTGGGGTTCGCTGATCTTGCCGGACCGAGGAAAGGTATGGGCTGGGTGGGAGCACGACCTCGCAGGGAGGGGGCCGACAAGCCCTAGTGCAGGGGTGAGGCGTGGAGGGGGCTGTCCCAGGCTGTGTGGCCCCAGAAATGGCTGCTTGTCCTCCCCTGGGCCTGGTTCTGAGCCTTGTGGATCTGGGGGCCCCGCCAGCCCTTGGCTCAGAGCTCACAGATGCCCGGCCCAGACGCAGGTGGCCGCTGAGGGCTGGGTGAGCGCAGTGTGGGGGGGCAGGGGCTGGGCATGCCACCATGGAGACCTCATCCGCCCTGGATTCTCCCCGGTCCCCAGCGGGGCCTGCCACCTACACAGGGCCTCCCCGCACCCTGGGGTATTTGTAACTTCAGAAGGCGAGAAGGGGGGGGCCATGTGCTCCGCCTGCTGGTTGCCCACCTTTGGGGTCACTTCTCAGCTGACCCCCGCTCACCAGGCAGCCCTCATGAACCCTTAACCCGACCCTGCCAAGCTTCCCGCAGTGATGGTGTCAAGTCCATGCCTTCCTCGGCACTGCAGACCCCCGAGCCCAGGACGGGGCCTGGAGGGGGTGCTGGGGCGTGTCTGTGGGGCACGGGACCGGCTGAGCTACGTTCTGGCCCCCAGCAGAGCCCACGGTGGTGGAGGCCCGTGGCCACATGTCCCTGGCCGAGGTGGGCACGGAGGAGTTCTTGCAGAAGCTCACGTCCCAGATCACCGAGATCGTGTCAGCCAAGATCACACAGGGTGAGGGCTCTGTGGCCACAGCGTGAAGGCGGGGCTCTCCTTTGTCCACACCCTGGGCACCCATGGGAAGGGGACAGGGGCGCAGGCCCTTCCTGGGTATCATGTGTATTGTGTCCGCCAGCCAAGCTGCAGGTGCCTGGAGGTGACAGCGATGAGGAATCCAAGACGCCGTCTGCATCCCCCTGGCACGGCCGTTCCCGTCCCTCCTCCAGCGTCCAGGAGTCGTCCTCAGAGTCAGAGGACGGGGACTCCCGAGGCGAGGTGCTCTGCCTGGCAGGGGCGGGTAGGGCACTGGTGGGGGGCCACACATCTCGGTGGCCAGACTCACTGCCACCCCCTGGTGGGATTTCCATCAGCAGAGATGGTTGAGCTTGTTCTGGAACTTAATGGAATCTCAGGATGGCTTCTCCCCCAACTTAATGCTAGGCACCCTGTAGCCTCTGGAGGCCTGGCTGGCTCCCGTCCGGGTCCCCCGCCCCTCTGGAGTCTTTGGGGGCTGTTGGGGCCTCTGTGGGTTGGGCTGGCCCCCCGTCCAGGTCCCCCGCCCCTCTGGGGTCTTTGGGGGCTGTTGGGGCCTCCGTGGGTCCCCCGACTGGGTCCCCTGCTCCTCTGGGGTCTTTGGAGGTTGTTGGTACCTCCGTGGATCAGGCTGGCCCCCCACCCCGGTCTGAGTCAGCATCATGCCCCCAGATCTTCGATATCTACGTGGTCACAGCTGACTACCTGCCCCTGGGGGCCGAGCAGGACGCCATCTCACTGCGGGAGGGCCAGTATGTGGAGGTGTTGGACTCGGCCCACCCACTGCGCTGGCTTGTGCGCACCAAGCCCACCAAGTCCAGCCCCTCGAGGCAAGGCTGGGTGTCCCCTGCCTACCTGGACAAGCGGCTCAAGGTACTGGATGGCTGGGATGGGGTTCTGGGATTGTCATCCCCTGTGAGGCCAGAGCCGAGGCCACCTGCCACCCTCCCCCATTTTCTCACCAGCTGTCACCCGAGTGGGGGCCCACGGAGACCCCCGAGTTCCCCGGGGAGGCCGTGTCTGAGGATGAATACAAGACAAGGTTGAGGTGAGGGTCTGGCAGGCGGGGGCGTGAGCGGCTTTGTGGTGGCGGGGGCAGGACGGTCGTGGGGGTGCCTCCCTCCACCACTTTACCAGGCTCTTCCTGACAACCGGGGGGCGGGCTGTGCGGGGGCGTCACTAGCCCTTGGGTCTCTCCTCACCTCATCCCCTCCCAGCTCCATCATCCAGGAGCTGCTGAGCTCCGAGCAGGCCTTTGTGGGCAAGCTGCAGTTCCTGCAGGACCACCACATTCAGCACCTGGAGCGATGCCCCCACGTGCCCCCGGCCGTGGCCAACCAGAAGGCAGTCATCTTCCGCAACGTGCAGGACATCAGCCACTTCCACAGCAGGTGGGCTGGCCCTCGGGTATGCGCACGTGCACGCCCGCACGTGTGCACGCCCGCGTGCACACGCACGCTCCTGCACCTGTGGCACGTGTGGGCACGGCACACGCACCGACGCACGCACGGCTGCATGAACCCGCACGTCCTTGCATGCAGGCACACAGACGCGCATGCCCCCCCACCCCCCGCACACCCGCAGCCCCCGAAGCTCAGCGCACTCCGTTCCAAGTAGCCACGCAGCCCAGCCCTGGGGGGTAGCCTGCTCCGTCCCAGACCTGAGGCCTCACCCGCGCCTGCCCACCGTGCCCTCTCCTGCAGCTTCCAGCGGGAGCTGCAGACCTGTGACACAGACGACGATGTGGCCATGTGCTTCATCAAGAACCAGGAGGCCTTTGAGAAGTACCTGGAGTTCCTGGTGGGCCGCGTGCAGGCCGAGTCCGCGGTGGTCAGCACGGCTGTGCAGGACTTCTACAAGGTGCACCCCAGCCCGCGCCCCTCGGCTCACTGAGAAAGCAGAGCCCCCGGAGCCCCGGGCTCCCCTTCAGATGGTGACAGCGGGGCAGGGGTGCGGCTGGCTGGGGAGGAGGGCGGTGCGCGCGCGTGCGTGTGTGTACGCGCGTGTGTGCCGCGGGGCAGGGTGCGGCTGGCGAGGGAGGACGGTGGTGCGCGCGTGTGCGTGAGTACGCGCGCGCACCCCGACGCCCCAGCCCCCCGCCCTCCACCTCTGCCGGCGTGTCCCCAACCCCGCCCCGCGGCTCCCACAGAAATACACGGAGGAGGTGCTGTCCGCCGCGGACCCGTCGCAGCCGCCCCCACCGCCCCTGCAGCACTTCCTGGAGCGGCCAGTGCAGCGCGTCCAGCAGTACCAGGCCCTGCTCAAGGTAGGGGTGCGCGCCGGGCCCCTCCCCGGCCTCGTCGCGCAGCGGCTGGGAACGCGGCCTGACGCTGTGCCCCCCAGGAGCTGATCCGCAACAAGGCGAGGAACGGGCAGAACTGCGCGCTGCTGGAGCAGGCCTACGCGCTCGTGTCCGCCCTGCCGCAGCGCGCCGAGAACCAGCTGCACGTGTCGCTCATGGAGAACTACCCGGGCACCCTGGAGGCCCTGGGCGAGCCCATCCGCCAGGTCGGGACGGGGACGTGGGCGGGGCGCCTGCGCAGGGCCGCGGGGGGCGGGGGGGCGCCTGGGCTGCGGGCGGACTGCGGGGGCCTCCGGGGGGACTGCGGGGGCTGCGGGTGGACTGCGAGCGGACTGCAGGGGCTGCGGGCGGACTGGGGGGCCTCCGGGCGGACTGCGGGGGCTTGGGCTGACTGCGGTGGCTGCGGGTGGACTGCGGGCGGACTGGGGGGCTTCCGGGCGGACTGCGGGGCTACGGGGGCTGCGGGCTAACTGCGGGGGCTTGGGGCTGACTGCGGGGGCTCCGGGCGGACTGCGGGGGCTGCGGGTGGACTGCGAGCGGACTGCGGGGGCTGCAGGCGGACTGGGGGGCCTCCGGGCGGACTGCGGGGCTACGGGGGCTGCGGGCAGACTGCGGGGGCTTGGGCTGACTGCGGGGGCTCCGGGCGGACTGCAGGGGGCTGCGGGCGGACTGCGGGGGCTGCGGGCGGATGCGGGGGCTGCGGGCGGACTGGGGGGGCTGCGGGCGGACTGGGGGGCCTCCGGGCGGACTGCGGGGCTACGGGGGCTGCGGGCTGATTGCGGGGGCTCAGGGCGGACTGCGGGGGCGGGCTGTGGGCTAACTGCGCGCTGACTGCTCCCTGCAGGGCCACTTCATCGTGTGGGAGGGGGCGCCGGGCGCGCGGATGCCCTGGAAGGGCCATCACCGCCACGTCTTCCTGTTCCGCCACCACCTGGTTGTTTGCAAGACCAAAAGGGATTCCCGCACCGACACCTTCAGTTACGTCTTCCGAAACATGATGAAGGTGCGCGGGCGCCGCGGGGGCCTGGGGGCAGGGGGCGGGCAAGCAGAAGCCTGTGTTGAGGCAGTCAGCCTGCATTCCCCGCCCCCCACAGCTGAGCAGCATCGACCTGAACGACCAGGTGGAGGGTGACGACCGTGCTTTCGAGATCTGGCACGAGCGGGAGGACTCGGTGCGCAAGTACCTGCTGCAGGCGCGCACGGTCATCACCAAGAACTCGTGGGTGAAGGAGATCTGCGGCATCCAGCAGCGCCTGGCCCTGCCCGTGTGGCGTGAGTGCTCCTGCCTTTGGCAGGCGGGGAGATCACACTCAGCACCTGAGCCTTTCTGGCCCCCCCCCCCCGAGCCTCAGCCCCCTGCCCCGGTTGTGGGAGGCACGAAGGACAGGCTCCATCTGGGGCACAGTCAGCTCAGCCTTTCGTGAGCCTGAGCTGGGGTGTAGGGCTGACCTTGACCTGAGTGCAGGAAGCTTCAGGGTTCACACAGGGGCCCCCCAGCACAGGACAGGTGCCCAGATTTTGTTAGGGACGGGAAGGGCCCCCTGGACGGAAGGTCGAAAGGGGCAGTGTCCGTAACAACCATACCCCTGGACGCTGGGGCTTCTGACCAAGGACATGGGGACACCACCATCTCACCCACCAGGAACTCAGAGTCTTTGCGTGTGTGCGCCCAGATCCCCCAGATTTCGAAGAGGAGCTGGCGGACTGCACAGCAGAGCTGGGCGAGACCGTGAAGCTGGCCTGCCGTGTGACGGGCACCCCCAAGCCCATTGTCAGCTGGTACAAAGGTAGGCTGCTGCAGATGGAGGGATGTGGACGCTGCACCTGCAAGAGCCTTCCAGAGGGAATTGGGCCTGGTCGGGGGCCCTCGGGGGGCGCGAGGGACAGGCGTCCTCTTCCAGTGGCTGACTCAGCCAGCTTGGCTGGGAGCAAGGCTAGACGAGGTGGTTCAGAGCAGAGGCTGTGCCCCCGTGGTTCAGACTCAGTGACCCTACCCGCTCCAGATCTCGTTCCTTGGCTGTCTTGTTTGACGAGTTTGCACCAAGGGCTAGCACCCCGTTCCAGGTGTCGGGGACGCAGTGGCAAATAGGCCCTGCCCAAGGGTGCTGGCCGGGTAGGGGGCTAGACTGATGGCAAACCAGGGGACAAACAAAGTGGGGAGGTGGTGTGGCCGGCCAGAGAAATGAGGATGGAGGGTTAGCTGGCAGGTCTCTCTGGCAGACGTGCAGGAGCTCTGGGGGGCCAGCCAGGTGACCAGGAGAGGGCAGGATGGACTCTGAGGCCCGCCCTGTCGTAGGGTCTCAGGTTTGGCTCTGGATGTGATGGGAGCCACAAAGTTCGGGGGTCCCCAGTTCTGACACCAGCTGCCGTTTGGGGGTTCCCAGGGCCACCCCCAGTTCTGACACCAACTGCCATTCTGGGGTTCCTAGGACCACCCTCCGTTCTGACACCGGCTGCTCTTCGGGGGTCCCCAGGGTCACCCCCAGTTCTGACACCAGCTGCTGTTTGGGGGTCCCCAGGACCACCCCCAGTTCTGACACCGGCTGCTCTTTGGGGCTCCCCAGGACCACCCCCAGTTCTGACACCAACTGCCGTTCTGGGGTTCCCAGGACCACCCTCCGTTCTGACACCGGCTGCTCTTCGGGGGTCCCCAGGGTCACCCCCAGTTCTGACACCAGCTGCTGTTTGGGGGTCCCCAGGACCACCCCCAGTTCTGACACAGGCTGCTCTTTGGGGGTCCCCAGGACCACCCCTAGTTCTGACACCGGCTGCTCTTCAGGGGTCCCCAGGGTCACCCCCAGTTCTGACACCAGCTGCTGTTTGGGGGTCCCCAGGACCACCCCCAGTTCTGACACTGGCTGCCATTCGGGGGTCCCCTGGACCACCCCCAGTTCTGACACCCGGTTTGGGGGTCCCACGACCAGCTGTGGTGGGTTCAGTGAATCGCTAGAAGGACTCACAGAACTCAGCAGAGTGTGCACTCAGGGTCTGGCTTATTGCAGGAGCGGGAAGAGGCGCGTGGGGAGGGTTCCAGCTGGGTGTCCAGGCAGGGTCCTGGTGTCCCCCCGCCCTCCCTTCCAGTGGAGTCCTGCAGATCTCATGCCTCTCCCATGTGGACGTATAGTAGCACAGTCCAGCCCCCCGGGGACACTGATCTGAACCTTGTGTCCAGGGCCCCTGTTGGGTGGTCACTCAGGCAGGCACAGCTGAGGTCTGTCACAGACCCTGCAGAGGTCAAGCCGCTGCCACGTGGCCTTAAGCCCCAAACCTATATATATCACAACAGATGGGGTCCGAGGCCCCCAGGTAAACCAAGACTCTTTTACTGGGGGTCACTTGGGCTGGCCTGGGCTGGCAGGTCAGTCTCCAAGGCTCCAGTGCAGCCTGAATACCCGAATCCAGCCCTGGTCTTGAAGGAGCCGTTCCAGGGTGGTCAGGCCCTGGGGGCATTTGTGTGTCCCTCCTGGTTAAGGACAGGGCTGCTGAGGAAACCTGGGGGTGTTGCTGGGCCTTCCCTGGGTCCCACGGTCAGAGCCACAGGCCGGAGCCGGTGGATGCAGCAGCTGGTTCCCGGTGGCAGTTTGGGAGAGCCCCCTCCTCTGCCCTGGGGTCTTCTTCTGGAAGGAGGCCCCACTGCCCCCATGTCCTGGGGTCTGAGAGGTCTCTCCCAGATGCTCCCCCCGACCCCTTACACAGAACCTGGGAGTGCAACTGCCCATCCACGATCCCCTCATGGCCAGACCTGTGCCTGGGATGGCCAATCCAGAGGGACAGGGCGGTTCAGAAAGTTGCGTGGAAGTAAGAACAAGCCCCTGGGACCACCCTGCTTCTGGTCAGGCTGCCCCCAGTAAGGCGAGCTGGCCGGGCCATGTCTGTATCCAAGGGGAAAGGAGAACACATCTCATCCTGGAGCGGTCAGGTGGGGGGACCTCTGCTTCTTTAATGCTGTGAGCACCCTGGAGGGAAAAACTTGTGTCTGGGGACAGCTGTGTGTCCGGTGACCAAACTGCCCTCCCGAGGGGTGGACAGGAGGAAGTGTGAGGGTCAGCAGATGCTGACACATGCCGTCTCAACGCAGGCGGCTCACATGGCCAAGAGCCGCTGTGACCCAAAGCAGCGTCATGGTGGGAGAGCCCACAGGGAGCCCCCAGAGGCTGCGATCTGCCAGGATGAGGAGCACGCCCCCTGCCATGGGGCCCCACCGTGGATTCAGAGCATCCCTCTGGGCATGGCCTCAGGTGGCACGCCATGCAGGAACCCTGCTATGAGCCTACTTTCCGAGGCCACACGGTGGGCACAGACATCTGGGGAAGGGGACAGGACTCTGGGTCAGCGTGACCAGCCGGGCTCCCCACCAGGGGTCTGTGCTCCAGGGGTGGCCCCCCATCACCCCCCAGGCAGGCCAGCCTCCTGTCCCTGGCAGGGTGCCCTCCGTGACAGCGCTGCCTTCCTTTGCAGATGGGAAGCCAGTGGAGGTGGATCCGCACCACATCCTCATTGAAGACCCCGATGGCTCATGTGCCCTCATCCTGGACAACCTGACTGGTGTGGACTCGGGCCAGTACATGTGCTTTGCGGCTAGTGCCGCCGGCAATGCGAGCACTCTGGGCAAGATCCTGGTGCAAGGTGAGCCGCTCTGGGAGGGAGACTGGAGTAGGAAGCATCCAGATCCCACTCCACCTCAGTGGCCCCACGGGGTGGGCTGCCGGTGACGTCTGGGGCACTCGTGAGTGGGGGTAGGGTCCCGCTTCATCATGGTGTCTCTCTGTGTATCTCTTTCTCTTACCTTGCTCTGTGGCCCCACAGTACCCCCACGATTTGTGAAAAAGGTCCGGGCGGTTCCTTTTGTGGAGGGAGAGGATGCGCAGGTCACCTGCACCATTGAAGGTGCCCCACACCCTCAGATCAGGTGGGCTGGGCAGCTTGCACCCGGGGCACAGGAGGGGAGGTAGGCGGCATGCTTGCTGCTTGGGGGGGTGGGCAGATTCTAAACATGGCTCCCGCTGTAGGCGGGGCAACACCCACTGGAGGCTGGGTGGGTGGCGTCAGGAGGACGTGGGTTCTGGATGGAAGCCCGATCCTGCAGGGTGGGCGAGAGGAGAGTCTCGAGTGGAAGGAACCTGGGGAGGCCCTCCTCACCCCCTGGGGTTGGCTGCAGGTGGTACAAGGATGGGGCCCTGATAACACCCAGCAGCAAGTACCGAACCCTGAGTGAGCCCCGCAGCGGTCTGCTGGTGCTGGAGATCCTGACAGCCAGCAAGGACGACCTGGGCCATTATGAGTGCGAGGTGAGGTGGGCAGGCACAGGGGACCTACCTCGGGGCCCACCATCACCCAGGGTCCCTGAACCATGATGAGGGAGGGGACACCTGGCCCACCATCACCCAGTGTCCCTGAATCATGATGAGGGAGGGGACACCTGGCCTACCATCACCCAGTGTCCCTGATGAGGGAGGAACCCCAGACCATCACCCAGGCTCCCTGATGAAGGAGGGTCCCCAGACCAACCATCATCCAGGCTCCCTGATGAAGGAGGGACCCCAGACCTACCATCCCCCAGTGTCCCCAGTGAAGGAGGGACCCCTGGCCCACCATCATCCAGTATCCCCGTAATGAGGTTGGGACCCCCAGCCCATCACCCAGTGTCTATGGCGAGGACAGGGACCTGGGTGGGAGCTCTGTGTGGCATCCTCTGTACCAAAGCCACCTGTCCACCTGCAGGGCCGGTGGTGGTCTGCGGAAGGTATGTGTAGGCTGTGGCTCTTCCTGGCTGCCAGCCTCCTCTGTGTGGTTGCTGCTGGTAGCCTGGGTTGGGCTAGGTGGGGCCTGCCGCCCCGGCAGCTCCTGGGAGGCACACATACCAGAGTTAGCTCTGGACCCCCACTGTCTGATTCTGTTACTACTAGCCACACGTGCAATTTGAGTTGAAATCAGTTATTTAACTCTAGATAAGAATTTGGTTCTGTTTTCAGTGTTCGGGGCCCACATGGCCACCACACTGAACTGTGCAGATGGTGTCCCCACAAGCTAGGAGACCCCTGGGCTGTGCTGGGTCTGTGTGGGCACCTTTCTTCTGTGGCGGGCTCTGTGGCTCCGGGACACAGCCAGGGAGGGCCCTCCATGTTAAAGATGGCCTCGACGGTCCCAAGGGAGCCACTGGCTCTAAGCGGGCTCTGCCATCCGCCCTGCAGTTGGTGAACCGGCTGGGCTCTGCGAGGGGCGGGGCAGAGCTGTGCATGCAGAGCCCTGCTGTGCGGGCCCGGGAACAGCTTCACAGGGAGCAGCTTGCAGCCATGGAAGGTAAGTGCTACTGTGGGGCCAGGTTGGGGGGAAACCAGCAGCCTTTCCAGTCAGGGTGTGCTTCCTGGAGGAGGGGCAGTGAGGGCTGAGGAAGGGGTCTGGCTGGGAGAGATGGGTCAAGGGCTGGTTCCCAGTCCCCTACTGGGGCAGCGTGAGGTGAGCCTTGAGCCCAGAGCTTTGGCAAGGCTGGAGGGCAGCCCTGGGGTCCTGCATCTTGCTTACCATTTCTGGGGCAGTAATGAGTATGTAGAGAGGCAAGGCCTGGGCCCAGTAGGCTGCTGGGTAGTGGCCAGCAAGACGTCGTAATAGGCAGCAGGAACGTTGGGGAGGACGGCTCTGTGGGAGGCATGCTGAGTGCAGAGCACCAGCTGCTGGGTCCCACCTTGGCTCCCAGGAGAGGGAGTGATGTCAGGGACCTGGTACCTCCACACTGGGTGGAGCTGTTCATGGAAAAGTCAGAATGCCGTGGCTTTGCCTCCCTAGGGTGGCCTGGGGTGGTGTCTGGGGTCCTGGGATGGGTCTCACCAAGGGGGATGTCCACCTGGGTGGGAGGTGAAGGGTGGGCAGCAGGATATCTCATGCCTCTACTTACATCTGAGTCCACGGTTCCAGCTGTGCGCAGCCTAAGAATGGCAAGGATGGGAAGGGAGGAAGCTGGCATCTGTCCTGGGACTGCTCAGAGAGTAGGCTTATGGTGCCCGCAGGGCAGGCTGCAGGTCCAGGGACAGCTTCTTCCAGTCTGGGTTGCCCCACCTGGAAGGGGCTACCTTGTCAGTTGATGAGCCTCCTGTCCCTAGAGGTATGCAGGCAGAGGCTGGATCAACACCTGGTGGAGCTGTAGCTCTCACAGTAGGTCGGGTTGGAATACATGTCCTCCCAAGTCCTGAGTGTTGGCTTCTGTGACGCCTTGGGCTAATGGATCCCGTCCATCCTGGATGGGGCCCAACGTCCAGGGGCCTCTATCTGTCTGGACCCTCCCAGAGTCAGCCTGCTTGGCATCTGGAGCTCGACCTCACAGCCTTGATGCCTTCCACAGCCATCACAGAGTGGGCAGGGGTCCATGTTCCTGCCCCCCCAGAGGGCCCTGTGGTGTCTGCAGGCACCTGCACTTCCTGCCGTATGGCGTCTTATGTTGGGGAGGTGCTGAGCAAGGACTTCAGCACTCCTTCTTGGGCTGGAGACAAGCGTGTCCTACAGAGGCATTCACTTCATTGTCATGATGGGTCACTTTCTGTCAACGTGTCATGGCTGTGAAGTCTGGAAGAAGGGCAGCCTTCTGATACCAGGAACATGGTATCTCACATCCAAAAAAGCCAGTCCTCACAGACCCAGGAGTTGGAGCCCGCCGCCTCCTGCTTCCTAACCCTATCCTGCCGCTTCATCTTTAACCTGGTGGCTCCACAGCCAGAACAGGCCCAGCCGGCCTTGTGGGGTGGGTGCTGCCCCCTCGCTTTTGGAACTGCACTGGGCCAGGAGCCCCGCTTCGCATGGCTGCACCCCTCTGGTGGCTGCCAGTATTCACCGGGGCTTAGAGCCCGTCAGGTGGCAGGTCAGGTCAGGAACAAAGGCACCAGGAATGTAGCAGCCAAGACATTCCCTGACCACCACTCTTCAGAGCAGCAGGACAGGACTCCAATCAGGGGAGGGTGAGGGAAGGAGCTCTGGGTTTTCCCACTACTCTGCATGCAGGATGTGGACTGCAGGCGGCAAACAGGCTGGCTCACTCTGGACCCAACTTAATCCAAACACACAAAGCCTTTTGGCTGGCTCCCATTCTCTCTCCCAGGGGGCTACCCTCTCCAGGAGGCAGCGGACACAAACACACCCATGCACATACATGCATACATGCACACACATACACAAATAAATGAGGCTCTCAAGGGCCATACAGACACAGCTGGTACCTTTAATTTACATGCACCCAATCAGAGACAAGTTTAAAATACTCTTGGTTATCTAAGGGAAATCCTTTCTCTATATGGCACTGCAGCAAAGCCTAAAACCCACACACCGGAAGCCAGAGTGCTATGTGCTGCAGGCCTTGCCACCTGACTTTTCTGAGCATCCCACTCAGCTTTGTCCCCAGGATGGCAAGAGGGACTGTTGAGATCTGAGGGTACTGGTATGTGCTGGACTGCCTGTTGCGCAGCAAGATGTGGCTGGGAGGGGCATCTCAATGGTAAGCCTGGCCCTGCCCAGAAGCTATAGAGGAAGAGGCCTCAGGATGGGTGAGAACAGGTGCTGCCTGGTCCCAGATGAGTCCTGTCCTGACTCTGGGACTCAAGTCCTCCATCTGTTGACTCCAAGGAGATGGAAAGCTAGGGCAATCAAGGCAGTTGAGTTTATGGGGAGCTTCTATGGAGAGACCTAGGTTTCCCTGCTCATTTGGAGCTCAGGACCCTGTCCAGGTGTCTCTGGTTGCTCCTGATGGGATTTCCATGGCCTCGTGGTACAGAGCTCAGATGTGCCATCTCTAGGACTCCACTGTCCCTTTCCCCTGGAGAGATGCCTTTAGTCTTTAGGATTTTTTATAAAATAGGCACCAGCCATCCCAGTCCCAGTTTGGTTCACATGAGCCTTTCCTTCCCCCCACCCCTAGCCTTCAGTTTTTGTCTGAGAAGTGGGACCTCAGGTTTGACAAATTCACAGGGCTCCCTGGGCACATGGGCTGAAGAAGGAGCTGGGATTTCTGCATGGGCAGCCTAGACGGGGCCCCTGCTCTTGCTGCAGTCACTGCAAGACCCTCATTTTCTCATATGGGACACACTGAGGTCACACTTGCTCATCCCCCAGCCACTCAGAGCAGGCACTGTCATCTCCGTGTTAAAGATGACAGAACTGAGGTTCCAACGTGAGACAGGCAGATCAGGCAGGGCTTGGATACAGTGCTCTGAAGCCGAGCAGGTTACTATACTGCCATGCCACTCAAATGGCTCAGCACCCGAGCGCTGGCTGATCTGTAACCCTCGCTATTCCGACTGTTTTCTTTGTAGTCACTGAGCAGGAGACTAAAGTCCCCAAGAAAACCGTCATCATGTAAGTGCAGGCGTGTTCCTAAACTTCCTCCTGACTGCAGTGCCCCCTGCATGCCCACTAACCCACGTGGACCTTGTCCGTGTGGCCTGTCCACCTGCTTGTCTTAACTGCTTGCCCACATGGCCTTTGCTCACCATGCAGACTGCCAGGACTTTGCAGATGCCACCGAGGGGACCAACCTTCCCCTGGGGCCTTGGCTACCTTCACACTTCACAGCTCTCTCTTCCAGGGCCTCTATACTCCAGTGCCTCCACAGGGTAGACTTACTCTGCATACTTCACAGCAACTCACTCAGGGCTTGGACCCAGAATCACATCAGTTAATTTGGAGCTGGGACCAAGAGCTGCTTCCCACAGTGGGCTAGAGGGAATATTCTACCCCTCAAACCCTAGGACCTAGGGCATTTTTGTCCCAACAGAGCTTTCTGTCATGTTGGAAATATTCTATCTTTATGATGCCCACTACAAGAACAGCCACTAGCCACAAGTGGCTACTGAGTATTTAAAATGTGTGCAGGATGGTTCATGATTGAAAGCCAGCAGGTAACCCATTTCCCCGGTGCCACGCCCATTGTCCCCTTTTTATTAGGTGCCTTCAAGGCTGGGGTTGTTGCTAATTAAATAACACAAGAGGGGGCGCCTGGGTGGCTCAATTGGTTAAGCGACTGCCTTTGGCTCAGGTCATGACCCTGGAGTCCCGGGATCGAGTCCCGCATCGGGCTCCCTGCTCGGCAGGGAGTCTGCTTCTCCCTCTGACCCTCCTCCCTCTCATGCTCTCTGTATCTCATTCTCTCTGTCTCAAATAAATAAATAAAATCTTTAAAAAAAAATAATAATAACACAAGAGGTCTGGAGCTGAGTAAGCCCACAGAAGGCAGAGTTGGTTTTCACCTGGATGATCCAGTAGGAGGTGTCTGCAGGCGGAGATTGTGTAAAAGTTTGTGGAAGCCAGGAGGCAAGAAAGACTGGTCTAAGACCAGATGACTGGGAAGCTCCTGTTGGTTCCTCATGGGCCTATGACCTCCTAAAGGGGCCTGCAGTTGGCCAAGTTTTGGAGAATCCTATCGCCAGACATTTGGTCAGATCCTGGATTAACCCTTCCTCAATTTCCTCCATCCTCCCCCAAGGCACATTGCTGCCCACATGGGGCAGTACATGGGGCAGTAGTAAGCATCCCTGGAGGCATGCAGCTGTGCCAGAGCTATACACAGATTAACTCTACATTTCGTCTATGAAGAGAGCATTTCTATTATTTACATCTTACAGATGACAAAACGGAGAAACAGAGACAGGGCCAGGCTGCCTCATCAGTAAGACTTCAGAGAGGACTCGCACCTGGGGCAGCCGGACTAGGGGACTCAAGGGGCATCCTGAAGTCCAATCTGTTCCAGGCTTAGGGAGGTAGCAACACACACCCTGTGTTGCTGGAGGAACTCAGCTGGAGGAATTGTGCCAGGTATCTCTCCCAAGGACACACCACAGAGTGGGGACTCAGGGTACATGGGGAGGAAAAAGGGCTTGGAGAGAGACCCCTGCCACCTGGCAGTCCCACCTGCTGTCCTGGGAGCCCCAGTGCAGGATGCCCACATGTCTTCATGGGGGCAGTAATGAGCTCAACACAGGGAGGCATTTAGGAGGCATGACCCCAGTACCCACATGACTGACTGTCCTGCCTTGGCGAACTGAAGAGGCATGAGGCCAGCAGATGGGCCTGGCCCAAGTTCCCATGATGTTTGGGCAAGCTCCGACCCAGGGACAAGCCTAGTGCTCCCGAGCCTGGGCATGAGGCAGGAAGGCAGTCCTGTGATTTTTTATTAGGCCACGCCTCCCAAGCCTCAGTTGCCCCGTCAGTTGAGTGGGGTGTAGTATTTCCTTCTTACCTGTTGAGGTCTGAGGACGCAGGGCCTATAATCGCTGTGCTGTAGCACACATTTCTGGGCCCATCCCTGGAAATATATGCTCCTGGGTGGAGCCCTAAGTTGGATAAAAGCTGAATGAGGGAGAGAGAGAGAGCACGAGCCTGCCTTAGTCATAGCAGGCAGGTGACGACAGCATTGAGCTGTCACCACATGCGTGCCTGAGCCCAAGAGAAAATGCAGGTCCCAGGGCCCAGGAGAGTTGTGAGTTCCCCAGGGTCTGTGTGTTTAGCACATCCCTGCTCCCTGATACTGCCTGATACTCATTGTACCCCCAGCACCCACCAAGGTCAGGGGCACAGGGTGGCAGGGGATCCTGGGGGTGACTGGTGGACTTCTGAGTCATGGCCCTGGGCATGTGTGCAGCCTTCTCAGCCTCGTGGTCCACACTTGCAAAAGGAGGTCAGACCCATCCCCCAGGGCTGCTGCAAAGTCCCTGGCCAGTACCTGATGTTCACTCACATGCAACTGGCCTTGCATTCTGCCTCCTCTTTCCTTCCTGCCCACTCCCATTTAGGCGGAAGGGGCCCAGGAAGAGGAAGTGCTTGTCTGATGTCACACAGCCCATGACGGCCAAGCCACGCTCAGAGCCGGGTGTTCTTGCTGGGCTTCACGCCCCCAGATGAACAGATCAGGAACACAGGCAGCAGATCAGTGCTCTGACAACCCTCCTGGACCTAGCATCAGCTGCCAACCTATCTCCAGCTGAGGACCATTGAGGTTCCTGCCCTCTGAGAGCTCACTGGGGTCATCCCCCATGATACAAAGCACAAAGCACTCATGGGATAGACAAGGAAGGCCACATGGCTATGTCCCTGCATCCCTGTCCATTAGCTCTGCAACGAGCATTGGCGTCTCCAAAAGAAGGTGGCCATAAACGGAGAAGAGACACACGTGGAGACATTGTGAACCAGACTTGGTCTTGGGTTTGGAGGTGCACTGTGATGAGGCGTGGGCCTCCCCTGTTGCCTCAACTCTTGTTTTGAGATCTGTGTGCTAGAGCCTGAGTTGGCCAGATGAGGCTTTGTGCTTTGTTCCATTGGTTCTCTGGCTAGAGGTTTCAGAGGGCGGGCTCAAGCACACATGTAGGAATTTGTTTATGCAGTGTCACCAATTGCTCGCTACACTAACCTGATCACTCACGTGGCCCCCGCATGTGCTGATGGCGCGGGCAGCGGGCAAGGGTACAGGTCTCTGTGCACATTTCCTCTTGGCCCTCTCCCTGCAGAGAAGAGACCATCACCACCGTGGTGAAGAGCCCTCGTGGCCGGCGCCGGTCCCCGAACAAGTCCCCCTCCCGCTCGCCTTCCCGCCGCACTGCCAGCCCGCCCAGGCCAGGCCAGTTGGCCCCTGAGGTGCTGTACTCACTGGGGGCCAGCCAGCCCCACAGGCCTGAGGTGGAGCCAGGCTGGAGACCTACTGTACCCACGCTGTATGTGACGGAGCCTGAGTCCCACACGCCGGGCCTGCCCCAGGGCACAAGGCCCCAGCCCAAGTGGGTAGAGGTTGAGGAGACCATTGAAGTCAGGGTGAAGAAGACGGGCTCCAGGGGTGCATCCCCTGCCGGAGAGGCACCTGACAGCTCTGCAGGGCTTCTCTTCACGCTGCCTGGTGGGACCCCCATAGGAGACCCCAATGCAAACAACTCCAACAACAACCTACTGGCCCAGGAGCCCCAGGCCCAGGGCAGGAGCACTGGAGAGCCTCTCATCTGCATGGACACGGGGCCAGAGGAGACCTGTGAGCCGTTCCCTCCCCAGGGGGCTGAAGAGGAAACCCCCATGGAGGAGGTGGAGGAGGTGGAGGGAGGAGATGCCCTCCTGACGGAGGAGCCCCTGGGCACCAACAGCCTTTGGGGCCGTGACCCCAAGATCCTCACACATGATGGCCGAGTGCTGACGCTGGCTGATCTGGAGGATTACGTGCCCCAGGAAGGGGAGACCTTCGGCTGCCATGGCCCTGTGCCCAGCACTTCTGACGACCCACCCTGCGAGGTCTCTGTGCTCCAGAGAGAGATCAATGAGCCCATGGTGGGGCAACCTGTCCTGCTCAATGTGGGGCGTCCCCTGGGCCCTCGAAACCCACCTAGCTTTTTCAGTCGCCGGGAGGCGTCTCCCTTGGGCCCTCAGGTCCTCGGCCCCGCAGGAGTCTCCTTCTGTATGCAGGAAGCCCAGGCTGGGGGTGCTGCGTCCTGGAAGCCGTCCTTCTGCATCCAGGTCCAGAGGTCTGCAGACAGTGGCCAGAGCAGCTTCAAAACGGAGGTTAACACCCAGACGGTCAGCTTTGGGACGGTGGGCGAGACCGTCACCCTGCACATCTGCCCGGATGGGGACAAGGCCCCGGGCCCCTCCCAGGGCTGAGGCTGTGAGCAGCAGGTGCCTGGCTGCCGGGCCCTGTGGCTTCATGGAGGAAACCAGCGCTCCATGGACACATGTGTGCTCTGACCCTCTCTCTAACTCTCCAAGAACTCAGGGCTGGAGCCTGCTCGCCCCTCTGTCCCCAGGCACTTGCTACCTCATGGGGCCTGGTCCGGCTGAAGGCACTGTGCCCAGACCTGGCGTCTCAGAAAGTACAGAAGGCCGGAGGGACTCACAGACTGCAGCTCTGGGCTCAGGTCTCTAGATGCAGGTCAGGGACTCTGCATCTGTCCTGCCACGTTCATGAGGCCAGGCTGCCAGATGGGCCCTGCCTGCTCCAGGCTGGGGTCCCAGTCTTTCTCTCACTGGGGGGCTCCCCAGCTACATCTTCACTATGAACATTTCTCTTGGCCTCCTGGAGGTCTGTGCAGGGCCTAGCCCTGCAGGAACTCTTGGGCCTCTCTGCAGGGTGAACCAGGGTCTGTGCCTGGGGAAGTGGCCCATCAGTGACCCCCATGATAATAAACTGGTTCTCTGCACTGCTTCTGTTCTGCTCTCTTGCCTCTCTGTCTGGTGGCTCCGGCGTCTTGTCGGGGAGGACCCTGGGTCGGCACCCGGCATTAGCCTGTGGGTTCTGGCCCATTCTTGGGGTCCCTGGATGGAAGCGGGACAGCTCACAGGTTTAGCTTGCTCACATGGGCTGTGTGGCTGGTCACAGGTGCATATACTGGGATCAGGATGGCCCATAGTGGTCGTTCCCAGCCTGCTGTGCAATGGGGGCTGTTGGCGAGTTTGAAACAGAGGGTGTTTGCGTCAGAGGCGTGCTGATGTCTTTGGACTGGGTAAGGACAGGATGGGTTCCCCAGTGTCATAGAGGGCAAACAGACAGCAGACTGCCCAGTTGTCTCTCTGTTCTGGAGGGCCCGAGGATACAGAAGATCGGCAAGAGAGAGGGTCTGGGGCAGGGGAGAGCTCCAGGCAGGGGCACCTGCTGGGAATGGAGTGGTGGGCATCCCTGGGCATGTGTGAGGCTGTGGGGTGGCTCTACCAAGTTACCTCTAGGTAGAAGAGGAAAACGTCCTGGGAGCTGGGGGCAGAGAGCCCACACATGGGGTAGTTGGAGGGTTCCTTTGGGGGCTGTGTGGGAAGCTGGGGTAGGAGCCAGTGAGGGTGCGGTGGCCTGGGTGGGCAGGAAGGAGCCCCTGGTCCCTGACAGCATCAGGCTGTCCCCAGGCCTCCCTAGAGTGTGGGGCTGGGTCCACCCTGGCCTGGGTGTCCCAGTACCTTGGGGTCTGGAGTGGGCCATGGGGTGGGGGGAAGCCAGTCCCAGGGTGAAGGGGTGGGATGACCTGAGACTGAGGACAGACCAGGACAGAGGGTAGGTATCCAGGCCCACCTGTCCCCAGAGGAGCCCGCATGCTCCTGAAGGCCCTGAGTTCACTGCCTTGAGTGGGTGGGTGGGGCAGGCAGGTGGGAAGGGCACTGCTGGGAATGGAGTGGTGGGCGTCCCTGGGCATGTGTGAGGCTGTGGGGTGCCTCTACCAAGTTACCTCTAGGTAGAAGAGGAAAACGTCCTGGGAGCTGGGGGCAGAGAGCCCACACATGGGACTCTGAGGCCTGTGACTAGGTTTCTGGAGCCTTCTTCTGGGGCCCAGGCCACCTTTCACTCCTACACACTGACCTGCCTCTCTCACAGATGCTGCTGTCCATCCCACAGTTGCCCTGGAGCCAGCAGACCAGGAGGTCACAGTGTGCACCAAGGCTCCAGGACCCTCCACGGGGGACCACGCTGGCCCCAGCACTGGCCCTGGGGGGCCACCCAAACTCCAGGACGCTGGCCCCCAACTCCCAGGCATGGAAGATGCAGATGCATCTGGTGAGGCCCAGCGGCCTCAGGCTGACCACCCAGTGCCACCTGCTGTCAGAGTCCCCCCTGTGCTGGCCCCAACCTTGGCCACCCCAGGTATCCATCCTGTGTGGGCGAATGGGCAGAGCCCCTAGGGACCGTGACATTCCAATGGCTCCATGCACTCAGCCTCAGTCTCCCCATCTATGAAACTAGGCAGGGGAGTGGGTGCTGGGAGGTTCTTCCCCAGTACATTTGTCCTGGGAGCCAGAGACTTTGGTGGTCAGTCCTGGGCAGAAAGCCTAGGGAACCTGTACTCCTGGGTAAGTGAGGAGGAGAAGGAGGAGGGAGGAGGAGGGGGGAGAAGAGGGAAGGAGAAGTAGGAGAGGGAAGAGGGAGGAGGGAGAAGAGAGGGAGGAGAGGGAGGGGTAGACCCCCCCGCCGCCCCAGAGAGATGAGACCCCCAGGGATATGCCTTGAGACCCCTCCCCCCAGAAGCTGCTGCACCTGCTGGGGCCCTGCAGAGTGGCTGGCGAGGGGGCCTCAGGGCTGGTGGCCCAGGCTAGGAGCTAGGGCAAGGCTCTGGGCTCTGTAGGGAGGTCGGGAGCCCTGGGTTTCAGGGGTGGGTGTTCCCTGTCCGTTCTTACCCATAGGGCCCTGCACCCCTGGAGTCCCGGCTTTGTCTTGTGCTCCCACCCTCTGGGCCTGGAGGACGACATGGGGGCACATTGTGGGGGACAGTCCCAGCTCCATCCCAATGTCTCACTAGGCCCCTTGTCTCTTACCAGTTGAGCCCCAGAAAGTGCCACAGCCTCTCCCCCAGGAGGGCCAGGAGCAGGACTCAGGGGCCCATGCTGAGGGCCAGGGACGCATCGTGCCCATCCGGTAACCTCCCTGGCGTGCTGGGTGGGGGCAGTTCATGAGAGGGACATCCCAGGGGCAGAGCACGGAGGAGAGGCCGCCCTCAGGGTGAGGGGTGTTGGTGGAGCCCTCTCATTGCCCAGGGCTGGGTCCCCTCTCTGTACATCCCCTCCCAAAACATCTGCTGCCGTCCAGGGAGGGGGAGGCACGCACCCCCATCTTATGGTGAGGCTTGGCCGCCCGCACTCCAGAAGTGTAGGAGACGGGCAGACGGCTCATCCAGCTCCATGACCACAGGATGGAGGGCACAGCCTGGCCGGGGGCAGGCACAGTGGAGCTGTGGGACGTCCACAGCCAAGTGTTCATGGAGACCACCCATAGGACATACGTGTACCAGGCCAGCAACACAGCTGCCGCAAGTAGGTTACACGTGTGCTCCCCATGCCCTGGACTGGGGGTGGGGGGCACTTGTGCAGAGGAAACTGCAAAGCCACCTGGCCTGTCCCGGCCTTGCTGTGGCCGGGGGCCTCACTGCCCATTTCCCTGCATTCCCTAAGAGGGCCATCCCTGGGAGAGGTGAGATCTCTCTCACTGGGGGTGCTGACAGGACTGAATGGGATGTTGGGTGCTCCTTTACCCAGCAGGTGTTAGCACACTCTGCATGCCCTGCCCTTGGACAGCTAACGTCTAAGCAGGACAGACAGAGGTTAGATGGAAGGAAACACTTACTGGCCTTCAGGGGCCCGGGCAGAGTCAGGAGGGGATTGTCCTCATTTGGGGAGGCAGGTGCCCCTGGGGAGTATCTCAGGGCCTGGCTGCCCACTGGGGTGTCAAGACAGGCCCAGGGTCAATGCTGGTCCGCCAGGGGTTCTCTGACTGCAAGCCCCAGCTTGACGAGTCCATGCTGGAGGGGCTGTGGTGGGCAGGGTGGGCGGCACAGCCTGGGCCCCCCCTCACAGACTCGGTCCTGCACCCCAGGGCCCCCGTCCATGCAGGTCACCATCGAAGATGTGCAGGCACAGAAGGGCAGCACAGCCCAGTTCCAGGCGGTCATTGAGGGCAACCCGCAGCCCATGGTGACCTGGTACCGGGTATGGACAGGCGCCTTGTGGGGGGCCGGGCTTGGGGAGTGTGTGGCATTCCCACCCGACAGCAAGCTGCTCACTGGAGGCAGGGACAGCCTGCCTTGCAGGGGTCTCCAGGTTGGGCTGATGGTGGCCCCACCCGCCTGTGCCCCCAGGACGATGCCCAGCTGGTGGATGGCGCCCGGCTCAGCCAGCAGCAGGAGGGGACCACCTACTCCCTGGTGCTGAGCGATGTGACCCAGCACGACGCTGGTGTCTACACATGCCTGGCCCGCAACGCTGGTGGCCAGGTGATGTGTAAAGCGGAGCTCATAGTCCACGGGGGTGAGTCGGGGGATCCCTCCTAGAACCCGAGTGTCTGCTCCTTGAGGGCACGGGGTGGGGTCTGTGGCCTCTCACAGGCTCCAGCACAAGGATGCTACACTTGGGGGAAATGGACATCTTTACCCACACCGAGGGCTTCCCGCTCCTTGACTGCAGGAGACAGCGAGCCGGACTCAGCGAAGCAAAGCTATCGAAGGAAACTGCGCTCTTTCTACGAGGTCAAGGAGGAAATTGGAAGGTATGGTCCAGAAACCCAGCCCCAGGAGCCGCTGCCCCGCCCCTAGTCCCCGCCCCTCAGTCCCGCCTCCCGAGTCCCCGCCCTCAGCCCCTCCTTCCTGAGTCCCTCCCCCAGTCCCCTCCTGTCAGCCCCGCCTCCCTGAGTCCCTAACCCGAGTCCCCGCCCCTCAGCCCCGCCGCCGTGTCCCGACACCGAGTCCCCGCCCCTCAGTCCCGCCCTCAGCCCCTCCTTCCTGAGTCCCTCCCCCAGTTCCCGCCCCTCAGCCCCGCCTCCCTGAGTCCCCACCCCGAGTCCCCGCCCCCTCAGCCCCGCCCCCCTGAGTCCCTCCTCGAGTCCCCGCCCCTCAGCCCCGCCTCCCTGAGTCCCCACCCCGAGTCCCCGCCCCCTCAGCCCCGCCTCCCTGAGTCCCTCCTCGAGTCCTTGCCCCTCAGCCCCGCCTCCCTGAGTCCCCACCCCGAGTCCCCGCCCCGAGTCCCCGCCCCTCAGCTCCTCCTTCCTGAGTCCCTCCCCCAGTTCCCGCCCCTCAGCCCCACCTCCCTGAGTCCCTCCTCGAGTCCCCGCCTCCCAGCCCCGCCTCCCTGAGTCCCCACCCCGAGTCCCCGCCCCCTCAGCCCCGCCTCCCTGAGTCCCTACCCCTAGTCCCCGCCCCGAGTCCCCGCCCCCTCAGCCCCGCCTCCGAGTCCCTACCCCTAGTCCCCGCCCCGAGTCCCCGCCCCCTCAGCCCCGCCTCCCTGAGTCCCTCCTCGAGTCCCCGCCCCTCAGCCCCGCCTCCCTGAGTCCCCACCCCGAGTCCCCGCCCCGAGTCCCCGCCCCTCAGCCCCTCCTTCCTGAGTCCCTCCCCCAGTTCCTGCCCCTCAGCCCCGCCTCCCTGAGTCCCTACCCCGAGACCCCGCCCCTCAGCCCCGCCTCCAAGTCCCTCCCTCAGCCCCGCCTCCCTGAGTCCCTACCCCGAGACCCCGCCCCTCAGCCCCGCCTCCGAGTCCCTGCCTCGAGTCCCCGCCCCTCAGTCCCCTCAGCCCCGCCTCCCCAAGTCCCTACCCCTGAGTCCCTGCCCTGGGAGCCCGGCCTTTCACAAGCACCGCCCCCGACCCCTACTCTAACCCCAACCACGACCCCGGGGAGCCTGTCGCATGCACCCAGCGTGGCTCCCCTCCTCCCAGGGGCGTGTTTGGCTTCGTGAAGAGGGTGCAGCACAAGGGAAACCAGATGTCCTGTGCAGCCAAGTTCATCCCCTTGCGGAGCAGGACGCGCACCCATGCGTACCGCGAGCGGGACATCCTGGCCACGCTGAGCCACCCACTGGTCACCCGGCTGCTGGACCAGTTTGAGACCCGGAAGACCCTGATCCTTGTCCTGGAGCTGTATCCCGCCCTCAGCCGGAGAGAGTGCGGAGAGGGGCGCGCCCTGGGCAGGCAGGGGTCCGAGGGCCACATGGGGCCCGTTGTTCTGGTGTTCCTGGACACAGCACCGTCCTTGTAGCTCCGGTCCCGTGGTTCCGGAATTTGGGCAGGGCTGTGTCCACAGGGTCCAGGACATGCCTTCACTGGGCCCCTGCCCTGCTCCACGTGGCCTCACCAGCAGGGACGTCCGACTTATGTGGCTGCCCCCAGCGCTAAAGCTGAGAGGGTCCTCAGGCTGCCCACCCAAGGTCCAGCGAGGGGCAGACACGCACGACTCGCTCCCCTCCTACTCTGCTGCTGCCACCCACTGATCTCAGCCCCTGTCCTCGGGGTCCCTGTTCCTCCCACCCTCGTCAGCCTGAGCACTACCTTCCCCAGCGTGGCTCCCACCCCCACCCCAAGATAAGACTTGCCGAAGGTGTGTGGGGCTGGGTGGGTTGCAGACTCCAGAGCTTTTCTTGACCTGAGCCCCAGGTGCTCGTCAGAGGACCTGCTGGACCGTCTGTTCAAGAAGAGTGTGGTGACAGAGGCTGAGGTGACCGCACAGTGTCCTGCTCCCTTGCCAACACAGGCCCCCAGTGCTCCCCAACTCAGAGACCGTCTGAGGTTGCCCAGGGCCGCATGGGGCGTGGCAGCTCCTCAGCGGAGTTCTCCAAGCCCTCCCACGGCCTCCCCCTCATAGGCTCTGCCTGGCCAGGGGGCCATGCTCGCCTGGCCCTGAGACACGGTGCTTCCTGCTTTGGCCAGGCTGATCCACTGCCCGGCTGGAGAAATCCTCTGGCCTTGGGGCCCATGGGGTCTGGGAGGCTTTGCACATGGCTGCCCCGTGGGACCATCCCAAGCTCAGATCTGAGGGAAGTGGGGGCCTTGCAGGTGGGAGTGGCACAGGGAAGGAAGTGGAGAAAGAGGTGGACGATGGCTCACGCCTGAGGCCTGGCCTTTCTTGCAGGTCAAGGTGTATGTCCAGCAGCTGGTGGAGGGGCTCCATTACCTGCATGGCCGCAGCACTCTCCACCTGGACATAAAGGTACTCGGCCCCCTCGGGGTCCCCAGGGACTGGGGAGGGACAGGTGGGAGCCTGGGGCCTGCCGGCTGGTGGGGGAGCCACAGGCCACCACTTCGAGATTCCTTGTTAGGACTTGGTTGCCTCTGGGGATGGGGAGCTCTTTCAGGGGGCTGCAGCTGGGATGAATTGGAGGCTGTCCCCAAATGGCACTGAAATCCACCCCCAGCACTGCCCACGGTCCCACTCTGGCCTCACTGTTGCTTGGAACAGCCCATCACAGACCCGGGGGTTCCCTGCTCCCTAGGGCATGGCCTCACCCCTCCCTGACTCTCCCTAACAGCCCCCCAACATCCTGATGGTGCATCCTGTTCGGGAAGACATTAAAATCTGCGACTTTGGCTTTGCCCAAAAAATCACCCCAGGAGAGCCACAGTACAGCAAGTATGGCTCCCCGGAGTTTGTGTCCCCGGAGATCATTGAGCAGACCCCTGTGAGCGAGGCCTCCGACATCTGGTGAGCTCGCAGACCAGCAGCCCCCTGACACACACTCCCTCCCCTCCCCCCAACACCCCTCAACCCCAAGCACACACTTTGACTGTGGTTTTGTTCCTGCAGGGCCATGGGGGTCGTCTCCTACCTCAGGTGAGCAGACCCCTGCCTCTGTCAGCCACCTCATCGGAGGCCAGCCCCAGCCCCCCCCCCCCCCGCTCCCACATCAGGCCCATGCACTACCGGCCAGCTTCCCAGATCAAAGACCCAGGCCCCAAAGGGCAGCTATTATGGGAGCCAGCCGTCAGCCAACTGAGAGTGCTTTCTGCTGAGTTCTTTCCTTACATACGCTGTTCCGCTGTTTCGGAGGGGCTCTGCCCGGTCCCCAGGCAAAGCAGGGAGCTGTGTCTCTAAAGGGTCTGGGTGGTTTGCGGAAAGGCCCCTCGTAACAGTCCCTGCTGCCCTGAGGATGCTGCTGGTGTAGACGGCACCTGGATCCCGGGCTGAGGCGGGGTCCACACGCCAGGCCGACCCTCGATCCCCGTCCCGGGCCGAGGCGGGGTCCACACGCCAGGCCGACCCTCGATCCCCGTCCCGGGCCGAGGCGGGGTCCACACGCCAGGCCGACCCTCGATCCCCGTCCCGGGCCGAGGCGGGGTCCACACGCCAGGCCGACCCTCGATCCCCGTCCCGGGCCGAGGCGGGGTCCACACGCCAGGCCGACCCTCGATCCCCGTCCCGGGCCGAGGCTGGATCTCGGGGCTAATCTCAGACCATTGCGAGGACTCTCAGGGCTGCGTGGGAGTGGCACTGTGGCGGTCTCCAGGCAGGACTGGGTGCTCCCTTGTCCTAGCCACCTGCCCCCTATGGATCCAGAAAACCAGGTCACATCTGAAGGCAAGTCGTGTCTCTGCTTTTAGCCTGACCTGCTCGTCACCATTTGCTGGTGAGAGTGACCGAGCCACGCTCCTGAATGTACTGGAGGGGCGGGTGTCCTGGAGCAGCCCTGCGGCTGCCCACCTCAGCGAGGATGCCCAGGACTTCATCACGGCTGCCCTGCGGAGGGCCCCAGAGTGAGTGCACACCCCTTCCCCCTGCCCAGGGTTCTCTTAGGCCTGGGCCTGGGCAGCTGACCCCCTGGCCTGAGCCCTGGCCTTTCTCTCCTCCTAGGGCCCGGCCCAGTGCAGCCAAGTGCCTCGCCCACCCCTGGTTCCAGGTGAGTCCGAGGTGAGCCCGAGCAAGTCTGCACAGGGAGAGAAACAGAGGCCAGGACAGGCAGAGGCCTGCGTGGGCCACCGGGTGCACCAGGGTCTCCCCTCACCACCCCTCTCACTTGGGCCCCCTCAGAAGTCCGTGCCCGCAGAGGAGGCCCACTTCATCAACACCAAGCAACTCAAGTTCCTGCTGGCTCGCAGCCGTTGGCAGGTGAGCTGGGCAGCGAGTGGGAGTGGTGGGGCGGGGAGGGGAGAGTTGAGGTGGTGGGAGTTGGGGAGAAGAGGAGGCGGGGACTGGAGGCCCGCAAAAGAAGCCAGGTCCCGAGGGCTGGCTGTGCGCCCCGCCCGCCGGGCCTGGGAGAACTGGAAGCCTCGCTCGGCGCTGGCCCTTCGTTGGGGTCCCCGCTCTCTGAGCCACCGGGGCAGGTCCGGGCGGAGGTGCGTGCAACTCCAGCGAGGGCAGGGACAGAACGACAGAGCCCTAGGGCTTGAGGAGTGGAGCTTGTGACGCTCCCAGCTCCTGGGTGCCCCGACTGGGCCCGTAGGAGCCGGGGCGGCGCGCGCCCACGGCTGACGCGCCCCTGTCCTCCGCACCCCCCAGCGCTCCCTGATGAGCTACAAGTCCATCCTGGTGATGCGCTCCATCCCCGAGCTGCTCCAGGGCCCTCCCGACAGCCCATCCCTCGGGGTGGCCCGGTACCTGCGGGGCGACGCCAGCAGCTCGTCGTCCTCGTCCTCCGACAACGAGCGGGCGCCTGTCGCCCGAGCCAGATCGCTGCCGCCCTCCCCGGTGGCCCACTCCCCGCTGCTGCGCCCTCGGGGCTTCCTGCGGCCGTCCGCCAGCCTGCCCGAGGAGGCCGCGCCTCCGCCCACGCCGGCGCCCCGCGCGGAGGCGCCCGCCGCCCGGGGCTGCGTTGCGCGGCAGAGCGACCTCCGCTGTCTCTTGTGCCAGCAGGCGGGCGAGGGCCCGGAGCGCGGAGGCCCCGCCGCGGGCGGCCGGCGGCACCTGCTCACGGGCGGCTACTTCGCCCGCGCCCTGCCCGGCCTGCGAGAGCCGCTGCTGGAGCAGGGCGCGCGGGAGGAGGCGGCCGCCCTGCGGCTGCCGGGCTGCAGCGCCCGCGGGGCCCCCGGCCGCGGCCGCTCCCTGGAGCTCGGCCGGCCGCCCCCCGCCAGCGCGGCGCCTGAGGCCGGTGGCGGAGCGCAGCGCCGTGGCCCGGGCCGCTCGGACCTCCAGGCGGACTCCGGGGAGAGCTGGCCGGGAGGGCTCTCCCGTGCCAGGGACACGGAGCGTCCGGAGGGGTCCCGGCAGGAGCCGGGACTATTTCCGTGCACCGGTGGCGACCCGGGGTTCACTCGGCAAGAGGGGTCATCTCAGGACAGCCGCGGGGGGCAGGCCGCGCCTTCCTTTCATCCCCAGAGGAGTCCTGCTCCCCAGGAAGGCTGTGGCCGCCCTCAGGCTGTTACACCACAACCTTCTGGCTCCTTCCCTGCAAAGCAGTGCACGGGGTCCCTCCTGGCACCCTTGAGCTCCTCCCTCTCTCCGGCCAAAGGAAGCCCCCAGCCGGCCTCTAAGAAGGGACCAAAGGACACCCCTCTCCCTGGGAGGCCGAGTCCCCCCAGCTCCCCAGGGCTGGCCTCCGCAGTGGGCGCACAGCCTGGCCCCTCCCAGGCTGCGGAGCCGGAAGACGCCTCAGAGTCTGAGCCCAGCCCGCAGCGCCCTCAGGAGCAGACCACCGCGCGCAAGTTCTCACTGGGGGCGAGCTGTGGGGGCTACGCGGGAGTGGCAGGCTACGGCACCTTTGCCTTTGGCGGGGACGCGGGAGGCATGCTGGGGCAGGGTCCCCTGTGGGCCAGGATGACCTGGGCCACCTCTCAGTCCTCCGAGGAGCATGATGATGCTGGGGCACAGAGCCCACCCCCCCAGGCCAGCGCAGAACCCCTTCCCGAGGGCAGCGGGGCACCCCCAAGGGCCTCCCCAGAGCTGAGCTCGTGGGAGGACTTTGGTGGGGGCTCCCAGGTGTCCCTAGTGCAGATCCGAGACCTGTCTGGGGACGCAGAAGCAGCCGACACCGTGTCCCTGGATATCTCAGAGGTGGAGCCTGCCTACCTCAACCTGTCTGACCTGTATGACATCAAGTATCTCCCGTTCGAGTTCATGATCTTCAGGAAGGTCCCCAGGTCTGTGCCACCAGAACCACCGTCGTCCCCCGAGTCTGAAACCGAGGGGCCCTGGCCGGGCGCGCCGGGCCTGCCAGCCAGCTTGCAGATCACCGAGGAGCCGGAGGACATGGACACTCTGCTCAGGGAGGCCCCCCGCAGCAGGAAGCGCAAGTGGTCGCCCCCCTCCGGCGGCCTCTTCCACTTCCCAGGAAGGCACGCCATACTGGACGAGCCCGCGGAGCTGGGACTGCGCCGGAGGGTGAGGGCCTCTGTGGCCCACATCTCCCGCCTCCTCAGGGGCAGGCCTGGAGGTGACTCCCCCGCCCCACCCCTTTCCCTTCCACCCCGCAGGTGCACCTTGGGGCACCTCAGCTCCCACGCGGGGAAGGGCTGGGGTGACCCAGAAGCTGCTCTCTCCAGGGTCCCCCTCCCCGTGCCACACACACCCAGCCCTGTTCCTGAGGTCACCCATGTGGCCTCAGCCTCTCCCCACATGCATCTGAGGCCCAGCATGGGGACCTAAGGAGGCTTGTAGACACTCATACAGAGAACATCCAACCAGGCCAGCCCTGCTGGCCCGTCCCTGACCGTCGGGGCCTTGGCCAGGCCTCCCCAGGCACCACGGGCTCCCGAGTCTTACCTGCCCCTGGTGCCCTTGCCCAAGGTAGACTGATCCTGACAGAGGTGGGGAGGGGGTGGTCTCTGCAGCAGAGTAGCTCCTTTGCGACAAAAGCCCGTGGGATCGGGGCTCTTTTGCCATGTGGGGATCCCGCCGCAGGTGGCTCCGAGTTCCTCCTCCCATGCTCCCAGGGGAGCTGGGCCCCTCGCATGCACTTCCCAGAGGCCTGTTCCTCCCTGCAGGTCTGGAGAAAGAGAGCCCCCCCAGGAAGAAGGCAGGCCTGGCTTCCTTCCGGTTGGGCCTGAAGAGCAGGGACCGAGGTGGGTGCGCTGCCCAGGGGCCGAGGGGACCCAACTGTGGGGGAAGGGAGACCCTCCCTGGTGCCCAGACCGGCAGAGGGGGCAAGCTTACATCCACAGGGGTTGGAGCCCAGATTGGTGGGGGGGCAGTCCTGGAGACCTTCCTCAGGAGGTGCTAGGGCCGAAGATGAGCTGAGTGGGCACGGGCTTCCCCAGCATCCTCCTCTCGGGGGTCCAGGCTGTGTTCTTGGGTTGGGGGTCACCTTTGAAAGCTTGCCGCCCCCCCTTCCCATGCCCTAGCGCCATCATTTCTAAGGGAGCTCTCGGATGAAACGGTGGTCCTGGGCCAGTCCGTGACTCTTGCCTGCCAAGTGTCGGCCCAGCCAGCTGCACAGGCCACCTGGACCAAAGGTCAGGAGGAGTCCTGGGGCTGGGGGGCGGGAAGGCAGGGGGTGCCCCTTGCGGGCATTGCTGTCATTGTATGGAGGGAACCGGGCCCCAAGAGGGTGGGCATCTCAAGGCTGGGTGCCTATGGGAGCCGTTCCCCAGGCCTGCTCTGTCCTGCTGCAGACGGAGCTCCCCTGGAGGGCACCAGCCGCCTCCTCATCTCCTCCACGCTCAAGAACTTCCAGCTTCTGACCATCCTGGTGGTGACTGCTGAGGACCTGGGGGTTTACACGTGCAGCGTGAGCAACCCTCTGGGCACAGTGGCCACCACGGCTGTCCTCCGGAAGGCAGGTGAGTGGACTGCGCCAGGCCCCCCTGGGTGGGATGGGGCGGGGACTGACTCTCATGGGGCCTGGAGACCACCTGTCACTTGGTGAGTTGGTTTGTGCTGGTGCCCTTCACTGAGGGATGGGATGCTTACCACCCGGTCACCCACGGCGGGGCCGCAGAAGGCCTGAGTCGGCTCTGCAGACTGCCCCCCCCCCCCAGAGGGGAAGCAGAGGATGCCAAACAGGGGCTGTGGGACTAGCTTGATTCCCACCAGTGGCCACCACCAAGTGTCCAGGCTGCCGGAGGAAGCTGAATAGCCAGGACAGGCCCCTCTGATGGGAGCCCGCGGCTGGCACAGGGCGGTCAGGGAGGGCCACTCCGCGGCGGGTTGCTGACGTACACTGGTGGGAGGGGGGCCTGGCAGAGCAGACCCCCCCGAGGCCCCCACCAGAAGAGGCACCGGGCCCCTCTACCAGTCGGCGCTGGAAGGGGACCCTGACTGAACGGGTCCAGGGGATGGTGGGCTCAGGGGCCTGGCAGCAGGTGCAGGAGGGTGAGGCCGGGCTGGCTGGGGCTCTGTGCTGCCTTGGAAGCCGCGGGGAGCCCCCCTCAGGCTGCTGACCATGGGCCCCGCAGAGCGCCCCTGCTCTTCCCCACGCCCCGACCTCGGGGAGGTGTATGCTGATGGGGTGCTGCTGGTCTGGAAGCCCGTGGAGTCCTGTGGCCCTGTGACATACATCGTACAAAGCAGCCTGGAAGGTAGGAGCCCTCCCGATGGCCTCCCCTCTTGGGCAGCCCTGGCGTCCGCACAGGAGGACCGCAGGGCAGTGCCCCTGGGTGGCTTCGGGAAGAAGCCAGCCACCTCGGGGTCTCTCCGCCCCTGACCTGGGCTGTCCCTCACCCGCTTGCATGTGGCCCAGGTGGCAGCTGGAACACGCTGGCTTCGGACATCTTTGACTGCTGCTATCTCACCAGCAAGCTTTCCAGGGGCGGGGTGTACACGTTCCGGACGGCCTGCGTGAGCAAGGCGGGCATGGGTCCCTACAGCAGCCCCTCAGAGGAGGTCCTCCTGGGAGGGCCCAGCCACCTGGGTGAGCCGCTCTGGGAGGCCTGGGGGGGGGGGGCGGGGAGCCCTGCCACTCCACTCAGCCACGCGCACTCACTGGGATGGTTTGTTCTAACTGGTAGGCCCCTGCCCCCAAATGGCCCAGGGGAGGAGACATCAAAGTGGGGGGGTTCACAGAAGGGCCTCCTGCTAGGGGGCCTGGGAAGGGGTGTGGGAGACGAAGTCCGGGGGCACTGGGGCTGTAGGGGTGCCTCCCAGTCACTGGCTCCTTCCCCACAGCCTCCGAGGAAGAGAGCCGCACCCCGCGGCCACCCCAGCCCCTCCCCAGCGCGCAGACCTTCGCCTTCCAGGCGCAGATTCGAAGGTGCCACACACAGCCCACCGCCTCACTGGCTTTGCCTGCTCCACCCCCCGCCCCCCGCCCCCCCTCACTTCTCACATCCACACAAGTTTGGTGCAGAGCATCCGCGCCCCCTCCCCCGAGGCTCGGGTCACCTCCCGCCGAGCTTGCTTTTTCTGACACTGGGAAGGAGGGCGCGGGGGGCCTCACAAGGCTGGCCGGTGCCGCTTCTCCCAGGGGCCGCTTCAGCGTGGTGCGGCAGTGCCGGGAGAAGGCCAGCGGACGCGCGTTGGCCGCGAAGATCGTCCCCTATCGCCCCGAGGACAAGGCTGCCGTGCTGCGCGAATACGAAGCCCTCAAGAGCCTGCGCCACCCACACCTGGCCCAGCTGCAGGCCGCCTACCTCAGCCCCCGGCACCTGGTCCTCATCTTGGAGCTGTGCTCGGGACCCGAGCTGCTCCCCTGCCTGGCGGAGAGGTGAGGCCCGGCCTGGATGCGGGGCCGCGGGCGGGACGGTACACACGCCGGGGCGAGGGGCGGCGCAAGGTGCGGACCGGCTCACACCTCCCCGCCCACCTCCCGGGCCCGCCTCCGCCGGTCAGCCCAGGCCGGGGAGCTAAGCAGAGCCGGGAGGCGCCTCCCCCAGGCCCACAGAGAGGGCTGATGTCCCCGCTGATGCCCCCTCTGCCGTGGACGGAGCCGAGCCCCCCTTCCCGTGCGCCCCCAGGGCCTCCTACTCGGAGTCGGAGGTGAAGGACTACCTGTGGCAGATGCTGAGCGCCGCCCAGTACCTGCACGCCCAGCGCATTCTGCATCTGGACCTCAGGTCCGAGAACATGATCGTCACCGAGTACAACTTACTCAAGGTCGTCGACCTGGGCAACGCCCAGAGCCTCGCCCAGGAGAGGGTCCTGCCCTCCGAGAGGTTCAAGGACTACGTGGAGACCATGGGTGCGCAGGGAGCGGATGCCAATCTGACCTGGGGCGGGGGGCGGGGGGGGAGAAGGGTGGGCCAGCAGGAAGCCCCGCCCCCCGTCCTGCCTCCCTCCCCATTGCTCTGCACCCACCCAGTCTCTCGCCTGGGCGCTCCCCTGTGTCCTCCCCCAGCTCCCGAGCTCCTGGAGGGCCAGGGTGCCGTCCCGCAGACCGACATCTGGGCCATAGGCGTGACAGCCTTCATCATGTGAGTCCCCCAAGCGCCGGGGCGGGAGGCTGGGGATCCATCCAGGGTGCCCCCGGAGGCCCCGTGTGTCCTCCATCCGAGGGTGACCTCAGATCCCTGTGCCTCCCATCCATCGAGGGGGAGCCCAGAGCCCCCGGTGCCCGCGCACCTCCACCCGAGGGTGACCTGAGTCCCCTGACCCCCACGCGCGCAGGCTGAGCGCGGAGTACCCCGTGAGCAGTGAAGGGACACGCGAGCTGCAGAGAAGCCTGCGCAAGGGGCTAGTCCGTCTGAGTCGCTGCTACGCGGGGCTGTCCGGCGGCGCCGTGGCTTTTCTCCGGAGCACTTTGTGCGCTCACCCGTGGTAAGGCGGTCCCGCCGCATCCATCACCGGGCCGGCCGGGTCCAACCCCCTCCACCAACCCCGCCTGGCCCGCTTCCCTCCCGCCTCCCTCCCCCACCCGGCCCCAGCGAGAGCTCAGCTGACAGCTTTGCCCTCTCTCCAGGGGCCGGCCGTGCGCGTCCAGCTGCTTGCAGTGCCCGTGGCTAACGGAGGAGGGCCCTGCTGCCTCCCAGCCGGCGGCCGTGACCTTCCCCACAGCGCGACTGCGCGCCTTCGTGCGCGAGCGAGAGAAGAGGAGGGCGCTGCTGTACAAGAAACACAACTTGGCCCAGGTGCGCTGAGCACTTGGCCTGGCAGAGAGGATGTGTGTGTGTGGGGGGGGGGGGGTCGCCCTGCTGGGCTTCACCCCCTACTCTCCCCTTAGGACTTGCTGTGTATGCACAGACACGCCAATAAAAAGCAGAAACGGACGAGGTGTCATCTGTTTCTTTGTTTTGTTTGGGGAAGGAGATGAGGGTCCTGACACCTCACCTGGGGTTTGGGGGTGGGGGACCAGGCAGCAGAACTGCCCTTCCCTGTGGAATGGCTGCTAGTGAGGCCTCCCGGTTCGCGGAGTGGAGGAGCCAGAGCGGCCAGGGCAGCCTCACCTGGGGTGACCAGCTCATCCAGCTTACGGTCCTGCACAAACTGGGACAGTTAGGTGGTCCCCAGCCTCACCCCCACCAGCTGGCCTCCAAGGCACCGCTCCTGGGGCTCCTGGATGCTCAGAGGTGCATAGGTTGAAAACCATCAGCCTGGGTCCCATGGTCACCTCCCTGGCCTGGTGTGGCCTCCAGGACTGGCCATAGCAGCCCCTTCTCAGTCGGAGGCAGAAAGGAGCCTGGCGAGTGACCAGCCAGGCCACCGGGAGGAGGCAGGGGTGGACTCCTGTATGCAAAGGCCGTAGGAGAATGCAGAAGGATCCTGAACCCCTCTGAACCCCACCTACATCCAGCAACCCCCCCCCCCCCCCCGCCTGCCAGGACTCCCTCCTGGGACACGTCCACTGTGCCCAGGGACTATCTCTGAGCCCTCTGCTGAGAGTCCCTGCACAGTCCTGTAGCTCTGATGATGCTTGTTCACACACACACACTCTGGTCTTAGCCCTCAAGGTTTGCATCTGAGCCCACTCCTTCCTCTCCATCCCATGCTCCCCAGCCCCAGGTGGCCATGTCCACATCAAGCCTGGCTCTGTGCATGGGGACCCAGGTGAGACTCTGAGCAACTTGTCTTCCAAGGCTGCATTTCTTTGGTAACCTCTGTGCTGGGTGCTGGGATGACATGTCCTGTCTCAGCCTGTTTAGATCGTATTTTGCAGAGTCAGCCCAGCTTCTGCTCGCGCGTGCTGAGAGACATTCACTAGGGCTGCATGCAGGGAGACAGTGTCTCTTCCAGGAGCTCAGCTTGCCCTGGTCCTTGCTGCTGGCTGGCTGGGTTTCCCAAGCACAGCGATCCTTGGATGTTCTGCCTCTCGGGCTCCGTGCCTTCTCACAGCCCCGTTTTGGACTCGCCCTTCCGAATGTCATGTGGTATGATCCATGGCCCTTTTCCCAGACTGAACCCTGCCGGATGAACTCACTCAGTCCCGAAGTCCCCGCATCTATCAGTTATGAGTATTTTATTGGTGGGTTATTTCTAAAGATCAAATCTAATGTTTTTAGATTTGCTTTTAATAGCTCTGTTGTATTTTATTATATGGTAACTTTTTCAATTAAGTTTTTTCTTTTGAGATCATTTGTTGAATCACAATGCAGTTGAAAGAAATACTATAGAAAGAGCCCAGTCACTGTTTACTGAATTTCCCCCAATGGTCGTATCTCACAAAACGATAATGTAATAACAACCAGGATATTGACATTGATATAGGGCTACAACACATTTCCGTCACGGGGATCCCTCATGTAACCGCCCCCCTTTTCTTTATGGCCAGCATCACTTCCTTCCCATCTTAACACTCTTCAACCATGGCAACCAACAGTCTGTCTTATATTTGTTACTTTTGTGATTTTAAGAATGTAGTCACTTGTATGTAACCTTTTTTTTTTTTAAAGATTTTATTTATTTGACAGAGAGAGACACAGCAAGAGAGGGAACACAAGCAGGGGGAGTGGGAGAGGGAGAAGCAGGCTTCCCGTGGAGCAGGGAGCCCGATGCGGGGCTCGATCCCAGGACCCTGAGATCATGACCTGAGCCGAAGGCAGACGCTTAACGACTGAGCCACCCAGGTGCCCCTGTATGTAACCTTTTAAGATTGTTTTTTTCCCTCTGGTAATTCATGAATAGAGTTGTAATGTCGGTAGTTTGTTACTTTTTACTGGTGAGTAATATTCCATGCATAGGAGCACCACAATCCATATAGCCGTCCACCCACTGAAGGCCATTTAGACCCTTCCCAGTTTGGGGCTATTTCATGTACAGATTTCTGTGTGATCATACTCTTCATTATTCTGGGATAAATGCCCAGGAGTGCCAATGGTTTCATTTGCCATCTGTATATCTTCTTGGGTGGAATATCTGCCCATGTCTTTTGCCCATTTTCTGATAGGACTGTTTATTTTTGAATTTTGAGGGTTCTGTACGTATTCTGGAGACGAGTCCTTTGTCGAATATGTGGTTTACAAATATTTTCTCCCACTTGGCAGCTTAACTTTTAAGCATCCTCTCGCCAAAGCCTTTCAGAGAGCAAGTTCTAAATTTTTAGAACATTGTAAATGGTACTACAACACATAAGACATACAATATATCATTTTAATGTACAGTGCAGTATTGTTAGTTAATGCATATCGTTGTGCAAGCATTAATGTTAACCATCTGTACAATCCTTTCATCTTGCAGAACGGAAACTGTGCCCATTAAAAAAACAACTCGCTATCTCCTCTTCTCCCAGCTCCTGGAAACCACCATTCTACTTTCTATGAATTTGACTGTTCTAGATGCCCTCATATAAATGGAATCATACTGTAGTTGCCTTTTTTTGTCACTGGCTTGCTTCAGTCCCAGAACGTCTTCAAAGCTCATCCATGTTGTAGCGTGTGTGAGAACCTCCTTCATTTGAAGTCACGGCTTCTTTGAGTGTTCTTTCAGCCCTACTGATTTTATTCTCTCTTTCCAGGACTCTAATGATGTTAATGTCACATCTTGTGTAATAGTCCCCCTCCACAGGTCCCCATTCACATTTTTTCACTCTATTTTCTCTATGTTTTTACAGATGGGGTAAGTTCTATTGTCCTATCTTCACGTTCACTGATTCTTTTCTCCGTCCCCTCCATTCTGCAGTTGAGCTTTTATTCTTGGTTATTGTATTGTTCAGTCCTAAAATTTCCATTTGGTTATTCTTTATATCTCGGCTCTTTTGCTAGGACTTTCGATTGCTTTGTGGGACCATTCTACTTATTATTCGTCTCACATGTTTTTATAATTTTTGTTGGAGCACTGAAGCATTTTTATCATAGCTTTAAAACATTTATCAGATAATTTCAACAACTTTGTCATCTCAGTATTGGTGCCTATTGCTTTTTTTTCCCCACTGACATTACTGAGATGTTCCTGGTTCTTGGTTATGACAAGCGACTTTTTACTCAAATGTGGACATTTCCGTAACATTTTATGAGACTCTGGTTCTTATTTAAGGTTTCCGTTTTAACTGGCTGTGATATAAAAAGAAATATATTTGGTTTTTTCCCCAGGTTTCTGGCACAGAACTCCTACAATTTCCAGGCTCTTTGGGAAGTGATGAAAATGTTTTTGGTTACTCCTGAAGAGTTCCTTTAAAGTACACCTTAGTTTATGCTAATGAGGTGACTTAGGATGGGTCCCATGGGTGGCCTCAGGATGACCAGGAAGACCAAGTGCCTAGAGAGTTGGAACTTCCATCTCTACCCCTGACCTCCAGGGAGGAGAGGGGGTTGGAGATTGAGCTCTATAAAAACTCTTTTTTAAAACTCATTTAAAAACCCTTTATTTATTTATTTGAGAGAGAGAGAGAGAGAGAGAGAGCACTGGGGGAGGGGCAGATGGAGAGGAGAGAGAGAATCCCAAGCAGACTCATGCTGAGCATGGAGCCCAATGTGGGGCTTGATCTCACAACCCTGAGATCATGACCTGAGCTGAAATCAAGAGTCGGACGCTCAACTGACTGAGCCACCCAGGCGCCCCTCTATAAATCTCTGGAACAATGATATTCAAAGAGCTTCTGGATTGGTGAACACATCAACTTGCTGGAAGGGTGGTGCTCCCAGAGAGGGCATTAAAACCCCATCCCCTTCCTATACCTTTCCCTGTGCACCTCTTCCACCTGGCTATTCCTGAGTGGCATCCTTTATAGAAAATTGGTAAACCTAAGTGGTTCCTGAATGCTGTGAGCCATTCTAGCAAATCGACAAACCTGGGGAGGGAGTTGGGGAACCTCTGATGTATAGTTGGTTGGTTAGAAGTACAGGCAGCCTAGGACTTGCACCTTGCATTGTAAGTGGGAACAGTCTTGGGGGGTTGAGCCCTTATCCTGTGGAATTAGTTAGTGTCAAAACCAAATTGAATTGCTGGACAGCTAGCTGGTGTCCAGAGCACAGGAGAATTGGTTGTTGGTGATGGAAAGCAGCCCAGACTGGCTGTCTCCAACACTTCTCTGGCAGGGAAAGGACCAGTGCCACCTTGTTAGTGCCTGGTGGAGGGAGGAGTTTGGGTTCCCCTGACATTGCAGGGTAGGGGTCCCAGTTACTGCTAAGCAGAGGAGGGCATTCCAGCAGCCCTCTGGTCTCATTCCGACACTCAGGTATTGCACAGCAGGGCTGAAAGGCCAGCTCCCCATGTGGTCTTCTGTGATACCCTCCCAGCAAGGGTGGGTTTGGGGCAGCTCATTGCAGCCTGGCCAGGGCCAGTCTGGGATATTCAAGGGTTCTGTGCTGGGCGTGGAGCCTGCTTCAGATTCTCTCCCTCTCCCTCTGCGACTGGACCAGCTAGGCAGTCCTATCTTATTAATTTAATTTTGCATTTTTTTTTAAATTTTATTTATTTATTTATTTGACAGAGAGAGACACAGCGAGAGAGGGAACACAAGCAGGGAAGTGGGAAAGGGAGAAGCAGGCTTCCCACGGAGCAGGGAGCCCGATGCGGGGCTCGATCCCAGGATCCTGGGATCATGACCTGAGCCGAAGGCAGACGCTTAACGACTGAGCCACCTAGGCACCCCATTAATTTTGCATTTTAAGAATATTGACAGAAAGGTAGAAATGTCCCAGTATTCCTCCTCTATTCCTTTCTCCTAGTTCTTGGTTCTCGCCTATGTTTTGTTTCATGTTCCCTAGCTTACATGTTTGCTATTATCTTGGTTATCTGGGAAAAAACAATACGACCCTGTTCATCTTAAAAGCATTTTGTGAAAACTCTTACTTTCCTATTTCTCTGGGTAGGTGTCTTGGTTACTCAGGCTGCC